AAGGGTCTAGTACATTTTCAGTATGAATTTCATTGAATTATGGTGGGGTCAAAAGGGTATATCTTAAATGAATGGTTTATCTGTCTCACTCCTACAATAGATGTATAAAGAATTATCAAATGTGGTAGCGTTACGTTCTCTGAACTGAATGTTTTGGTTTTGGAGCTTTCATTGTTCTTCTGAACAACATCATCAACACAAACTTCAAGATACAAGTGAAGTATTCGAATTTCTCCACCTATGACAAGTAGCTTGTTCTGTTAACCTCGATCTTGATTGGTTGTTATTGACCTTAAACTTTCGATGTTTACACCTTTACTTTCATTATACCCCCCTTTGATCAGTTTCTTGATCCTATGTTTGCGTATGATTTTTCTGATTTGTTGATAAATTGGATCAATGTTGATGTGTTTGTTGATAGCTGATTGACCTGAGTGCCAAGCTAGAGAACATCTACAATCGGATCAACAACGTCTTCGATGGTGTAAAATTCACTATCGACAGCCTATTGTTCCTGGTTGTACTAACTGCCGAAACTGACTCAAGAGAACTGGAGACTCATGTATTACGGAAGCCAACCCACACAGAGAGAAGATAAGTATGTTATTTGCTCTTCAATTAGGTCATAAATATACTCGTAGTTACATAGAATCACTTCAATCAATCTTATGTAAACCAAAGGACAAAATGACAAAATAACACGAACCAAATATCATCTACAAAATAAGTTGAAAGTGAAAAACACTAAGTAGGACGAAGCGGCGTCCTCTTCAATCTCATCTACGTGAACATCAATTAGCAGTCAAACGCCATCACACTTCTTCGCTTATTTCAAAACATGCGGACAACTGTGGACATATATTTGATTGGTACAATGTTGAACTATACTGGATAGAGAGAGTAAAAGTTTGACACTGAAGTCAATCAGCTATCAACAAACACATCAACAATGACCCAATTTATCAACAAATCAGAAAAATCATACGCAAACGTAGGATCAAGAAACTGATCAAAGGGGGATATAATCGAAATAAAGGTGCAGACAACGACGGGTTTAAAGTCAATAACAACCAATCAAGATCGAGGTTAACAGAACAAGCTACTTGTCATAGGTGGAGAAATTCGAATACTTCACTTGTATCTTGAAGTTTGTGTTGATGATGTTGTTCAGAAGAACAATGAAAGCTCCAAAACCAAAACATTCAGTTCAGAGAACGAAACTTCACCACAATCATCCACTTGAGCTACAAGTTTTCTCCACCATCCCATTATTAAATATACTGTCTACTATAATGATCTAATTGTGAAATCTGAATACCGAATAATCTTCCAAATTATTGGTTCTGTATTGTCTCACATAATTAACAATGTTTGATCGATCATTTGATCTTATCTCTGATCAAATATCTCCGTAATTTGATAATGGTTGTATGGTATCGCGAACATGCACGTGCAGTTATCAACAACCACTCTCAGGATACAGGTGTGGAAAGATAGATGTTGGCCGCCGAAATCAACACTCTCCTTGGGTATCGCAAATTTCCAAAGAAGTGGAGATGATGTACCCCACTGCAGATTCTTGCAGCTGAATTAAACATCCAAACTTGTTTTTCGAATAGGAAACGTGACAGGTGGAGCTGATTCAACATGCTAGTGCAAGGTGAAATGATAAATGGGAGGTGCTGATGAGCTGATGCTATTGGTTAGGATTCTGCTTAATTTTCTTTTGAAAATATACACTATTGGTTAGAAATCCAGTTTAATTTACCAAGCGAAACAGACGGATATTTATCGATGAGTATGTAAATAAATTTTCATCTAGACTGTTCAATAAAAGCTTCCTACTTATGTCCGGTTCCGTCACTGAAGTAATAGGTTTCACTTGCATGTAGGAAGATTATATCAGTATCAGACTCGGATGACCACTAAGTGTAACCTTGTCTACCGATTCGCATCAGCGCTATAGCCTTGATTGTCAGGAAGAATGTTGTGAATCAGCATAACTTAAACACTCGGAATGATTATAGATCAAAGCATCACCTAAAAATGAGAAACCGATTTAGTACACAAGTTGTTATATCTCGCTTTACAGCTATCATACTGCATTCGTTCTAATCTGGAGAACGAAAATTGAGTCTATCAAGAAGACTTGTTCAGGGTTTGAATTAGATAATCGGAATCGAACAGAAAGTTGCGAAACATGAAAATCTTGTTTACTCATGTAGTTTAGATACTACAGGGTTGGACGATTTTGAAATTAGTACTTTCAAGCGTCATACTCTTAAAAGAAGCAAGGAGGAGGACGATGAAAGTCAAATGTGAAAATATAATTGATTGTACGCTGGAATAGAAGGACTATCTGGCTATCTGGAGGATGAAAGAACTGTTTCTTGTAGACTATGACGTTATTCAATCAGGGCGCTTTCAGTTGATGGTGTTTATTAAAATCAACAACATCAGAACCAATTTTGAATACATGTAAACCATTCATTTTGGCAAGCTGTTTACCACTAAAGTACAAGACTTTTGACTGAAATCCATTCAGATAAAATATAAAACCGTTAAGCTGATATGATCATGTCCTAAAAATCAGTTTTTTTTTTTAATTATTTATTTCCGCAGAAAATGTGAGAGAGCACTCAAAGAATCAGTACAAGCTGAACAAGATGCTGGGCATATGATCAACGAGCTACGTGAAATGGTTGAACGAGCTCAAACAAAACTCAAACAAACTAGAAAACAGTTAGAAGAAGCGGTATGTATACTCTGTAAAGTGTTAGGCTTAATTAAATTAATTACTACTACAGTGTGATTAGATAAATTTCAATTCTTATCAAACTGCAATACAGTCGCTTATTGCCTTGATTCAGTAACAATGGCGAATATTTTCACTCTCTAATTATTTCCCTTAAGGAGTTAGTTGATGACACTTTTTAAATGGTTACGAAAGATTTTTGTTTTATCTGATAGCATTATTGAATTACAAACAAAAGACCAATCATTTCATCAGAAAATAATAGAAATGGCAGTACAGGACGCATTCGTTTACATGAGTGAACTTTTTTTTTTAAACAAAATAATTTTATTCTTAATATTACAAATAGATAACCAATTAGAGATGAAAATTTCATTTAATTTTTATTCTAGGAAAATGCTGCTCAAACTGCTTCAATGAAATATCGTAAAGCTCAACAACAAGTGGATGATGCAGATTTACGTGCTCAAATGGCTGAAAGACGTATAGGTTTAACCGGTCAAGAAGATAATGTAACTACTTATGGAAATTACAATAGACAAAGATCTGGTAGTCTTTATCCGACTAGAACAAGAAATTATTCAGTCACACGTGAAGGCTCGGTATTTAGTGTTATGAGTGAACTACCAGCGGCGTCTTCACATAAAACTCGTTTTCAAGCCGGTACTCCAAAATGGAGCGCTCGATATGAATCAGGAAGTTATCAAAAAGAAAATGGTAGTTCATTAAGTCTTCTTGATCTACCACCAGCTGCTGATTCAGGCTGTAGTTGATTTTACATTGATCCGTTAGACCATTGACAATTTGAATTAGTACAATTTGTTTTTTTCCCCTTTATTAATTTGTTTTAATCTGTATGACCTTTTTTTCTATTTGAATATGTTGACAACTTTTCAATATAATTCCATGTTGTCTCACGTAAATGAATTGACTAACTAGTAAACAAAAACATTTATCGATGATACACTACTAGTTTACAAATTTCCATTTCAATACCCTGTTTAAAATGTACTTTTTCTTAACAATTATTATTTCATTTTAAACAAATTCAAAATTGGTTTGTTTTTTTTTTTGTTTTTTTTACAATCGAATGGAATGTTAGTGAATTCATTCATTTTTTTAAAAGACAACTGATTCAAACAAAACACTGGTATCATTTCATTCATGACATTACGCATTTTGATTTCCGTTTTTTTTTCGCATCACTTTCGTTTAGCCTAGTGTATATTTCTATTTCATATTCTTAATGGGATTGCACTACTAGTAAGTAGTATGTTGCTTTAACTATAATTGATTATAGTTAACATTAATAATAGACCACATTTTCAAAATATTATGAATCACCAATCGTATAACAATTTCATATAAAAAAATATGTAATCCCTTTTTTTTAAAATATCTCCTTTATTTAGTAAGAAAAAGTAATCATAATCAAAAAACAACCAATGCATAAATTTCCTCTCGTCATAAATTCCTTTTTCAAATTATTCTTAATCATTGAAATGATGTGAAAGTATGCTTGATTAGTGGTTGTCTTGAAGTGTTTTTTAAAAAATAACTATATACATTGAAAATTGTACATCCAAGATGTCCGAGTGCCATTGATTGGTAGGATTTTAAATGGAGATCGATTTCAAATGTAAACAGGAATGTTGCAACGTGATAGATAATTTAATAGGAGTGGATCTTCATCAAGTCAATTTTTTTCGCTTATATTTCACTGGTAACCAAAGATCGAGATAGTCCGTTCTTTTTTTTTTCAAGATAAAGAATTCAACGCGTATTACAATGAGTAAAAATTTGAACTTTTTTTTACTCTACACTGACAACAGTTACGTATTAAATAATGGTGTTGTCTAAATAAATTTCAGGCAGACGATTCAATTATGTCTACCATTTAGATGAGGACTAATTGGATCAGAGTTACAAAGTTTAGGTAAACAAAAATTTTGGTGGCGCACATCACATAGGAATGGATATACAGTTGTTGAATATATATGACAGTGGTTTTGAACTATTATCCATGAATATTTTTTTCTTCGGAAGCTACTCAGCACAATAAGACTTTTGGTGAACAGACTAGGGTTACTAGGTTGTTATAAAATCATTAATGTAGAATTATTTATGATTGAACGTGTAAAATTTATCGCAATAGTGCAAACACACATTCACTGCTTAACTCTCCTGCTGAATTGAGAACACCTTATAACTGTATACTTATATATATACGGAATGATCAATAATAGTTGAAAAGTTTGATGAACAAAAAATAAATGTTTATTAAACAAACTTTGTTTTTATTTAGGTACAAGTCCTTTGGACTGTGGGAATATTTGACCATCATTTCTGTGTGTTATACCATGTATTCTATGAATAAAATTTAAAAAACAAAAAGTATGAATATATACAACAGACTGTATAGAAATTGTATAAAATTTATTCTATATGCAAACATAAAATAGTTTTGTTTTAAGTTTGTTAACAAGAATTTGAGAAATGTTGAACCTGCGTGAAATCATCAATCAAACTATACAACATCACTTAATTCTACACATTGTACTGGAATATGTCGAAATTTCTATACACATATTGTGAAGTTTATCCAGTGTACTTACTGCTAAACGTTTCAATAATATTATAATTTTAAAATGTGATTCATTTTTTTGAACCTCCTGGTTACATGTATTTTAAGAGAAATTCACATTATATGTATATATATATATATGTTCGAGCGAAATGAATGAACACTGGCAAGGACAAAAAGTAAGAACCAAAATCCCTAAACTGAAAATATCGATTTTTAATCAAAAGGTATTGACAAGAAATCAAAAATTCAGTTGAAGCAAATAATTTAAGGTAGTTATTATTGCTAACTTATCGTGCTAACTTGTCTCTTTATTTATACGACCACGATGTAACATAATATTTTACAAATTTTGTGAAATCAGCCCTAAATGATTGTTGCTTTTTAAATAACCACATATACAAATAACTGTCGTAAACTAGTTATATCTCGTTGTTAGAATAACAACATTAAAAGTACTGACTAAAACAAACTTTCTCAAGTTAATAAAACTTTATCACAGTAATATGATAAAAACTGTGATAAATTATTAAGATAAATTTTTTTTTACAAGTGAATCTTGTCAATAATGTCATGGGAAAATCAAATTCTATGTATGTATATATATCGAGTTTAAACGAGAGAATATTTTCAAAACGATATAAATCTAGTTTAAAGAAATGTGTAAAGCAGTTTATCCTCACCAAAAATGTATATACATCTTAATCAGAATGTCCTTTTTCATCAAAAAAATTAAAAACGAGAAAAGAATTATGGGAAATCATGCTGTTCCATATAATGAATAAAAATAGAGTTAAGTCCTTGTTGAAATGAACTATTTTTTTTTATTAGTTTATTCTGATAATTTAAAATTATTTTAAATTTTCTTACCGTTTTTCTGATTTCTTCAATTTGGTCAAAGAAGATTGAAATAATGAGGGACTAAATGAGAGAAGAAAATGAATGTGGAAATTTTTAAAATAAGAAAGTAATAAATTACTATAATTTACCATCATATTGTAACATACATTCGTTGACTACTAACAAGAATAAGTTAATTACGAATTACAAAATCTCTTACTTTATATAATAATGTTCAACTCATATTCCATTCAATGGAGATCACGATTAAAATTAGTACATACGATGAAACATGATCTCATTTGGTAATAATAATCAACTTGCATGACTATGAGTTATTGTTAAAGTATAAAAACTTGAAAACCATCGTTTACAACATTAAGTGATCTTAATTAAACAACGATGTAAAATTAAGAGTCTTAGTATGGGACACTTTAGCAGTGATCATCCATGACCTCATCAGGAATCGAACCCAATACCTTCATGTCTCTTAGACAAAACCAGCTTTCTAGTGATTCTCAGTGGGTGTCAAGCTATGAAGTTCATCAACCTCAAAAAACTCCCTAAATTGATAACTTGTAAATAGATCAAACTTTAGCGTTATATATATAATGCTTAAGATACATTAAAACAAAGAGAAAAGCCTAGATTACTCATTCCACTATTTTATTTGATATTTTCAAAACATTTTTAAAAAAAATACTTAGTATTATTATCACTATAGATTCTGATTTCTTTAGGTGATTAAACCATAATTCTGACATTTGAAATATCTTTTACAGATTATGATTAAGTATATTTATTGTTGTGCTAATCATGACAAACGCGTTAGTTCATCACTTTATGAGAAACTTTACAAGTGACTCTGCTCAAATTAACAATCATGAACAAAAATATAGAATCGTTTCCCCCCAAAATATTTACTTTAGAAGAAAATTTTATAGAATATAAGATGAGATGGTTAACAGTGTTATATAACTATTTCTATACCTTCCATCTAATTCTAAATCTTCTTCGTCTTGTAGTGCAGCTTCCAACGCAGCCACCACCTGTGGAGCCAATGCAGGTGGTTCATAATCTCTTGTAATACGTCCAGGTAAGTCCATACTCAAGCTCAATATTTGTTCATTTCGGAATCTAGGGTTTGGATCATATTTGGCAGCCATCCGTGCATAACGGCAAACCGATCGTTTACTATTCAAAATGAAATAAACAGATTGATTAAAATTTTACCTTGAACAAAACATAAGTGTAAATAGCACACAGTAAAAACATGATACGCTATGCGGATTCCGTTCATTCTAAACGATAACACTGATGTCCGGTGATAGAAATTAGAGAAAATGATATATAGCTGATACATGGAATTTAAAATTAAAAGAAATTTCTGAAAGATTATTGTCAAGTACTTGTGTAGATTCTATGTATATCTAAGCCTGTAAACCCTTCGGGGCTACTGCCGGCCCCAAGCCCGGACAAAGGAGGAGGGTTGGCAACCCCATCCCGGAAAAAACTAAAAACTAACTTACCAAAAAAACGCTAACAAGAAATTATAATTCACACTATATAAACTCTGCTCTGGTAGTTAGGTCTTCATTTAGAAGAATTATGACGTCTCATGATGAAAGCCGATTTCCTTTGGAAGTCATGAGGCCGATGCCTCTTCTGACAACCAGGACAACTCTACGGTGCGGGCAGCCGGGAAGTAACATCCGCCCCCCCATACCCATAAAAGCACACGAGATCGAATTGGTCACAATCAAATCCTGTGCTAATGTGGTATGGCAACCTGAGCTGATGTACGTGCGCAAGTACGTAGGAAGTTCTACGTTGCTGTTGGTTGGTTGGGAAGCCATGAAATTTTATTGAATGGTTTCATATACGACAGGACAATGGTGTCAGGAAATATGGCTTAATTGTCAAGCCCAAACCCTTTAATAATTGTACAATTTCATCAAATTATTGTCACTTCACAATTACCTGACCAGACGTTTAATTTTTTATGTGCATAAAATTTACAAGCCGCTTAGCATAGCAATGACAATTAAAGTAAATATTCCTTGGATGGGGTCTGTAAGTTTAAAAATGAGGGACAATATAACGTGATAGAAAGATTAGTATCATTCTTACTGATTCAATTTATTTTACAACGTAGTGTCAGATTCTGCATATATTCTCATATAATTCAGAGTTTAACTAGTACATGGAACTCAGTAAGAGAAAAGAGTAGTTGAAGTAAAAGCCTTCAATGATTGATGATTAACTATCCACACCTATCTGGTGTCAGAATGAAATGCACCGACGACTGTGATATAATAATTTATCTCTAAAAATATGTTCACATTACTTTATCCTATTTTTACCTATTCTTTTTTAAGAAACACGCTAAACTACTTTGCATTCGTTAGTAGTCTTCGTCTATTTAACTTGCTGCTACCTAAGACAGTATTCATTACTCTTCTCTGTTTTAACCTTCATCATATATATAACCACTTAAAACTTTATTCGTTTTAGATAGCTTGCCTGCTGAAAAGTATGGTGACCGAATTTTTCCTCTCTTTAATCTTTATTAAAGTTTGACACAACATTGTGCGGTTCGTAGGCGTTTTGAATCTTCCGTTCACGGATGTGTTTTTTACCTAAATATATGTATGATATGACGGCTTAATAAATGACAAGATACCTAATGATTAGAATTTTGTAGGTTTTATTGATTTACGCTGTTTTCCTTAACTGGAAGGTATTCCCAACAAATCAAATCTTTTTCATACGTCACTATTCGCTTGTTAGAATTTCTGTAGTTTTATTATTGAGTCGGTAGTGTTCAATAAAAGTTATATCAGAGGAACTCAAGTTAAATAAAACCAGTTACGAATAAGCAATTCAACCCCTGTATGCGTTACATGAAGACGATTACTGAAGTTACAAAATCTTGAACGTTTAGGAATTCCAACACGCAGTCACTATTTTGCTATTTTGTCAAATAACCTATGAAAACCACCGAGATCATTTCTGTAAATGAAAGGTATAATCAAGAAAATGTGACTATTAAACTTATCAGTTTTTATCACCATCCTCATCGATAATTGTTGATGATTATCAACAATATTGTAAACTCTTTTCTATTATTGATTCACCCTGCTGTACCCTGGATTTCACGCTATGTTAATAAATACACAGATCATAACTTGGGGCAGTAAGTTAGCGTGCAACATCCAACAAAGTGATTTCCCCAGTTTAAATCTAGATCCTGAGTTAGTTTCATGCAAAATAAAAAAGATTACAAGACATTTGATACAGCATTGTGCCATTAATCTCTAGTCCCTTAATGATATTATCGGTTATCATCTCATAAAATTCAGAACATCTGATAACTATTATTCTATTTTACTAAGTTAATAAGTAAAAAGCAGCTGACTTTTCATAGTATTAATCTATAAATATTTGTATCATTACATGATCAAAGTATTAGTGAATGGTTTACAAGAAATCGTATGAAACTATCTAATTATAAACTAATAATATAACAACTCTAAATATTTGCTTACCAAGATGGAATACTTATATTTGTAACATCATCAGTAGACTGAAAAAGAGGTTTCAGTTGCCAGTTTTCATTTTCCTCATCAAAATAAATTCGTTTTTCTAATTTCTCTTTTTCTTCAATTGGTATAAAATTTTCCAGAATTAATAACTGCAATTTGATGTCACGTGTTAGCTGATCTTGAATTTTCTCGTGTTCTTGACGTACTACAGTATGTTCTTCTTGCATATTAGATGTCTTTTTTTTAATTTCCTAATAGGTAAAAATATGTTTGTGTACTGGTTGTAAAGTCAGATTATAATTCTAATGAATTAATGCATACATACAATAATGAGTTTTTCATTGGTCCACTGTTTCTTAATTTATCATACAAACGTTATCAAGTAGGAATATTTTTATCAGACCATGTGGTATATGAAGATGAAACTGGAAAACTAAGTTCAAAATATCTTTGAATTAACAGTCTGATGATGACTTTTTAGAAAATCAGCCTTATACGCTGAAGAGTCTCATCAAAGGAAGAATTTGAAATTGAATGCTTTCTGGTTTTCTACTTATATATGATGAATCAATGTCAATCTGTAATGATTATCATGTAAAAATTAAAAACTACTCTCCTCAAAATAAACATTCCTCTAATTATCTTTAGGATGAAAAATTGTTAGTAACGAACTTTCTAATTAATTACTGTCTGAAAAACTCATCACTGATTTTCAACATAGCTTCCTGAAACATCGATAATGTTAAACCTGACGCTGACTTCTTCCGTTTAATCTTTACTCAGCGTAACGGGGGACACATTAGTGTTTACTTTGACTTTTCTAAAGCTTTCAACATGATTAACTACTTGCTATCTATAAGCAGATCAGCAACTCAGGGGATCAGAAACCATATTTTTGCTTGATTTAATTCTTCCCTCATTCATTGACACCAAATAGGCAAAATAAACTCCTCCCCGCCAAGTGCTGTCCCAGTCAAAAGTGGGGTAATACAATGTAATATATTAGGTCCTTTGCTCTTTTTAGTTCATACTGATGATATCTGCGATTGTGTCTGAGCAAGTAAGTCCCTTGCATATGCAGATGAACTTAAAGTAATGTATTCATTATCCCCTTTTGAACTGAATAACATAAAAAAAAACGCGTTAGTATGGAGCTCAATAAAGTGACCTAGTGGCGCTCAAAATGGAAACCGGAGCTTAACACTGCTAATTCTGGATGGATTTGCTTTGGTACTTCTTTACTCAACTTATACCTAGACAATAAATGGAAGATTTTAGCAAAATTTCATGTATTAGTGGATTTGAGACTGAGGTCTTCTTAAAATTCATCCTTCTCAGAACAGGTTTTCAATAGCCCTCAAAGTCTTAACTTTCTATGGGCTGGATAATTTGTATCTTCTATAACAATGAGTTACGTGCTGTAATGTATAAAGTAAGTATTCGACCATGCCTTGAAAACTGCACGTTTATTCTCAGCAGTGTATTCATCATAAAGGATAAATTAAAGCTAGACTCCGAACAGATATTTTAAACTGCATTTTTCGGACTGATTTCACCCCAAATTATAAACCCATATGTCATAAACTTGAACTTGGAAGAGAAGACTTAGACTTAACTGATCTTTTTCTTTCAAACAATACACTGTATTTTAAATCCAATGAAGCAATGAAATATGCAAAAACTCCAAACTATAGCTTCCGTAAATCTTTGTCATTATTGAAACAATATCATTCTAAACCTTCTTTCTGCATGAATTGCTTTATCAGTAATAGTAGTTTATAAGAACAATAAATCAATTCTTAATGAATTATCCTTCTTGTGATTATTTATTTGAGGCTAAAAACATATTATGGCTTCATTATTTCAAAAAAAAAATATTTAGGCTTGAAAACCAATACAAAACATACTTGTAATTTTCCAAATAGTTTTTTCAATTTCCTAGTGTTTACTTCTACTTCTTGTTTTAAAGACGTGAAGTCCTCTTGTAAATTAGCCATGCTACCTTCTGCTTCTTCCATACGAGCTACTATTTCTTGTTCACGACGCCTCTGTTCAGCCATTTGTGTTCGTTGTTGAGCTAAGGTTGCTTCTTGCATACGAGTATGTTCAACAATGGATTGATCGCCGTGAAGTAATTTACTCTCCATAGCTCTCAATTTAGATTCTAATTGTTGCGTTTGTTTTTGTTCTTCTTGAAGTTTTTCTTCTTTTATCTACAGCAAAATAACAACACCTTGAATGATTAAATAAGCTTGAGATTAAAATGGTAGTTTTATGAAAATTCATGGTATGATATGGTATGGTATGGTATGGTATGACATAAACCTCTGTAAGTCACTATAGATTAACATTGAGAATAGGGGTTTATTTATTTAAGACCATTGAAAGATAGGCCAAATTTATCCAATGTGTAAAGCTATCAAGTGAGAGCAAAAAACAATGTTCTTGTTTTGTATCATTTTTTTCAGTGTTTCTGATGTACTTGGAGGTACAACTCATTGTAAATCCACCGTTATCCTGGCGATTAAATACATATCTATCATACACAAGTAACTTGATTCAAAACAGAATTTTCGAAGTTTTAATCAAAGATTACAGACACTCGAAATTAAGTAAGTTTAATGATCGAATGTTTAGGTAATGATTAAAGTGAAAGAAATACCGATCACTGTATAGTCATCACTTAGACTTTGTACACTATCCTTTAATAACTAACTATATAGACGATTAGGTTAAGTGGCTTAATAAATGCACTCTATGTTTGTAGGTGTGAGCATATTATAGGAAAATAAATGCAGTTTAGGAATAATATCAAATTCTTAAGTCATTTAAAAAAAATGCCAGATCTACCAAACACACGTACATATTATATTCATCTGGTGTTTTATTTTAAACGAAAACTCAGACATAGGAAAAGATAAATAGCGAAACAATATTCATTGTTCTGTATATGGAGAAAATACATTTTTGTACTAAAATAATACCACTTATCATTTTGTCTATAATTTATTTCCAATTTAACAGCGTAAGTTTACTCACTGTCAGTGAGTCACTTACAACGTAGAACTTCGTACCTACGTACATCACTTCAACTTGCCATACCACATTAGCGTAGAGACGCGATTGTCAGTTCAAATCCCATAGTAGTAGAGGTAGTACACGTATTAGCAGTAATCGGAGAGATTGGAGTTCGAGGATACTATTCAAGAAGCATAAGTCAGTGAGATAACTTTAAGTAGATATATTTATTGGATATCAACCTAATATGCAAGACACAGGGTAGAGGACAAGTAGTTTTATTTCAAAAGTAATTTGCAACGAGATCAACAGAATCCGTCATCACATTTATTTTTAGATATGTTATACTTACACTAAACATTAGTTTGATCTGAACAGAGTGTGAACCGATAATCGATTAATAGCCTGGTGTGTAACGCTAGAACTGTAGTGTCACAACATAAAATGATCGCGTTGCTCACATTTTATATATACTTTAGTTTTAGAAAAAAACAAAGATAAAAAATAGTCAAAAATGATTTTTTTTTTACCTTAAGTTCACTTAATAAACGAGACTTTTCTTCTGCAACAAGTGAACGGTCATTCAATATTTCATTCTTTTCAGCCAGTAGTTTTGCTTGCTGTTTTCTCATATAGTTTTCTATGCTAGTCGAATCATTTTCTGTGTCATTTTCAGCTTCACAGCCAGATATGTGAAATAAAACACCATCCAAAATTATGCGTTATTTTTTTATTTGCAATGTACACGAATATAAATGACTTTATTAAGGCGTTTATGAAGTTTCAAGTATTTTCATGAGAAATCCTAATATAAAAAGGGGCCTACTGGATGAATTTCTGCTAGCAGTATGATCGATGATACACATTTAATTCAGTTCAGGACTCATCAGCTGAATATACTTATATCAAAACTTTGAAATATTCTGCTTGAGTATCAGTATGAGTACCAACAAGGAATTCAGCTTTATCCAGCCATCAAGTCTCGCGTTGGGCTAAACGGGTGTTCTGAATTGCTTCACTAACCACAATCCATCTACTGTAAAAAGTTGTGGCAGAATGGCTATATCCCCACGCAAATGTTTTAATGAAGGCTAATTAACAATAGGATAATTCAAACCTTATCTGATAAAAATAACATACTTCTGGTGTCTTGACACATTGTAAGCAGTTAGGTCTTGTGAATATGGACAATACGGTGATAACTCACCCCACACCAATAACTTGTCATTATTAAACAAATGGTTATATATTTTGAACTATTTATCGTGAACTAAGATCAAAAGTAATATAGTGTTTGACTGCTAAAACAACATCCAACTCAAGTGCTGCTCATGATTTACTTTAATTTCAGTATGTCCTTAAATTGTAATTACTACTCTTCCATATAAATGTACACTAGCAGTTGACCTGGATACAGAGTTTAAAGTCATGAAAAATAATACATACCGTCCGACAAAGCATTTTTTTGTCGAGACTTCTGCTTTCCAGTCTTTTCTTGAGGTTGTTTTGGAATGGCAGCAACACGATTTCTTAATAGCGATTTAAGCCTATTTATTTCTTCTTGGTATTCTCGCAGTAAAGCATCTTTTGGATCTTCATTTATTTTTGGTTTGTTCTTAATATTCTTTGCACGGTTAGCATATCTCAGCGTGTTTATAGTTTCCTCATAATTATAAGTCGCGGGTCCAATATTTGCAATCATGATAGTTTTTGAATTGCCTCCCAAAGAGTCTGCGATGAAAGAAAAAAATAATATTTAGGATCTGTTGAAAAGTGGTGTGCGAAATAATTTCAGTTTTTGTCATGAGATGTTTTGTGTCACCTAGTTATGAAACATTGAGGCCTTTCATAAACATTTTAGGTTTTTAGTTTATGTCACTAATGGTGTCTCAAGTGTTTTTATATGCTATTCTGGATTAAAGTATACGTAAAGATGCTATGGTTACTGATTTCTATCAATTTATATGACAAATAATATGGGTATAACGACGTTATTACTCAGGTAAATTAGTTTACATACGATTGATGTGATGCACATTGATGTAGCAGCATCTTAACTGGTAAACCAACCAATCAGATCAAACTTGATCGTAAAAAGTAGGAAAATAACTGAAACTTATGAATAAACCCAGTATCAGGCTTTTTATAGGATTTAAATTGCTTTACAGTAAAAGAAATATACACAAGCATCTTTTCCGATTTTGTTTAGCGTATGAAGACATAGAAAGTACTTTATACTTGTAATTAATAATAAAATCGTCACTTTACTGGATATTTGAAGGTGAGTGGTGAAATACAGCTCATGAGATCAGTTAAATCAAAAATTCAAAGGACTTCAAAAGTTAATCTAAAATTGAATCATTTATTAGTAACTAGATACCTTCAAACGAACTATCTAGACCAATGTTGGTAAAATTAAACATGCAAAGACTTATGACATGAAACATAAGTGAATCATTTCAGTTTGTTTTCCTATGAAGTAAATAAATTAATCGCCCTTTCATTCTAATTTGTCTTACCTCTGTTTCTGAAGAGTAAGATAGTTACATCAACTTGACACGAATGGTTTCAACAAAATAATGGTTTAATTTTCACTTCATTTTTATATCACCAAAACTGAGGTTTTGAGGCCTCTGAAGCCAACTAAAATACTGAAGAGTTTTGTATCAGTTAGTAATATGTATATGGTGAAGCGAAATACTAATCCATACTGAATAGGCACTTGTGTCATAAGCTTTATGTAGAACAAACATCATTTACATGTCTATGCACTTATTAGCCTAGACACTTTAATAACCCCTTCAGAAGTCAAATTAAGGTTTACTGTTAGTTATCGCATAGAACTGTATGGAAAAATTTACTCTAAAAAGGATTTATAGTAAAATGTATACAGAATTCATATTCATAATAAATTCACAAGTAAATTATCACCTTGAAGTAAACGAGTGAGTTTCGAGTCACGATATGGTATGTGCGTACTTTTCCCATCCACCAGTGCCGATATCACGTTTCCCAAAGTGGAAAGGCTTAAATTGATTTTAGTGGCTTCTTTCAAGCGTTCTCCCTAAAGTATAAATGAGAGATGACATTTCAAAATAAAAATAAAACTGAATTAATCAAAGTACCTGATTTAATGAATAGAGCTTTTATGTTAACATCAAAAAAAGTCTGTTTAATCATACTTGTTCACATGCTTAATATTTTTCTTCAATAATTATAACAATGGACACATATTATGCCAATACGATTCACTATTAGACCATTTTTAAGGTAAAGGTATACTTTCAATGAATCAAACCTTTACTGTCTCGGTGTTAACAGTAATTAAATACAAACGCTCAAAAAGAAAACAGAAAGTAAACAAACAGAAACATGAATCAAATTTTTTTTTAAACCATCAATTCAGATATACCTCCGATAAGGTTTTGGACTGACGTTCACTACCTGCTAAATCAACGAGGTTTAATTTGCCAACCCGTATATGGTTTTCTCCATCTTCGCCGATCTATAACTGTTGAAAAAAAGAGAGTTTATCATACCTTGCAGCATTCAACAGTTACAATGAAAATAGCATGGGACCGCGAACTGTGTTCATTCATATTAGTGGCTCTGAAATACTATGTAATCTAACATGTAACTAATAACCTACCCAACTGCACGATTTTGATATCCGATTTTCATGACCTTCTGAATCTCGTCTATACTTTTAGTAAGAACAGAGGACAAATCCTGACCACAAGAAATTAAACAAGGTAACATTAAATGAAAATACTTCAATAAAAACTGAAACATCGAATTCAATGGAAACTTATTGTCAGTAAGCTAATCAATATACTTGCTTGTTACCAAATAAACCCAAAATGAACGATGCTAATGTGGGATGAGGAATTTGCTTATAGGACTGTTACGTTACTACAAACCTGTAATGACATTGAAAATCGTTACTTGTACTTGGAGTTTTTATTTACAGCCATACGATTAACGCATAGTCAATAAACAATTGGTTAAGATACCTGGATTAAGCCAAGAAGCAACACAGCTTTCTTGAGTGTTGGTTTTTTCCACCTGCGCTACTCTTACCACTACTAGTTACGATTTATTTCCGCTGGTTCTTATGATTTCGACAAACATTTGTTTGTATAAAGGTACTGCGTAAAGTTGGGACCACTAGAGACCGGAAGCAAGTGAAAGATCGAAGAATTAATTTTACACACAATGAACCCTAGTAAGAAATGAATCAAAATGTAAAAAAACTTTACGTGTAAATCACATTACTAGAGTGCTCCTTATACTCATCAAAAAAAGTATTCCAAAAAGTTATAGTCTCTACAGATTATTATCTAATGAGATGGTTTTTGGTATGGATAACTCCGTTAACCTTTTCCCGGTAATTAAGTACACCAGCCAATCATAGTAAGCTGCCTAACTGGATGTAGCAAAGTTTAGTTTTAGTTGCAAACGAACTCATCATCCTCAACGGCATATAAAAGTAAGTCCTGCAAATCTTTATCTAGTTGAGAAAGCGACAGGAAATCTAAACCAGTAGAGCAGCGGCTCATTACAGGCTAACTCCTGAGATCTTTAAGGATGGTGGTCCAGTTTTTGCAGCTAGGTTGACTGAGATCTTAGGTGGAATTTGAGATCTAGGCGTAATCTCATCCGACTGGTCTTATTCACTGATTGCCCCAGTATATAAAAAAGGACAGAGGAATAGGTTTAACTAATATTGTATCTAAAATACTGGCCTCGATAATATTAAGACGCCTAACTAGAACTGGTGAAGAGCAGACTAGAGAAAACCAGGATGGTTTTAGATCTGGACGCAACTGTATAGACCACATCTTCACACCACGACAGGTCCTGGAACACAGACAAACATTTAGGCGTCCGACAATAGTTGTCTTCCTGAATCTTAAAGAAGCATTTGACTCTGTTGATCTTGAGGTTCTGTGGCATCGACTGTCATTGAAAGGTGTACCAAGGAAGTACATTAAACTTATACAAGCTCTCTACTCGAACACTAAAAGTCGAGTTACAGCTTATGAGGACCTTTGATCGAAATCCTTTACTTCAAGTGGTGTCCGTCAAGGCTGTACACTCTCTCCATTCTTGTTTAATTTTATCATAGACATGCTCTTAGAAATAACCTTATCCTCGTCTGAATTTTCAGTAATAAACCTTCTAACAGGTGGCTCGCTAATTGACTTAGAATATGCCGATGACATAGTTCTACTTGGTGAAGATGCTGACAAAATGCAGAGTCTTCTGACTAGCCTAAGCAACAATGCAAGCATGTTCGGGATGCGATTCTCCTCGTTGAAATGCAGAATGTTACTTCAAGATTGGGTTGCATCGTCACATGAAATAATGATAGGGAGTGAAGTAGTTGAGCGCGTTGACCACTTCACTTATATCGAAAGTCTCATCAGTGCTGATGGCCTGGTGACTGACGAAATTTCAACACGGATACAGAAGGCTCGATTGACTTTTGCCAACTTGCATAATTTATGGTGTAGGCCAGATATCTGTTTGCTAAGCAAAGGATGAGTGTACTGTACACTAGTTTACTCCGTTCTACCATATGGATGCAAAACAAGGCCGGTAAGAGTTGAGGATATTCATGGGTTATTAATATTCGATTATAGATGTCTTCGAAGCATTGGTCGTATATCTTGGTACTCTCGAGTAGGCAATGCTGTTGTTAGGAAACGACTACTATGTGAGGATGGCACGTCAATAGGTGAAGGAGTGAAACTTCAGCATTTGAGGTGGTAAGAACTTGTATTAAGTATGACCAACTGCTGACTGTCTCGTCAAGCGATGTTTTGCAATGTAGGAGTAAGTTGGAAGAAAGCTGCGGATGGCCAAACCAAAACATGGCACAAATCCATGAGGGTACTGACTGTTGGATTGAGTCATGTTGTTAGATGTAGACTACCTGGTTGTGGTCCGCGAGACAATAGTAACCGATGGTTAGAGACCTTGAATGACATGGCTCAAAAACGTTTGGGTTCATTCTCTGTATTATATCAAATCCTAACATTCTGAATTCTTCTCCTCTCTCTTTCTCTATCTAAAGTTATCTCAGTTAATTAAGCTTCTTGAATAGTATCCTCGAACCATAATCTCTTCGATTACTGCTAATACGTGTACTACCTCTACCACTATGTGATTTGAGCTGACAAATGTGTCTCCGTGCCAGAGTGGTATGGCAAGTTGAAATGATATACGTAGGTATGAAGTTCTACGTTGTTACTGATCGACTGACTGATTCTCCCACATTAATATGCTCATTTGGGAAAAAACTCATTAAGAACGGCACATTCTGAAATTTCGGACTACGTTAACCAGAGGCTCATAACTGAATTGTCAGTAAAAACAAGAGTTTATTTGAATTTACTTACTTTTACATATATTCCACTGTCTGGCTTTTCTCGAATTTCTAACTGTTTTGACTGGTCTCTGCGAAGTAAGTCACGGATTTCCTCCTTGTATATTTCCAAATAACTGGCTCGTACGAGGTACTGAGAATCCTTAGACTTTGATATGTGATCGAATACATGAATGAATGAGTTAGGCATCAAACCTCTTAATTCCGGGTCATCCTGATGTCCTAGAAGGCATACAAGTTAACCTGCCAGTCATACCTTGGATAGTAAAAGTTTTCCCGGTCCCAGTTTGTCCATAAGCAAAAATCGTTCCGTTGAAGCCATGTAAGACGCTATTAATTAGGTCCCGAAAAGTTGAATCATATAAGTCTCGTTGTTTAGAGCTTTATAAAATGAACAGATCAGAAAAATTCCTACTTTTCATCATAAACGGCGTCAAAACTAAATCTTCTAGGTTCATCATTTTGTTTGCCATTAGGGTTATGAACTTCGATAATGCCTTTCGAACAATCAACAAACACACACCTGAAGGTTTAATTGCTCAAAGGTCCTAACTTTCTGTGACCGGCTAAAACTTCTTTTTCATCCAATGGTCTACATCTCACAACCACCTTCACGGATTCTAGAGAGTCGAACTTAGTCTATTTAATATATTATTTTAAGATAATTTTCGTTACTTGATCCATCGATTCACGCGCCGCGAACGACACCGTGGTAACAGAGATTCCAATATCCAATATCTATTGACGAGTTAGTATAAACCAACTGATTTCTTTGCACTCCATTCTTGTTCCTTCGGTACGGTTCCAGGTATTTCGTAGTGTCTAATGGGTGGTAGTTTAGCCATTCGACTCCATCATTTCTAGTTAGTTGTCAGTTATTAATTAGTTTGTATGTTCCGTGGTTTGAGTGAGCGCGTTTGTTTTCAAGGCAGTAGGGTTTCAGGATACCAGCAGCTATCACATTGCCAGACTGGAGATCGGTTAGCAGTACTATGGAGAATAATACTAATAGAATTGTAATGCTGATAAGATGAGGGAAATTTCAGAACTAGGTAAATAAATGTATAAATAAGTTAATTAATTGGTAGTGAAGATTGTACGAGAGGACCGAAGTGTAAGCAAACGAGAGTAAACAGAGAGGTTAAGTGGGATAGACGAAGTTACTGATCTGAAGGAATAGGCAATAATAACAACCAGCAAGTTTCGAAACATGTATCAGACACGGCTGATCCGAGAGGGTGATGATAATCCTCATGTAAGTACGTGTTCATCAAGTTTCTTCTTAAAGCTATCCACTGTGGTCACTTCGGCTGAGAGAGCATTCTAAGTTGCAACAGCTTTTAGTGGGAGAAAAAATGCATAAACTTTAGTGTTCTCTCTCTCTGAAGTGTAACTTTTCGGGGATCAACTTGAGGGGCGTGGTGGTGATATTTTTTGTTATTATGATTGTATAAGATCCAACACTTCCCAGTCCCAATTTCTTTTCTATTGGATAACATAAGCAGGTCCATTTTATCGCTTTCTTTTTCGGCTTTTTTGCTACGGTTCATCTGAAAAAAAAAACTAAAGGCCGAAACGTCACTGTTATTCTTGGAAGTAACGATCAATTTAAGCTCTATGAATCTATTCGGAATATGTATATCACCATAAATCGTCACGCTGAGAGAAAAGATACAAATGAAATTGCATGAACATGGTTCACTTTCTCATTTGGAGGGACATTAGGCTGGATGACCTATTATGTCCTGATGATGGAAACCTGTTTGACAACCGGTTTTTATTTAGAATTAGTTGACTGATGGAACTTCAACCACTTGTTGTGGCTAGGCGTCTTAATAAATGGTGGCTCGACAGAAACGTTAGCGTTCGGCTTACAGGTACTAGTTTCTGAGCTTGTGTCCTCATGAATCGTCAGGCCTATGTATTCTAAGTAAAAAAAGTAATTTGCACACAGCGGTTTAGTCATCTGTTATCTTTTACGATCCAGGATGTGATTATGGATATAAACGATAGTAGTGAATATGCCGTGAACATAAATCTTCCTTCTTATTCTGTGCATAACACTTTGGTAAGGCCGTTTAAATGACGACATTAATTAGAAAGCAAATACAGATGTGAAGGCATCAAGAATAGGCATGGTTTGACAATGCTTTAATTTGTAACACTTTCTAGTCAGTTTACCTCAAAGTCAGCCAGACCAGAAGTCTGGCTTGATGTAGATAGAAGATGTATTCGAAAGATAGTTACGATGTTGTGCGTGGTGACGCTTGGCACGGTGAACTTGTGCGGATGCATCGTTGAGTGCCTTCAGCTGGGGTGTATCCAATAAAACTAATGAGGTCATAATCAGTGTCATAGACTTACTGGGAATTGATTGGCCTCTACACATAAGTCGATTTCGTAGAATCGTATCTGAAGACAAACCGTAAAGCAGCAAAACTAAGCGAAGTGAGGAATAAAGCGTGTTGACGAACATACACTTCATAACAAGCATTATCATGGCTGAAAACAAAAAATGTTAAGTGTGACAAAGATACAGGCATCGGACAGAATAATGCGCAACCGACATACATACAAGGTACATGAGCTTAGAACCACATGGAAATCAATGTAAGACTTTAGTATTCTGAAGACCAAAAGTTCCTATGAATGTATCAATATTATGAAAATCTAAACAAACCAACAATAACGTACCGTCTGAATTAATCAGTTCCGTTTAAATCTAGAACGAATCATAAAATTGCAAATTAGTACTAGATACTACGATTCCCTCTTCTCGACAAAGAGATTTTCAATTTGGCTGGCCTTTAGTCAAACAGTAGTCACGTGCTTTTGTATAATAAACATGTTTAGGCTGGGTAAACATCGGATGTAATGATAAAATGTTGCGAAAAATTACTTAGTTAAACGCTCAGCGTTTTGTGAAGACGGTTTTGAAAGCCCAACAGCCATTGAAGGCCAGTGTACATCACTCATTTGCATTGGTGATCCAAATATTCTCAATGAAGTTTAGGACTCTAGTTGGTCAGTCATGGAGTCAACACGAACTCTCAGATGCAGTTTCATCCAATATAATTAGTACCATTGCTGAATTTTTGCAGAATTAATGATCTGTCCTCGATAACCTCCCATTATTTACAATTCAGTTTACGTCAACAGATTAGTACATTAAGTGTCTCGATTCGTTGGTACAGAGTTAAAGTAACAAATTGAACAGACGTATTCATTTCAAGTCCGAACTACTGTGCGTTACGACCAGCCGTCTCAACTAACTGGTCTCTTCCTAGTCGCTTCGGAAGTATACACACATCCATTCACTGGGTCAAAGGTAACGTTGCAATTATGAATGACTTTCGGGTTCTATTCTTGCGATGTATATATTTTACTCAATTTTAATTTTGTTATTTTTATTCTTACATATTTTCCTCTTCCATTTATTTCAAGCTTTCTTAAATACGTCGATTAACATGTCCGGTAATAGTATTGCTTTCAGCTCTTATACTATAACAACTTCAGGAACTAGTAGAGGTGTTAATTCTGGGATTAGTAGTGAATTGAAAATCTCAGTCTCTGGAGATAGAACCGTCAAAAAACACAAATCGTCATTCCGTAGTGAACCTTGGAGTAATGTACATAAATCCGATTACTCTATCCAAACACCTCCACTAGGTCTCCAACAATGAAACCAGGATGACAATCCTTCCCTGTTTCCTACTTCTAGTAAGGCTATTAGGTAAAAGACGAATAGGAAAAAAAGTCGTCCTAAAACTCAGACGATATAGCCTGCCATTCAAGAAAAAACAACAGTGATAGCTGTATCGATAACTCGTAGTCAGTTAAAACCAGTGACTCTGCATTTTATTATAAACATAGCCTTACTGTCGCTGCGATACTGCAGTTCTTAGGGTAGTACTTTGTTCATGCTGAGTCACTCACATTCGTGGTTCATATTGCAGGAATAGCGAGGCAAAGAAATTAAACGGGGCGAAGTCACAGGGCCCATCTAAAACAGACCAACTTATCTCTATCAGCAAACCATAATCCGCCTAACTTAAGCTCGATCAAACAGGGGACGAAAGCAGCCGTAAACCAAAACAATTAACCAACGAAACTGTTGGTTGTAGTAAACTCTTCAGTATTTGTTGAAAGCGAATTAAAGTTAAATTGCGACAATAACCACTTTTAATCCCGTCAGAGGCAGAAATCAGAAGACTAGTTGCGATTGGAGTTAAGGTATACTCATTAGCGATCTTGTGGTATCGAAATAATGCCAAGACTAGACCAAAATACAGAAGCGAGACTACCAAGCGTACGCGAGCAAACCCAAGATCAAGGAAAGAAGGAAGATGTGTGTTTTCGGTACAATTAAACAAACTGGCACAGTAAAACAATCACTTGTACAATTGATTATCATAAAAGTTAAGTCACCAAAAGGTAATAGTACGGAGTGGTGGGTGAGCGTAAGAAAGGAAATAAACAATACCAAAGTCCAAAGAACTATACAAACCAGTGACACGGAATTCAGACGCAATTTACAAATTTTATTTAATGTCCCAGTGTCGGAAATCAGCTTGCTAAATGTTGGGGCTGTCTTTGATCAAGAACAGTGGTAAGAATACTGCGAAATGCTTGGAATAAGCAGCACCCCTGTCAGACTTTGTCGTTTGTTCAAGAGCCAGAATGTTATTATTAACCCTCTACATCTAGTGGCTTTGGACTTCACCAATCGATAAGAACTAAGGCACTACATGAAGATAGGTCTCTATTGTAACATTAGATGTTACGAGAGCCGAGCTAAATCATTAGGGGGCAAAAATAAGGGCTCAGTAAATGCAGTCGACCTCGATCAACAACCCACGGCACAAGCTGCGAAAATAATGGTCTCTAATTGAATAAACTACACTAGCAAAAACTTGAAACGGTCATTAACCACAGAAGTGGCTAACTGGCTTTTTTAAACTTGTCTGTGAACCCAACAATGGTTCTTGCTGTGATGTGACAAACCAAAAAGGGCCTCTACAGTAATATAAGAGGACTAAGAGAAGTCGTCAGAGATCAGGAATTTGTGCCCTCAGATCATATTCCTGACTGAAACATAGCTATCCCTCGACAGAGAAGACGACGAAGTTAGCTTGCAAGGCATGACACTCTTCCAGTACGACAGGGTACTCAAGACAGTAGTCGGTGTGGTGACGCTTGTTAACAGACATTTCAAATTCGTAACACTACACAGCACCCAACTAACCTATATGACAGAACCATGCTAGAGCTGCTTCAAAAAGAATTCCATTAAATACTTGATTGAAGGGATTTACTGGCCCCCCCTTAATATTCAGGCAGAATCCATGCGCGTTGAAAAGTCGTGACCTGTTTAGGCATTCATTAGAGTAACACCGACTCCCAGCCGAATGTAGAAAAGATACTCCCTCTTCATTCCTTAGAGGAGGTGATAGGAAGGATCCAGCTTGTTACAGACCAGTAACATTACTACCAGTAATGCCAAAGATGATGGAAGGGTTGGTGAATGAGCAAATGAAGAAGTAAATGGATAAAAACAAAATCCTCTATGAAGCTCAACGCGGGTTTCGGAAGGGCAGGTCATACCCAACAAATCTTCACAAAGCATAGAACAGCTAACAAAACTTTCCACTTTATGCGAATACAACATGGTGAAATTACACTAGAACTATTCTAAATACCGTTTAAAACAGACACTAGCCCACACATTGACGTGAACAAGGTTGTCACATAAGTATGACTCATCGACTTCAAGGACGAGCAACTAGATCGGTGGTAAGGTTGGAGAGCTTAACGAAGATAGACTCCAGCACTTGGGATTATTCCCTCGGAAGTACATGAAAATCAGAAGTAATCTGATAGTGGCGAACAGCACCAAATCAGCCCAACACCGGGAATCTTGAAAAAACATCAACACCACGCCCCTCGAGGTGATCCTCGAAAGATTGCACTTCAGAGAGAGAGAACACTCATCTATCCCACCTAACCTCTCTGTTTACTCTCGTTTGCTTACACTTCGGTCCTCTCGTACAATCATCACTACCAATTAATTAACTTATTTATACATTTATTTACCTAGTTCTGAAATTTCCCTCATCTTATTAGCATTACAATTCTATTAGTATTATTCTCCATAGTGCTGCTAAACGATCTCCAGTCTGGCAATGTGATAACTTCTGGTATCCTGAAACCCTACTGCCCTGAAAACAAACGCGCTCACTCAAACCACGGAACATACAAACTAATTAATAACTGACAACTAACTAGAAATGATGGAGTCGAATGGCTAAACTACCACCCATTAGACACTACGAAATACCTGGAACCGTACCGAAGGAACAAGAATGGAGTGCAAAGAAACCAGTTGGTTTATACTAACTCGTCAAAAGGATATTAGATAATAGCTTCACATCTGAGTTGATAGTGCAAACTGTTGAAGTTCCGTTAAAGAACATCACAAAAGGTGATCTTTTTATAAGCATGTAATGGCGCTAGTGGCAGTTGACTAGGATTACCACTACATACTAATTATGAGCCCGTCACAGTTAAGATAAGATAACACATACAAGTGAATATATTTCCTGGTGTCGAAAGAATACCATAAAAGAGGCGCGTAATTACAGATACAGTGTGGCCAAAATGGCAGCTTTACAAACTTAAAAATTGCGCGTATAAAAGTAGTAATAAACAAAGAGGTTCAGTAAAACTATCACTCGTACAATTGGTTATATTAATGAATATTTTATTAAACCAATCGCGCTCTCTTTACAAAAGTGGATTCATTACAAGCAGTCGGACGTTATTCGAAAAATTCCTATTTTCAGGAGATCAAAATCATATTTTCACAATCAGGTTTTACTTACTAACATCTTTACTCTTAACACCTTCATAAAACCCAATGTTGTTTTTAGTTGGAGTAGCTAAATCAGTCATAATTTGACTATGTCAGATTTCAGTCTAAGTTTCATTACAATCTTTTACACTTAGTATCATAACAGATTCGCATATCTGTTATTATTATAGGTTTGCACAGTGAACATTAAAAAATTACTAACACGAATAGTTAATTTGGTTCTGACTATATATATATATATATATATACATATAATATATGAGCACACATTTTTTTACTTACTACAACTTGAACATGCGTCACCACAAATAACTCAGACTCACACTTTAAAACTTTATCAACATCTTAGTGTGCATGCATAGGAGTTTGGTATACATACTTTTTGTGATTTTGTTTTTCTGTAATTCAGTCAGATAGCCTAGACCAAACTGAAAACTGTAACAGCTGGGTCATTTATTTTTAGACACTAAAATATTTATTATTTCTGTATATTGAGGCCTAACTAATGTGAAATCATTGTATCAAAATCAGACTTTATTTCTTGTGACCAAAAGTATGAAGTCATCTTGAATCATATGTAGTAGTGAAAGAAAATACTTTAAGTTACCATCAGCTAGTTGAAATTTACCTATTAAATACCATGAGCTAGGCACACCTTAGAAGCATTCCATAATACAATTCTTGGAGAATTTTATGATAAATCAGTCGATCATCTCCAGTAAGCATAAAAGAATGTGTGAAAACATCATATTCAGATTGCATTTTTATCATTCCATTAGCTTTGGAATATTTTTAATTTTTTTTCGCTGTTTTAATACTATTTTAAGTATCATCCTTTTATTTAGATTCACAATCATAGCTTAAATCAATTTACAGACATCTTTGATTTGTGGATTAGTTCATCTTAACGTAGATAATGATTAAAGCTTAAAATACAATACTTCATTGTATATAACTCATTACAAGGCTTTCCTTACTCTTGCTTTCCCGTTTTCACATATATCAAGAATTCGTAAGCAAATACTCCTTATTTATATATTTCTTAATATTAGATTCTTTGTACTCTAAAATCTAAAATTTTATATTCAATAAGTGGTTTGTCAAGATAACAAACAAATTCGATCATATTAATTGTACTAAAATAACGTGAATAAATCTTCATTGGTTGCACTATTGTGAACTAATAATGAATCAATGAAGATTTAGTACAAAAACTGATATTAATCATTATTCCTTTCCATTTTTGGATCAGAAAGAAATTCATTTTACTTATGAATAATCTTAACAATGGAATCTTGGCAAGAATATGCTAAGAAAATTGTTGAGATTATCCGTTTTTATGGGGAAATGAATGAGACGGATTCTGTATGTTTTATTGAAAGAAATACATTAGATCCAAGTAAAGAGGATATATTAGAACACTTAGCAGCCAATAAATACGAAAGTCATCATTCGAATGAACTGAAAATACTGAAGCTAAATGTATATGATAAAATCATTATATTTGATTGTGCCAGTCTGAAGAAAGAATTCTTTCAACATGCATTCAGTCATCTTGAAAAAACAGAAGGCAAGTTAATGATCATCATGAAACTTCAAAATTGGATTAGTAAATTCAATGATGAACAATATAATCAATTTGTCACGGAAAGGAGATCATTGTTCAGAGACTTATTAGATGCTGGTTTCAATATCCAATGGGATGTAAGAAGAGTTAATTTTGTTTCATCTAATCTTTAAACAATCTTCTAAATATACCTGATAACGTTTATTAGGTGCGCCATATTTCAAACTAATAATCAAGTAATTTTAAGTCTATCATCCTCCAGTTATCAGTTTTAATGAACTGTTAGACAGATTTGATTCCAATTTCTTTAAAATACCATAGAGGTTTTTACTTTCTGATACATTATGGTAACTCAACAGTATTCATTTCATAGTAATATGGAAGAAGTGATGGTATGTATACTAAAAACTAAAAATCCTTCAGTGTGTATACTAGAAATTGTCATAAAAAACAGCTCTTTCATTCTGTGGTTACGAGTAGCTACTTTGCCATTGTTAGTTTAGTTTGTCTAAAAGTATTATCATCAGTCTAGCACAAACTTACATTAAACGAAGACCACTTGTTTAAAACCAGCAAATTTTGTTTTTATTTAAATATAAAAATAAAAGTTATTTAATTAGTGTCATAAATTCACAATATTTCTTTATCAACTTAAATATTACTGTTACTATTTCCCCAAGGTAATTAATGTAGCAGTCAACATGAATTCTCGTAGATGGTTTGAAAATGTAAAACATTGTTCAGAACACTTAATTCATGATATAAACGCCCTTATTAAATATGTTCCTTTTGAGAATGAAAATGTTAGAGTGAATGAGCAGTTATTAATAATTATCGCTAGTCCAAGGCTTCGAAAAAATTGTGAATTCAAGTCAATAAAGCAATCGCCAAAGTCGAAGAATAAATTGAGCAATAAACGCAATTTATATCAAAACACAGTAAGTAATTTTACCCTTATTCTCAACATGCTTTCATTAAAATTTGTTTTTCTAAGAGTGATATGTGGACTCAACTACTTACTTACTTACTTACGCCTGTTACCCCCAATGGAGCATAGGCCGCCAACCAGTTTTCTCCAACCAACTCTGTCCTGGGCTTCCCTCTCCAGTTCTGTCCAATTTTTGTTCATTCCTCTCATATCTTTCTCTATTTCTCGGCGTAATGTGTTCCTTGGCCTTCATCTTTTCCTTTGCCTTGAGGGTCCCATGTGAGGACTCGTCTCGTGATGCAGTTAGGTGCTTTTCTTAGTGTGTGTCCTATCCACTTCCACCGCTTCTTCCTGATTTCCTCCTCCACTGGAATCTGGTTTGTTCTCCCTTTTTCTAGTTCTTTCCAGTTTCCGTTCATTCTTCTCATGTCTTTCTCTATTTCTCGGCGTAATGTGTTTCTTGGCCTTCCTCTTTTCCTTTGACCTTGACGGAACACATACTATATATTGTTATTATCTTAACAGTTTAGTTCGAAACTTGGTAGAATTAAATGTTCAGATAAAAGATTCATAAAATATAATATGATGATCAAAAACATTTGGTTAAACTGAGTAACTGTTATTAAATGATACAATGTAAATCAGTGATCAAAAAAGCACTTGTTGAAAATTATATTATTCATTTGGAAAAAAGAACATTCATTTCCTCCTTAAGCGATTGTCAGAGAGTATATGAAGATATAAATAAGGCTTATTGGTTAGCAATCAAATTATGGTCAAAACGTAAACTACTGTATGCCAATTCAGTGGTCTGCTCGTTGTAAAGCATAAAGTTCCTGGATTCGGTTGCTGGTGTCGATTTACAAATTAAAAACAATAAGTTATTCAGATCTTCCTAATCTTCAATGATCATCTAACCAATATCAGTCGGTGTTGTGAAACTAAAAAAATCTATTCTACTTGCTGGGTATAAGAACAAACACTTTTATAAAACGAAAAGGGAAAGAACCATTCATCACCTAGAAACATCTTTATCTACTTCATGATTTCAACAAATTATCGAATATAAATACTGATTCTCAGATTAGACAACAGCAAATGACTGTTTTATTAATAAATTTTATAAAGCTTCAAACAATTTTCCAAATATATGTGGTGAAATGCGAGGCAACATTATGCTTCTTAATAATAATTTCAGATATCATAGAAATTCCAATCTATCCGCTCTTCTAATTCATTTCTGATTGTATTATTATTTGGTCAACTAATAATAAACTCCGACATCGAATGAAATAGCTGGTTGTTATCTTTGGTTCTTTTGAAATGGAAGAAAATGTAAGATGTGTGTGAATGAATAATCTGATTATAATAGTAGCAGTCATGTAGACGTTAAATTTTTTTTGAGTTTTTATGAACACTACATCCTTCATAGCAGTGTACGGAGACGAAACCATCGCAATTACTCTACATATTAAATATCAAGTTATTAAGTCACCAAGTCAAAACTCATAGGTCCTTATTTCTTGAAAGCTTTTACTAAGTACCACGCAATAATCACTTGATCGTATCAGCAAGCATTAGTCTTCCAACAAAACTCATATGTCAAATTTTTTGACGAACATCTAACTAAGGAATGTCCTGCTCCGACTTGTTATTTCCTGGGAAACGTGCATCTAACTACTTTGAGTTTGACTATAACATACCGGGCAGTTCACATTAGACTTAGTATCTGTCAAATCTTATCAGATCGAATTGTTTGAAAATAAAATTAGTACACATTATGAGTAAACAAAAATTCCTAAACGTGGTAACCAACAACAGACTACCAGGAGTCCTATTAAACTAAGCATATATATTCTACTTAACCAACTAAGCTACCTGAAATAATATATGACTTTCAGATGAAAAGGTAGTTACTCAATGTGCACTTCAATTTATTTTAACGTCATTTTTCGTAAATGATTCAACATATAAGTAACTAGAATATAGTTTATAGATAAAACGTTTGTTTCATTTAGCTGACTTTGTTAGATACAAGGGAGTTTATAAATCAAGAGCATAATAGTCTGAATAAGGCAGACATTGTTTTTATGTATTTGGAAATAATCCACTGTACTTAATAGTTCAACAGAGAGAGAGAGAGAGAGTTAATCGATAACTAATAGACTTCTAAGAGATAAGTGAACAAACTAAACTGAATGATACACCGAAAACTTCCAACTACATGGAACTTGGTTTGGAGGGAGGAATAATATGTCTATTATCATCTTGAGTCTTGTTCCTAACTTCTGTCCTACCAAATATTCAGAGTAAAAAATTGGCTAGTAGCTTTAAACCAAAGACTGGATGACTGTGCATGTGACGGATGAAAACTGGATTGATCCAGAAGTGGGACTCGTGAACTTCAACCTTAGTTAGGTGGCTTAGACATACCTGAATCTTTTATCTATCATACGACTTTAAAACAGTATGTGATATCTCTGGTTTCGTGGTAACATTTGATCTACTTGGACTCGTTTCGCTAATTAGTCAAACTAGTAAAAATCAATTCACAGTTCCATAGATGAAATGTATTTACTAACAGAATTCGATTTCTTATAATAGTTTGAATTGATTCTTATTGAGTTTTAGTAGTGAAAAGAAACATATAGTCGTATAAACTAATTTTTTTTTAATTTCTAATTTATTTAGACTAATATATGGCCATTATGTGTGACACCACAATTGAAGGATATAGTAAATGAACAACTGTCTAAAATTGTTTTACATTCAATGGAGTCATTGAATAAACAGTATAATAAAAAAACAAATCAAGGTGCTGTGAAGAGGTTAATCTAATATAACTTGTACAGACATGATAACTTTTGTAATTTTATTCTTTTCATTTTTCAAGGATACACATTAGACAGAACTGCGAAGATATTTATTATTAAAATCAATAAAATTCTCAAATGTTATCAAATAAGTGAATAAATAAAGCATTTTTTTTTACTGTTATTTGATAGTATATTCAGAGTACCACTAATGATAATTATCGATTGATGAAAAATAAAACTAAGTATTCTATAGTTTATCTTTAGCGTTTTCAATAGACCACATTTTCTCATATCTATTAAATGGAATGTATTATATGTACTTTGAGTTGAAGCAATCCCGTTTCATCATCATTTGAACATTCAACATTATTTTTAAAGATTTCAGATTGTTTGTTCGTCTATTAATCAATAAATAATTGACTTTCTCACTTATATGTCGTTAGCCAGCCAGAAAAAAGGAATATTCGCTAAGAAACAGACCGAAGCAGGCTGTACGAATTCTCTGTCAAAGTATGAATTAAAATGGCTAAAGTGTCCACTTTAGTGGATTTATTTATTAAAACTCAGATGCTGACTATGGAGATTTTTCATTCCTGATTTGTATAGTGAGGGCTGGAAAAAGACACTGTTTCTTGAGCAGATTATTAAAACTGGTGGATAATTCGTCATATTTAGCAAAATACTCTCGGAATCTAGGTTTTCGACCAAGAATTCTGAGCTTTTTGCTTAGTAGATAGAATACACTCAACGTATCCATAAGGTCCACTAATCAGCAGTAAACAGTTTACCAGTACTCAGTGAACCAATAATCAATATAGAGTACTATCAGGTTTGTATAGTAGCGCATATTAAGGTATGTAACCCTTGTGGTGAAATTATTTAGCACTTTTGTATCGAATTTCATGAGTACTCAGTACAATACTCCGTCAATTAACTGTAGCAGTTGAGGGACGTACTAAAGGTTTTTTACAAGGATAAATAAACTTTAGAACTTTATGATAGGTGATTATGGTAGATTTTAATCAAAGCAAGTTTTTATAAATTTATTTAGCAGCCTCAATAGTATATACTACCTTTTACTGAGCTTCTGAATTACTTTTTCAACTACAGAACGTCTAAACTGGTTCAACTTCCCCAAACAAAACCGCAATAATACCGAAACTCTTGTTCAGTAATCTATTTGAATGAAATGACTGTTCGAACTTAGAACAGTCAGTTAGAATGGTGAGAATATTAATGCTGTTTACCTATTAGTAAATCTAACTGTAAATCAGTTCTCGGAAAAAGATGCATTTGTAGGTGAGTCTCACCATTCCGAACCTGATCTGAACCCATTACCGTCAGTTAAATATCCAAGAAGCTCAAATCTAAGCGCACAGCATATACATTTATAAACGTGTACAGAAACATAATCTAGTAGATAACTTTAGAAAGTAATCATTATCTGGAACTATGAATAATTAAATCATTTTAATACGCTTCAGAACCTGCGAAATCACTGAAAATAATTTTCATCACCTCTTGGAAAATAGTTTAAGAAAGAATAAGGCTAAATAAGAGATAGTTATAATTAACTAATCAAACAAAATACTAATATGTAAAAACAAAGAATATTGGAATGAACCGATGTTTTGAGTAACATTCTTATTATTTTTTGTAGTTATAAATATATAAATATCACGTTAATTAAGATAAATCTTAAGGAACGTGTCATAAATTTCAAGCTTATTCATTATGTTAACAATTGAAGACAGTGAATTTCACAATTAATGTAGTGTTGAATGCTAATAAAGACGTTATTGGTAAAGCTAAACGTTTGTTCAAGAATTAGTAAAAAAAATCATTTTTTGTTCATCTTAAACTGATGAGTTCTAATTAGTAAATTGAACGTGTATGCTAAAGGCTCATACAAATTAAAGGGGATATGGTGTAATACTAAAAGTAATAGTAACAATATTAACAAGCATAATACACAAAATAAAGGGAATTAGATCAGTAAAGATCTAAATAAATAAATCGCTTATATGTTGTAGTAGAAAGTTTTGTATGAAAGATTATCTCCTAAGACTGATCAGTCTCATTTTTGGTATCTACATCGTCTATGGATTATTTCGAAATAGTCCTGAGTCAAAAAATATTCATTATGTTTGATGTTTTCGTTAATAACGGGAATTTTCGAGTCATTTCTGATACTTGTAAACCTATAATAGCTATTTAGACTCAACAGATCAATGAATCACATGCTAACATTTCAACTATAAAAGGTACGAGTTTTGAGCATTGGTGTAAAAACTTAGCTGATGAAACCCAATCGAAACAAAATACACATCTTAGACTCCACTGCTATGCATATTCCAAATATCATAAAATTATCGGTTAAGGCTCTTTCATATATCTGATCAACAAATTTCTGTACAGTACTATACGTTGTTGACAGCTGTAATACTATTTTTATTTACCATAGAAATGTAATGGTTCACAAAACTATCGCTTAAATGTAGTCAGTGAATATGTAACTCATAGTCTGAAATGTAACATAGTTAAGATCTGATTAGAAAGAAAATTTCTCAACTCCATAGTTGGATTAGAGACAAAGGTATTTCAATGACGCCTACGCATTTAGTGAAAATCTTAAACAATAAAAACTCATTTGAATTGTGTATGGCGACGTTAGCACAATTTAAAAAAACAAACAAAATAAGATATAATTTAGTATCCAGCTATTCACCAATAGAATGTAAGTATATTTACATCAATCAGTATTTCCATTAATAAATTCTTTGCTTTAGAGGCAACAGACTACGAGAGTCAGTCTTATTAAAATAATAATAATAATCGGATTCAAGGTATGTTACATACTTAATTCATGACTATTTCGTTATTTTGCATCATAATCATTTTTTTTATAAACTGTTGTAGAAAATCTTACATTTATACTTGAATAATGTAAAACTTAGGAAGTCTGATAGCATCGATAATAAACTGGGTAAAATTAATCAAAAGTATTTGTTTTAATCCAAATCAGACCAATTTAAATAATATCAAATCGATCTTAATTTTAGTAGAACTATCCCTTATTTTAGGCAAATACAATGTAACAGTTGCAACAAAATACATATCTCCTTAGTCTGCTTAATAACAATAGCTTACATTTTGTTGATCGTCTTTTTAATGTAATCAGTTTATTAAACATTTGAAATGATCAATCAATCATTGTTAGGCCACCATTAGAAACCTGAAAGCACTGGACGGCCGTCTCGTCCTGCTATGAGACTCATCAACTATACAGTGTTTCCAGGTTTCTAATGGTGGTCTAACAATGATTGATTGATTGATGACTTCAAATGTGTAAAATAAAACAATAATCTCCATAACTCTAATTGAAAAATACTTCTTTTGATAAGAATATAAGTATACTTAAGTGTAGGTAGAAAAAGTGCCTAGGCAACATCATCGATTCTATCAAAATATAAAATCATTATTTTACTGATCAAATATCCTGTTCTGCTTTATTAACTTAAAAAAACCTTTCAATAAAATAGTTGGTTTAAACTTGTTTACACATATTCATATCGATTATTATCACAACAAATGGAATTTATACAGTGATCTGATCACAATATAGATATTCTCAGAAGATATATAAAATTACTTGTTGAGATGATACAGAAAATTTGTAGCTCAGGTGGATGATTGTGGTGGTGTTGGTGTGTGGTTCTCTGAGCTGGATGTTTTGGTTGTGGAGCTTTCATTGTTCTTCTGAACAACATCATCAGCACAAATTTCAGATAGAAGTAAAGCATTCGAATTTCTCCACGTTTGATCGATTCATGGTTTCAAAAATGTGTAACTTAACAATCTTCACAACCCCGTAATGCGAATTACCTGTGCTCACTAGTGACTAGCTTCGTGAGGAATCTTCTCCGAGTTCTAGTGGGAAGACGTGACCAGTGAAGTTCAACCTGTTCGGGTGTAGACAGTAACTACCGAAGACTGTGTATAAGGTTGCGCAACTCCGTGAATTGATCAAGTTAGACATTAACACCGTTAGATACCGGCTCAGTGGTCCGATGGTTAGGCGTTCGCTTACAATACCGAAGGTCCTGGGTTCGAATCCTGTGGGGTGCATGAGTCGTGGATGCGCACTGTTGAGGAGTCCCATACCAGGACGAAACGGCTGCCCAGTGCTTCCAGGTTTCTAATGGTGGTCTAACATTGATCGATTCATGGTTTCAAAAATGAATGATTTCATTACTTTATACATGTATACATAGATATAAATAATGTATTGAATATTGAATAATAACATGGCGGCTAACTGTACACTGACAATTATTACTATAATGTATGAAGAAAAAAAACAAGTTAGGTAAAGTGAGTGATATATTGACTTAAAATAATGATAGAAGAATTTATTACAACGAACAAATAAATCTAAAAGAATAATTGATCGACATGAGTCAGTTTTTTTTCTTAAACAATTTCATGAATATTAATGAATTAATGAATAATTTATTACACAATATTCACCTTATTTCAAAAAGTTCATATTCATTGATTATTAATGAGTTTGCTTCTCAGAAATATGTTCTATCATTGTATTGTTGTTCTTATTACCACTACTATAAATGAAATTAATCAAAGCAAAATTTTCAAAGTCAAACGCAATAACAGACCGGTTTTCTGTTTGTTAGAATTTTACAATATAAACTGAAGAGGAATTATGAAATATGAAATTTGAAAGGATTACTATAACTTTTACTATAACTATCAATTCTCGAGTAATCAGTTACTACTGTATTCTATTTAGTTCTATTAGAAATTTGTCACGAAATTAGAAATATCATTCAAATAATATATATATTATAGTTTTTTTTTAACTGAATAACATTGTTAAGCATACATAGTTATTTAAGAATTCAAATGACCTAACAAAATATTTACTAAGTATTCTGTAATCATTAAAAATTGATTTTCTGTACATTGATGATGACCGTGAATAAATAAAAAAAACAGTTCAGAAAGTTGGGAATTTGTAAAGTATTCAAACTGGTTATTCATAGATAAGAGTGTGATATTTACCCAAGATTATTTATGATTTCAACAAAAATCTGATACTCTTAAAATAAAAGAGTTTTTCGAGGTTATTAACTAAAATATTCTTCACAAACAGGACTGAATTATCAATAGTGAAGGGTTTGTGGAGATTTTCGGACGTTATTGATATCATGAACTGACAGAATTTAGACATTTGTTAGATAGAAATCAGCATTGAATAACTGTTTCTTCGTAACATAGGACTCCTTAAAAGTGAGCATCCACGACACACCATAGGGTGCCAACTCAGTAGTTCAGAGGTTATGTGCTTGCAAAGTGAATGAAATTTCTTAACTCGATCATTTAAATGGTCATGAATGTGCACAACTTAGTAGCTTCAAACCTAAATGAAACAGCTTTCCAATGTTTCACATTTTTCAATAAGTGTCTAACTTTGCTCAGTGCTTGATGTCAATAAAATTGAATTTACTAAATTTCTTACATTTTTGCGACTGAAGCCATTCTAAGGTTACTGTAGGTCCCAAGACCGGATAAAGAAGGAGTGCTGAGCATGAAGTTACTAACCGCATCCAGTAGAAAATAAACTTGCTAAAAAACGCTAACCAGAACAAATGATTCAAACCATTCAAACTCTGCCCTGTGAGTTAGATTTTCATTTAGAAGGATTATCACATCTCATGATGAAAGTTAAGTTTCTTGGGGATTCATGAGGCCCATGACCCTTCGGACAATCAAACCAATAATTAATGTAGGTACATGGAGTGTTTGTACTATGTGGGAGACAGATAGAACCATTCAAGTCTCTGCGCAGATGGAAAGATACAACCTGATGGTGCTAAAATAAGTGAAGTTTATTAGAAACAGGCTAGACAAAAAAGATTAATTTCAGGAGAGACGCTGATATACTCAGGCCATGAAGAACTAAATTCCTTACACACATATAAAAGGGTACACTGATGCTAACCACATAAGTACAGAAAGCACTGACAGGGTAGGAATCTCATGGATACAGAATCATCAAAGTATACTTCAAAATATTGAAAGAGGGGATCACAATGAATGTCATTCAGTGCTAGGCGCCTACCAACGATAACAATGAGGGCGAAAGAAAATCAGTTCTATGAGAGGCCTCTGTCAATTATTAAGAATATACAGAAGCAAACAAACGAGTAAAGAGTGGTGTTAAAGCTGAGAAATGTATATATGCGCAAGATCTAGCCACGACAGCAGAAACAGATGAAAGACAAGGAAACATGAGACAACTATACGATGCAACAAAGAAGCTCGCTGGAAAATATTGTAAATCAGAACGATCAGCGAAGGGCAAGGAAGACACAGCCATCACGGACATCCAAGAACAGTGAAACAGGTAGGTAGAGCACTATGAAGAACTCTTCAATTGAACAGCCCCACTGAATCCATCCATCATCGAAACAGTACCTACAGACCTCTCAGTTGATTTTGACCCAGCAAAAACTGAAGAAATCAGCAACGCAACCTCCAAAAACTGTGCCTCAATATATCGTAACAGTGCTCACTAGTGACTAGCTTCGTGAGGAAATTCTCGGAGTTCTAGTTGAGAAGACGTGACCAGTGGAGTTCAACCCTGTCGGGTGTAGGCAGTAACTACCAAAGACAAATGGGTGAGGTCGCTCAAAATCCCTAGATCAATCAGAGTTAGACATTAACACCGTTGGATGCCGGCCCAGTGGTCCGATGGTTAGACGTTCGCGCACAATCCTGAAGGTCCCGGGTTCGAATCCTGCGAGGAGCAGGAGTCGTGGATGCGCACTGCTGAGGAGTCCCATACTAGGACGAAACGGCCGTCCAGCGCTTCCAGGTTTCTAATGGTGATCTAACAATGATGATTGATTAATGATTTCAAATGTGCAATCATGTAAATCAAGAGCGGCATAAACAGGCAACATCCTAGTTGAGACACTGCAGAGATGTTCTGCTTTCTATTCAGGCAGATTTCGGAAGAAGAACAAGCATCGACAGACCGAAAAGATCTCAGCAAGTGTGAGAACTACATACGCATTACTCTACTATCAATATCAGAAAAAGTCTTCAATAGACTACTGGTGAACCAAATGAGGAAATCAGTAAGCTTCTGACTTTGAGATTATCAGGTCGGACTTCATTAGGATCGATCGTATACAGACTAAATCGCGACATCACCAATCATTATTGAACAGTCAACTGAATGGAACTCATTAATATACATCAATTTTCTTTGACTACGATAAAGCATTTGATAGCGTGGACAGGAAAACATGATGAAAACATCTTCGGTAGTATGGTGTACCTAAAAAGATAGTCAATATCTTACAGATTTCTTATGACAGAAAACTAATAAGTTTAACCCCGCAGTAGGCTGTCAAAATATTCTTTCAGTAGAAAAATTATCCACTTGTCTGAACAAATTAACATATGAACTGGACGCAGTTTTTGAAATGTAGTCATGTTACTATATATTTTTAAAATTATGTGAGTGGATCATGATTGAGCATCTAAACTGAGTATGAGCCCGAGTACCGTAGTGAAAAAATTGTTTCCCAAAATGTCAACATTTTGCCTTTAGTTTCTCTTGGCTATGAGATTGTGAGACCTGAATTCTCCTGTTTATTGGAAATAAATTCTATGAGTTAGACCAGGTTAGACCATTGCAGCCAACCAAATATATATCATGTTTGAGGTCGATTATCCTTTGGCAATCTTCAAATACAGCCTGTAGACTTACACTAGAATAAACTCCAATCCTGGAGAATATATGCGTTCACATGTACATCTTTTCCACTAACCGAAACCTACATACAAATACAAAGCAACGAAACTGATTTACAGACATTTTCTGAAACAGGAATTTCTCATACTGACGATCAATGACGCAACCATAAATCGAGTGATCATGTCATACCATGTTAGCAAGCTGTAAACACAGTTTATTGACACGGAATATTGATATTCATTCCCTTGAAATACTTGATTAAAACTCCATGCTTCCTCTCAAAATAGTGGGAATGTTTTCACTTTAGTCTCGTTAAAACTTATTCTGACGTAATCTATTGCCTCATTAAATGTTATACGAATAATTATTCACTAATTTGTGTTTAGAAAATGTATAGCCCAAAATTTGTTTAGGTAATGAGGACTGATGATTTCAGCTTCGCTGCTGCATAAAACTAATTTCCTGAAGATATTATTATTATATTTTGCACTGCTTAATAATGAAACATTATATCATTATTTTTACTACATCTACTGTATTTCTTAACAAGTCAGCGACATAGGCGACAGCCAGTCCGGTTTAATTTATTTCACTGGTTCAGATGGTTTACTTGAGACTTGTGTACACAGTATTTGATTATTCCAGTGTCAAATGAGTGTTTCTACAGACTGAAACTCTACTCTCTTTTAGATGTATTCGCTTTAATTACATCAAATTATTAATACATATTAATTAAATAAGTTACTGATTTTGTGTTCTGTTATCATCATATCTTCCGAACAGCTTTGTAATTTAATGCCAAAATAGATTTCTAATCATTTTTAATGCTTGACTTAGATAACTTATTTATATGAGAAATAAATGGTGACTTTAAAAAAAATGCACAATTCTATATAACACATGATATTTAAAATTTTAACAGTTATTTTTACTGAGGGTTAATGTTTAGTTACATTAAGCATATAATCAATACGTTGCATACTTGTAATATTGATCTAATAATTATTCTACAAGCATTTCAGTCTAACGCTCTTAGAGTAAAATAACTCACAGTAAAAATGAAAGATCGATAACTAAGATTTGAAAATATTTTTTAAAAAACTCATTCTTTCTTAATGAACTTGAGTTTAAATTTACAAAAAAATGAATGTGGGCTAATATGCAGATTGAACATGTATACTACTCTTAGAAATTAAGTAGCATCTGAAAAAAGGAGTAAATAATAATTTGACATTGTAAGGGATTGAAATTATAGGAATTAGTTTTACAAATCAGTAACACTATTACTGTAAATTAAAGATAATTCGATCACAAATAATTAATAATAAAATCTTAGAAAGGTTGTTCAAATTTAAGGTTTATAATTTGCTTCACAATTTGAATTCACAAATGCAACCATTCAAAATCAAGATGAATTAGACATATGTTTCATAGTAATGTGAATGATTTCTGCACTATCCACTCAATATAGAACATTTTGACTACGCGAAAAGCATAAGCTTGAGAAACAGTGACTAGTGAGGACCACCGAAGTTGGGAATAAAGTCGATGTCACTGATAGCACCGGATTACGTTTGTCTGACGTTGGAAACCTAGAAAAATTGGGATAATTATCATATACTCAGTACGGTTGGTTAAGAATGTTAACGTTGACCAAATATTATCATATTCTTAAAGAAAATAATAAAGACTAAAACTAACAATGCATAAATTAAAACAATAGTGATATACTTTAAATTTAGTGTAATTGAAAAATCATGCTTAATCTCAAACAGAAAACCAAAAAGGCTTCAATGTAAACGACAGTATTTTGTTATTAGAAACAATCCTTGCATCTCCAATAACGAAAGAAATAATACAATATATGACATTTGTACAGCTTTATCTTGAAAACTTAAATAGAAGTTAGTTATTTCTTAATCATCCAATCGTTCTAGATATAAATTAGATCAGTTGTACTGTAAACAACTAAGATTTCTAAAAAGAGAAGTGATTTCCTAGATGAACACTGCATGACATCTAAACGTGTTCAATGTATTTTTTTTATTCTGAGGCCATGAATTTCATAGCCTATAAAATATGAAAAGCCAGTTTAAAACTTTATTTGAATTATTCATTTAATCATTTTATATATCGTAACAAAATGTGATTATATGTAATACCTTACTAAACCTACAATTATATTTTCAGAAATACATAACAGAATGTATGGAAATAGAATCAATTCCGAATCTTTTACAAAGTATAGAGTACAACACTTGAGAACATTTGAAGTTGCTCCTAAAAATGTATTACCAAATACACAAACTGCTGTTGAACTGCTGATGCAAGATTGTTACACATATGTACGCAGTTTTGATATATTAATTGATGACAATGCTAATGAACCATACCTTATTCTTATTGATCCACGCAATGGAAATGTAAGTTTACTAGTTTATGGCCTTACTATTGAAATACTAACTGTCATCAGGATTTTGAGAATAATTTTTCAAAGAAATTTTTTTGATTTTCACTGATGTTGTGACAAACATGTCACATTTTGTTTGGATTACCTTATAAAGACGGACTAAAGAGTAATATAGTTAAACTGGTTTAGATGATAGAAAAAGATGTTTAAACATATCTTTAGTCTATCTAAATAAATAGAAGTGGAATTTTTTAAAAACTTTCACGATTCTATGATTAATGATTTGGGAAAGTAAATATCTATCACTTTGGATTACTCATTAAGAAAGGTACTGTTTGTAGTTGAATTCGCTGATGTAAACAATTTGTGGAAAAATACTCAGACGTATATGAGAAAGTATGGAAGATCACGGGTTGTATTATCGAATTTTCTTGCCCCAAAACTGACCAATACGCAGCAGGAACAAGAAAACGGATTCTTCATACCTGACGGCTTTGTCCCAATTCTAACTAGTCCTGAATAAAGAGGAAGAACACAAGTTCAATGATCAGCAGTCCCAGATCAAGATCCAAGATTATTATTATAATACAAAGATTCATTTATATGCATACAAAACCAGGTCGCATCACAGCAGTAAATAAAATTTACAATCAGACATCAATGAGCTGAAATGGTTATGAGTAGGGGCGACTGTAAATAATATGCTGTCAACAAAATAGATACAGTAAATCGTATGATAATTAGTTATGGGTTGACAGAAAACTTATGATAAAAGTATACTCCATAGTTATACACTCTGAGACTACATAATATAATAACTCATCAATTGGCTTTTTGTTACTTTAATCTTCATTTGAGCATAACAAAAATGACTTCCGATTTTTCAGCAGTAATCATTTTATACAAAGTCTACTTTATCGTCTGATTTTGAAAACAAAGAACATAATCAGATAGGTGTATTGTTCCATCACTATTACTAAATGTGATATCATCAATTGAAAATGAATACTTAAAATAAATATGCTTGGTGAGTTTACTCTACCACTTACTTTCTAAACGAACTAAATATTCAACAGTGATTATTGATCAATGTGACGTCTTATTTCTATATCCCGTTTTAAGCGTTTCTTTCTAATCTCCCGTAAACTTTCAAATATTCAATTCGGCAAAAGGAAATGAGCTTCCAATATTCTTCTCTCTCTCTATTTGATGAACGTTGTTATGGATGTTAATAAAATCATATATCATTTAAGTAAAACGGATACTAATAAGAAGAAATATTTAATTTTTTTAAATCTGTTTTCAAAGGCTGAAGTTGAACGTTTCCGAATCGATCGCGTACTTTATCCTCGCTATCGAACAACTCCCCCAGAAGTGTGTCCAGTCAACAATCTACTAACATTCACTATCAAAGCTGGTTCAATGGATAGAGGACGTCCAATCCGCAACGAAATACATTTATTTCAAGTAACATAACAAGTTATTTGTTTGTCAACTTATCTGTATGAAGGTTTTAATTAGAGGAAAGTTTCTGTTTTTCTATCATCGAATATGCGAGTGGTTTCTTGCTCTTAAGGTCTATAGATAAGTGATATCACGAAACTAAAATCTTTGTAGTATATAGGTTTAAAATGTATGTAGGTTTGCAAGTATATATATATATATATATATATATATATATATATATATATATATATATATATATATATATATATATATATATTGAGAATGACTCATTTAAAAGGTGAATACATGTCTACAAAAACAAATCTATACGAAAGAAATTTTCTCTCATCGATTTTATTTTTAAAAGCTCTACAACTGTTTGTTTATACAGAATAGTCCGTTAAATAACATATTTGTTTGTCAGCATGAAAGTTTAAGGGTAAAATCAATAATGCAACATGAAATTCTTGGAATTATGGAAAACTAGGGGGTTCAAGTCACAGATAAGTTTGGAAAAAAATGATGATGAGATTTTTCTATAAAGTAGACTGACAAAAGTAATGATAAACAAGACCAGAACTTCCTGAAAGGTTAGAAGAAATAAACACAAAACATTGAAGGTATGAAGGTTGACTGAGGTCATACATTTGACACAGGTCATAAAGATATTATGATTTGGCTATAGATTTTGCATAGCAAAAAAAGTAAATCGAAGCATAGATTGAGCATGGTTATGTTGTTAGTTTACTGTGATAAGCCTGGATGTGATCTTTGAAACAATAATTCTAACATATTTTTATAATCTGCAGTATTTAATTTGCACCGTCTTGTTCCGTTAATTCATCAAAATTAACTGAGTTGTTTGATGTATCAGAAATAATCTCTGTCATAAGTGAAAAGGCTGGGAAATATCAAACCATGAGTGATATACTCATGATAACCTTGATTAGCACAATTTTCATTGTAGAAAGAAGTTCATCTGAATCATGTTTTATTTTTCAGCAGTCAACTTTAACATTTAACTTTTCAAAAAAATGCTTCCCAATTCATTTAACGTTTTCTTTTTAGAGCCTTTTGTAGATTATTTTCTAGTTGGGATCATGATTGACTTACTTACTTACTTACTCCAGTTACCCCTAACAGAGCATAGGCAGCCGACCAGCAAATTATTTTTCTGGTTGGCAGTTTGTTAGCGAGTTAGATTTTTCGGGATGGGGTTACTATTCACATGCACAACCCTCCTTCTTTATCCGGCTTTGGGGTCCAGGCAGAGGTTTGCTTCATGAACTGACCATAAAATTCCAGTTAAAACCACAAAGCACTGAACAGTTATTTCATCCTAGTATAGAATTCCTCACTTGTGCGCATCAACGACGCGCCCTGAGGATCGGGCTCAAAGCCGTCAGATTTTACAGCTAGTACTTAACTTTTACAACATTCAATTGTCATTTCTCGGTTTACATGTTCAACTTTAATCATTGTTGTAGATCAAACTGACATATATCTTCTTTGAAAACATATATTAATTAGAAGAGATTAATAATGGGTTCTTGAGAGAAAAAGAAATTATTAGGGTTTTAATTACCAAAATAAAGATATCTAGTCAGTTTTGTAGTGTATTAACCTAGCAGTATTTGCAATTACTGTTGTTTTTCGAACTAATGGATTGTTTTTTAAATGATTTGAAAATAAAAAGGGTATTTTCCAGTTAATCTTAACTCATGATGAATTTATATATATCCTGAAAAAAGTTACTGCTTACAAGTATATCAGAATATACTACTTTTGTGGTTTAAGAAAAACAGTTTAAAAATACCGTTCCTTGTGATCTTATCAATGTTATATATTGGCAGTTATTCGATAAAGTTTCAATCTGAATTTATTTGATTTCGTTCACTTTTCATGGGCATGATATGTGATTCAAAGTAATGATGAACCACATCATCTTTGAGTGTTAGAAAATCGTTCTGAAATATTTGCTCAACTTGCTGGTTGGTTAGAATCTACCATTTTCATCATATTTTTCATATACATTTTCTAAATCTCACAATACACGAAATAAATACATTTGTTTTCAATTTTAATATGCCTTGCCAAGTAGTTTATAGAGTGCGCAATTTTAACCTCCATAATCAAACTTTATTAACAAACATGAAAAGTAACAGATTTATTGATGCACTGTTTATAAACTAAAGATTTACATTTGCACAATGTTGTTTTTCTAACATTATCATGTAGGTTCTAACCTGTCCTGCTCAAACAATTGTCAATGCTATGATGAAAGCCGGAGCCATTGACAATGATTCACATGATCAGGGGTAAGTGCAACTTTGTAGCGTTGGGAGGGTAGGGAAAATTTGTAGCTCAGGTGGATAGTTATGGTGGAGTTTCGTTCTCTAAGCTAAATGTATTGGTTTTTGAGCTTCGATTGTTCTTCTGAACAACATCAACAACAGGTAGAAATGAGCAATCCGAATTTCTCTGCGTATGATTGGTAACTTGTCCTGTTGACCTAGATCCTGATTGGCTGTTATAGACCTTCAATCACTCATTATCTGCCTCTTTATTTCGATCGTAACCCCTCTTGAATTGGTTCTTGATCCTATGGTTGCCTATGATTTTTCTGACTGGTTGATATATCGCATCAATTCCGATGTTTTTGTTTTGTTTTGGTGTGGGACTCATCAGTAGTGCGCATCTACAACCCCGCAAGGTAGATAGAACTCAAAACCTTCGGTCTTGGTTGTGTAACATTGATTGACTTATGATTTCAGTGAAACTCAGTCTCCACAACCCTATAATGATAATTATTATGTGCTCGATCACTATTAAGGCCGCAACTAACAGAGTTCAGCCATGTCGAATTTGAGGCAGTTACCCACTGAAGACATCGGATGAGATGCGTGGAATGATTGGAGTTAGACATTAACACCGTTGGATGCCTGCTCAGTGATGAAAAGATAAAACATGAGATCGAAGATCCTAGGTTCGAGTCCCGTGGACTAGAGTTGTGGAATAAACACTGCTGAGACGAAACGACTGTCCAATGCTTTCAGGTTTCTGATGGTAATCAAACTTTGATCCTCATAATAACAAATAATAGACTATTAGATAAATTCATTAATAGTTGTTAGTTTGAAATCCTTAAAATGGTTTTGTAAAAATTTGGATAAATCCATTTTTCTCTACTGGTTCTCACTAACTATATATAATGTTTAAAACTTATTGGTACATAAGTTAACGGCTTTACATCAAAAGTTCATCTTATCTGTCAGTTAAGCTTTTAAAGACAAAATACTTTTGTTCATACATCATTAAAATCTATTTTTAAATCAATTAAAAATTGAAAAAAAATAATAATTTTGAAAAATGTTTCAGGACTGTTCAGATATTGGGTTATGCTTGTGTAGCTAGCTACATAATCAAGTTTGATTAATTAAAGATGAGAGGATATGATTTTGATGACAAAGCCAGAACAAACATTTTAACCAAAACAAATACAGGCAACTACAGTCAGAGTTAAAGAAAGAATGAAGATTTTTTGATGAATTTCATGTTAAATTAGCTACAGGCTATAGGTTCGTAGAGAAATTCACTTGATGAAATTGTAAATGTGTAGTTAGAAATGAAATGGTTACAGCAGTCCTTGTCTATGTTAACATACTGATTGTTTAAACGTATCATAACGTATAAAAGTGTATTTTTGGACGCCATTAACATATTCACGCCTTTCAATTGTTCGTCTTATTTTTTTTTTGATAAATAGTTCACTTTAAATAAATAATATTGTACAAGTGTAAATGAAATTTCTTAAATGGTTGTTTGTCTTTTTTTTCACTATTTTAAACAGCGTAAATGACTCTATGCTAATCTCTCGAGCTCCATCTGAACCGAATCTAAGAATGCCACTGCAAACACGTTCAGCTGAAATTCCGTCAACACCATTGATCACCAAAGAAGACAGTGTATACAGTGAATCTCAAATCAGTAAGTAAACTAGTTGACAAGAAAAATCCCAACTAATATTTATTCTTATATTTCATAGTATCAAGTCTATTCATTTAGAGCAGTATTTTATTTAATGATATTGTATATTATTGGAAAAGTTACTTTAATCTACAAATAGTTTCTATCATTTTAAAATATATATGTGCTTTTCATTATTATTATTATTTACTATGATCTAACATGATATCCAAATTTTCATAGAAGTATTAAGTTGTCAGTGAAGAATAGAATTGAACTCTTTGACCTTGTGCCTTGTCGGTTTAATTCATTTTGCTGTGACCTTAAAATATTTGCTAGAAAAACAATAACAAAGCTAAAAATAACTCTCACGCATGTTTATTTTTAATGTAAAAGAATTTGTAGAATTTTCATAGAAAATGCTAATTACTTTATACTTTACAGTTCAACGATTCCAATTTAGTCTGACTCATATTTAAATTATTAAAAAAAACAACCGTTTATTTGTTCTTTGACAATAGAACAAACAGAGAACTATATTTATTATGAAAGATTTCTTGAAAATACTTTGATTTCATGTTTCCTATCAACTAAACATTTAACTGTAAATAAATAGATTGTTACATAAGAATGTTCTTAAGTAAAAATATCCTTTTGAATTCTACTTACTTTAATTGCAAACGGTAATTCTATATCATAGTCTCAGAATCGACATTTTTTTAAACAAGAACAAAATATATATATTGTTGGAAAATTAAGCACTGATGATATATTAATTATCAAGAACGATTGTAAAAATTCAGTAATTAAGCCATCTCTCTAGTAGACAGAACTTAGCAACATTAAAAGTGTCTAGTTGAGCTGAAAATCTTCATCATCTTCCATAATGTGATGAGTATATTCGAGAAATTAAATGGATGGATATCTTATTAAATTTATATAAATATTAAATAAAAACCGATTCACCCTATGAAAATTATTACTTACTTATGCCTGTTACAAAAGAATAGTGACTAATTGATTAAAAAGTTATTCTAATGTTGATTTGATGTCAATAAATTGTTTAAATATAATATACTTAATGGTTTCGTTAACTTATTCTTATCAAAAATAAAAATTTAAATGTCATCAACTATTAATTAGTGATTTATTGACAATTACGCACTGGTAAATTTAAAAATCTGATAACACAGATTGATTAGAATTGATGTATATTACCCGATTGACTTTGTAAACTATGCTTAACGAAAATGACCAACTATTTCAATTATTGAATTATCCTCACATTATCACAGGTATTCCTTAGCACTGAATAAAGTTCAAACACAATGTTAAGTTATTGCATTTAGTAGCCTTATCAAAACTTGATCACTAGAATTCAATAAGTAATGGGGATTGTTTAATATGGGGTATTGATTGCTACCCAATAAGTGATTAACATAAACCTCTTCGGTCATATAGATAAGGTTAATCCCGATTACAATTACGGAGACGATTACATGAATCAAGATCCCAAACACATTTTGACAATATGTGTTCACATGGAAAAAAAATCCATCCAGATTTTTTTTTTTACCACTTAACTCTAACCATCCTTTGGTTATCATTTCATACGTGAAACATTCTCAACGAATTTTACTAGTATAACTTCATTGTAATTTAAGACTGTTTTCTGTTACAAACAAACCTATTTGTTGCATTTACGTCAACACAAAAGAGAGGTTACCATATGAAAGATGGTATTATAAGTTTTCATCTTATTTAGGTTCACACAAAATGCGTTATTTGATGTTATATTGTCTAAGTACCATACATAGTCAAACAAAATAAAGTTTTGAAGGATTGTTTTTCCTAGAGCTAGTTGAAAACAATATTTTAATCATATTTTATCATTTTCATAGACTGTTTCTATCAAATAATCAGAACAACATTTTTCAGCAAGAAACAGTGATTATTTATCATATTAGCTAAACTATTTTATTATTGTCACATTTCAAACAACCATCTTTGAAGGGATTTAAATAGAACTTATGTAATCTTTTTATTGGTTTATATTTTCACTTATACAGATCGTGAATGGATTGACCTAGAGGTTTCACTACTGAATCATTGCTTTGATGACATAGAAAGATTTTTACAAATGTTGAAAAGCAAAACAAAGCGACAGTTTACCAGATCACTGTCAGTTGCAACATCGAGCAAATCTAAATCTCGAATCTCAAGTGTTGCCCTAAATGAGGGATCAGGTAAGTGCATTGAATTTATCAACATTTTTGAAGATACCGATTTTTAAAAATAAATAATTAATTTTTAAAAATGTTGATATATATATATACGTTAAACAGTAATATTTATTACAAAATAATCAATCTCTTATCATTAATATTTTCTGTTATAAATAATCTAGTCAGAATATTTAATACTGCCATAATAAACAGAAGTTTAGTTAAATGTTGAAAAAAAACTATATAAAACAGGTTCACTATGTCGATCAACCCCATCAGTTAGAAGAAAGCACTTACAAAGTCACAGTGTATATTTCAAATAAGAATGATTATGCTTTAATGATGATGTTTTAGTATACAACTTTGAGATTTCAGATTGCCTAGAAATACTTGTATATGTGATTATGGACATCGGATAACTAACACAGAAGGAATGGAATTGTGAGATCAAATTTATACGGTGTGATATTAATTTAAAGAAAAGATCCTATACACAATGGTGCATTTTTTTACACTTCCGAGACCCTTTAAGTGCAAGTCATAATGTTCTTTGTTCAACAGATTTTGGAATCACCAGTTACCTTTTCAGATGTTCTGAATCATGATACCTAAGTGATAATAATGGATTGATACCTTTATTAGAAATAGATTTGCTTTGCAAAGCGATTAAGTTTAACTTAACTTCTTTTGAGGTGTTAGAAGAATCATTGAAACATATGAATCGGTCTTAAGGAAAAGAATTTATCATACAGATCGGAATGTTTAAGCTGAGTGATAAATAAATGGTAGCTTTATCATGATGCGAACTCGGAACTATCTATTTATAATATAATAGTAGTGATAATGATTTAAAGCGAACTATTGTTTTATTCATTCTGAAAGTATACACATTCATTTATTAAAATTAATGAATACACAAGTTCTTCTTCTTAAAGACCTAATTTTGTAACAGTAATATAATCTAAATATTACAGCACAATTTTTTCAATATAGAGGTTGAAATCTGATTTTTTAAGCAAATAACTAGTCAATCAATCAATCTATCAATATCAACGTAGAACTTCGTACGTACGTACATAAGTTCATGTTGTCATGCCACAACAGCACGGAGATGTAATTTTCAATTCAAATCCAATAGTAGTAGAGGTGGTAAAAGTATTAGGAGTAATCGTAGAGGTTAGGATTAGAAAATATTATTCAAGAAATAGAATCTAATGAAGTAAATATAAAAAAAAGATAGACGTGATAAGGAATATACAAGATTAGGATTTGAGAGAACACAAAGAATGAATGCACCTGCAAATGGTTTTGAGCCATGTCATTAAAGGTCTCTAACCATCGGTGACTAGCGTCTCCCAGATCCCAACCAGGTTGCCAACATCTACATCTATGTGATTCAGTCCAGTTGTCAGTGACTTAATGGATTTCTGCCATGTTTTCGTTTGGCCGCCACTACCTTTCTTCCAACCTATTCCTACACAGCAAAACATAGCTCGACGAGGCAGTCTGTGGTTAGGCATACGTAACACATGTCCCAACCACCTCAACTGATCGAGTTTCAATACTTCATCTGATGACCTGCTATCCTTACCTAGCACCTGTTTCCTAACAACAGCTTTGCTTACTCGAGAGTACCAGGATACTCGAGTAATGCTTCGAAGACACCTATGATAGAAAACCAGTAACCTACGAATATCTTCTACTCTTCACCAAATAGAACTATGTAATCAGCATATTCTAAGTCAATAAGCAAGTGTCCTAGGAGAAGGTCTACTCCTGAAAGTTCAGATGAGGATAAGGTTTTATCTAGGAGCATGTCTATGACAAAATTAAACAAGAATGGTGAACGTGGACAGCCGTAACGGATACCACTTGACGTAAAGAATTCCGATGACAGTTCGCCATAAGCCCTCACTCGACCAGTGGTGTTCGAGTAGAGAGCTTGTATAAGGTTAATGTACTTCTTTGGTATACCTTTTAATGACAGGTACTGCCACGGAATCTTATGATCCACCGAATCGAATGCCGCCTTCAGGTCCAGGAAAAAACTTCCGTATGACGCCTTAATATGTGTCTGTGTTCCAGGACCTGTCGTAGTGTGAATATGTGGTCTGTACAACCACATCCAGGTCTGAAACCAGACTGGTTTTCTCCAGTCTGCTCTTCACGAGCTTTCGTTAAGCGTCGAAGTATTATTGAGGCCAATATTTTAGATACTATATTAGTTAGACTTATTCCCCCGTGAGTGTCACAAGAAGACTTCTGTCCTTTCTTATAGATTGGGACAATCAGTGATTGAGACCAGTCGGATGGGATTACGTCCAGTTCCTAGATTCTACCTAAGATCTCAGTCAACCTAGCTACTAATACTGGACCACCATTCTTAAATATCTCAGGAGTCAGTTTATCAGGACCTGCAGATCGCCCTCGCTTCAGATTTCCTAACGCTTTCTCAACTTCATAAAGACTGGGGGGGGGACTTACGTCGATTTGCCATTCAGGATGACTGGAGATCGTGGGTAACCGAAGAGTGGCTCGAGGCCAGTTGAACTTATCCCTAGGGTGTTCTGCCCATCGATCCAGTCTCGTGGATTGAGAATGAATAATAAAACCTTCCTTTACCGAAATAGTCTCACTCACATTCGGGTTCCTAACACCAGTTTCCTTGATCAGTTTGAATAGTTACCTACTGTCGCCTATCGCCGCTGCATTTTCCATCTCTCTCGGTTTCGCTACCCATCGCTGTTCTCGATCATTGCGTAGGATTTTTATCAGCCTGCCCCTAAGTTGACGAAGCTCCTCATCGCACTTAGAGCCCGGCGGGATGAGCTTTCGAGCATACATTAGTTCGGTAAATGCTACTGAGATCCACGGCTTCTTTCTTATGGTTTGCCTTAATTGAATTTAACACTGCTGTTTCCACAGCATTTTTGATATCATTCCAAGCTCCCTTCGGATGGGAATCACTTACATGGTCGCCTGACTCTCTTTCTAGTTGCTCCTGAAATATATTCTTAGCTTTATCATCATTAAGTAGAATCTTAAGAGGTTTACTTGAGGTGTCTTTCCTACGTCCAGCAAGCCTCAAACAAATACGCGCCCGTACTAGGGAATGGTCTGAATCTAAACAAGTGCCCCAGAACAAGCGACAGTCCTCTATCGAACCTCTCCATCAGTGGCTGATGGCAATGTGATCCGGTTTGGTCCAACGTTGAGGTCGCCAGGTCAAAAGATGTTTCTTCTTAGGCTTAAAGTTAGTGTTTGCTAGAAATAGTTGGTTTTCTGAGCGTACTTGCAACAGACGGTCGCCATTGTCTGTCCTCTGAGACGCTACACCATAACATCCACCTAGGTGTCTTCCCTGCTCACTTAGTCTACCTACTTGAGCATTAGAGTCACCAGCCATTATTACTATATCAGAGTGCCTAACATTTTGTAGGAGGTTCGAAAGCTTTCTGTAAAACTCATTTTTCACCTCGTCTGAACTGCAATCAGTGGGGGTGTAGGCACATACGACGAAGAGGCAACGGCGAGTTTCCCTATCTTCCCGATTCTTACTGTCCTGTTCAGTCGGACAGCGCACAAACGACTATCTACTGGGATCCAGTCTAGGAGAGATAGTTCGGCCATACTACTCAATACTATACCTACGCCAGCGAGAACACGGAAAGCAGCTTCAGGGCTGCAAGAAACACGAAGAGTAAATCGAGTTCGTTCTCTATCTGCACAAGGTGAAATCATATTAATGATTTTACTTGGATCATGCGTGCGCGTTTCCAAGACGCGGCATACATCGATTGAGCGAGATTCTAAAGTCCTAGCTAAGATAGCCTGTTGCCCGATTTGACAAAATGTCCGTACATTAAAAGCTCCAACATGTAGTGTAGGACGGGGTTTTAGGAGACCAGGAATGACGTTTTGTGTACTCGAATCGTTTGCATTAGCGATGCAGTGAGATAAAGGAATGTGAGTAGAGTTAGTCGTCGAGATAAGAGAGGTATTATGCGGTTTTGGAAGGATGTTTGTGACCAATTTAGTCTCGTGTGCTTTTACGGATATGAGGGAGGTTGTCACTTCCGGGCTGCCCACACTGTGCAAGGATGTTTCTTGAGAGACCTGAAAAGGAAGGTAGATTAGCGATGGTCTAAACGACCAAAAAGCATTACTGCAGAGTCCAAGGGACAACTGCTTGAGGCCGGTCACGCATGGCCTTTTTATGAAAGGTTTTTTGAGTATTAGCTCCACTCTTAAAAGCCCTCAGTGGCCACACTTACAGACGAGACAGAAATCCGTGAGGTAGGGTCGACCTTTTCTAACCCTTCCTTCCTCGTGAGAAGGCTGCAGACGAAGGTTGTGAGAGGGAAACATAGTAGGCAGCGCGACTTCGCCCTCAGACCTTGAGTAGCTGCTTTTAGCCTGATAGTTCTCCAATCAACCTGCCTGACATGGTAGAACCTTCAGGAACATATGTTCCAGCCAATATAGCTTGGTTGGATCATCACAATAGGCAAGCCTGACCACCACGTCAAGATAGTACCCACGGTCGGATTTTAGATATAAGTGCTAGTTAGACATCCATTAAAAACAAAGAGGCAATATTTTTTGTTCTGGTATGAGACTCTCTAGTAGTTTACACTCAAAACTCTACCAAAAATCAAACCTAGGACCTTCAGATTTTATAACTAATGGTCCTTAGTCGAGTCATGTGTAAACACTGAGTAGGAGTACCATCTCAAGGTGAAACAACTGTCCAATGTCTCATGACTTTCACTGGTTTTCTATAAGCTCATGATATAAACAATTAAATTCACAATCTTCACAATCACCATTTATAGTAATTATCGTAGATCAAATTTCTTCATTAAATTAATATAGTTACTTATAATTCATACTTTAACTTATAAATTGTAATCATTTTAAAATCAAATGAAATTATCACACTCCATGAAGTATGATCATTTTAAGCGGATGTAAAATAAAATTTTTACTCTTTAAAGTTTTATTTAGCTGTTTAAATTCATAGTTTCTCTTTAACAATTTCTTATTTTTTTTCAAATTTTCTTAGGTTCTCTAACCGATGAGCATTTTCTAGCACAACTAAAAGATTTCTTTGAAAAATTCAAGTTTGCATGCATTTTATTGGCAAGACTTGAAAATTATGTTGTAGATCCGAATTCTGCCGCTTTACTGAGACAACTCTTTGACATTTTAAGGTTAGTAAATGAGTAAATGATTAATTAACAGTAATTATTCCTTTTTACAACAGAGTTAACCAAGTAAAAACATGATCAATTACGACCAATATGATTTACCTTATGTTATAGTTTATTGATTGATAATTTACATAAATGGTTTAAATGTTTGATGATATAGCCCAATTAATTGCTGCACCATTGGTAAACTGATTTTCACTTTATATATTTTATTCATGAAAATGTAAGCATTATATTGTAGGTAGAATTTTTCTCTCCTACATATTCGGCTTCACTCGTGCTCATTTACTGTTTTTTACATTACTACTAATGTGGTGCTGTGGTGTGAACTACTTATAAGTAGTATATGACGTGAGTGTCATCGTAAAGTCTGGTAGCATAATATGGGGGTAAGATCAAGAAAGGAAGAGTTAGAAAACAATGGAATTTGTATGAAACGCATGAATAGTGACAATGGAGTGATGTTTTGCAACAGGAACAGTCCAGTTCCATAGGATGAACTGATCTTTTGCAAATGAACGATTTACGATATGGTTTTCAGATTTTACTGAGTAACTCTGTAATTTTCGCTAAATACAATTCGGTTGCCCCACCTGTGTTCTCATCCACTACACTAACAGTAGCAGTTTAAATTTCGTCAATAAATTTTCACCTTACCAAATAGATTTTTACAGCGGTTAGATGAATTTGTTTTCTTTCTCTTCTGTTGAAATTTTTCATTTTGAATATTTTATTTCATTTCTGAACCATACTTTGTTTATCTAATATTATCTATTTTCCAGTTTTATTCTTCGCTAATGATTTATTCGGATTATTTCTGTTCATTTATGTTTGACTTCATCAATTTCTTCTCAGTATCCAATTCTGTAGTTTAATTATCAGGACAGATACATATTTATTCCAGGTCTAATGTTGTTTGTGACTAATTGACAATAAGAATGAAATTCTAATAATGTTTACCGTAAAAAAAAAACATTGATGAAACAATAGATCTTGTTACATACTACTACTCATTTTATACGGTCATTATTTGTTTTCCTTGTAACAGGAATAACTAGAAGAGAAGCATATAACGTTATTCTATGAACCTAATGTAGTACAAAATAATCAAATAAAAAAATTATAGAATTAACAGTTGGAAACCAAACTCTGAAAAACAAACCATACCAATCATTCAAAGACTTTCAATGATTCTTATCATCCATCCAGGTAGCTTTATATTGCAGCCTGAGCTAACTTTTATTCACATTAGTGTCTAAGCTAATCATAATTATTTATTCAACTCACCTACAAGCAATGCTAATCACACAATGTTAATCTTTGATGGAATCCAGAATGAAACAATATCACATTTTCTAGTTTCCATTGATCGACTGTTCAACAAAAAGAAACTAGTAATAAACTAGGGTTAAATTAGCGATATTGGTTTTTAATTTTGTTATTTTAAGGTCAAACAAAAAAGTTATAATAAATTGTGAGACTAAGTTTGCATAAATTAAACTGACTTTTTTTTTCAATCTTGACATGTCTTTGATAAATGTAAACTCCTCAGTCTAAAAATCCTCTTCGAAAGTCATAAAATTATATTTAATGTATCCATCTTTTTATTCTAGATATACGATTGAATCCACACGATCCCCTGACACAGACAAAGCAGATGCCGCTCGGAAAACTATTTATCCAAGATTACCACTTCATGCAACTCTCTTTGTTCAATCGAATTTGACACAAGAATATAACAAGTTATGGCTTAGTCTTGGAAAAGAATGGAATACACCAAGGTAGTTTAATAACCAAGTCTTTGATTGAAAAATTAAGACTTTACCTTCCCTAGTTAAGAATTTCTGCTGTTTTAGAAATCGTTATTAGATCCATGTGATTATAAGGCTTGAGATTATTGATGTGATGAAAAATTGTTTAGATATTTGATTTACAATGAGGTCATAGTTTTAAAAGTTCTATCCACTATTTCTTTATAAGTAGATTATCAATTTTACTAGCAGTTAATAGATATATTTTTAGAGATTTGATGTCGTTTCTGAAAAGTACATGACAATAAGGTGAAACATACCGTATTACAAAGAAAGTTAAACTTTGCGAGGTCAGCTTCAGTCATTCGATTTGTAAGTGACTTTTTGATAAACAAACTTACAGGATATTGAAATCACATACTAACTGCTGAATAATTTCATTAGTCATTCACATTAGACCGTGATGTCGACAAAGTCTTAGCTTTAATATCTAAATAACATGACCAAAGATAGTTATCAAGTTATTCCTAGAACAATATCAATATGGTAGTAGCAAGACTAATACAACTTTGTAGATGCATTTATTTCATGCATCCATTTAAGCAGAAAGACGTGAGAACGAATTGATAAGAAAAGCACTAGTTGGAGTTTCAGTAACTAGCTATTTTAAGTTTTTGATAATGCATCTTCTTCCAGTCCAAAAGTGAACACAATCTTTCAGTTCTGACAGATGAAAACGTTTCACATATACAAAGCTGAGTAAATAAAAGTGAATAACTGAGTTTATATTTTTTTTTGAAAAAATACGACTGAAGTGTCTGGAAAAACAAAAAAAATAACAACTAGTTACTGCTTTCGCAAGTAATCCCATTTTCTTGTTAGGATTCGAACGTATTAAAATAATTAGTAAACTAATTTGATACTTATTTAATCGTACTTATTAAAGGCGAATCTTCTCGGCGTACAATGTTTCATTATACCCTTTGACAGCCGGCGATTAATGAATGTACAGAAACGACACATTACTCAATATAGTTCAAGATGTCATACCATAAATATATTCATGATCTATTTATATTCTAAGTAATATAAGACATTTTCACTTTCTTTCTGTGATATAGTCATCATACGTTTTCTATTCATGGATTTTATTCAACATTTTACGATTGGTATTTTTGATAGGATAATAGCTTGATAGCAGTTATATGCAACTTAGAACGTAGGATTTAAAGGATATTGGTCATACTTCAGGTCACAGATAAATTCATGCATAAAACGATTTATATTGAATCCCTAACTCTTGAATGTTGCCTATGTAAAACAGTCAGTGTTAAAACACTAACGAATTAGTATTTTGGTGGAGAATTTTAGCTATTATCAAAAATAATGGAATCACTACCCTAAATAGTCATCATATATTACTGAACACAAAATTATTGTGAAAAAGCAAGCTTAACTTCAATGATTAAATTGTTCATTGTAAGTTTTAATAATAAAATCCACATAATATTACAGTTATGCTACTTTCTTGTATTGTCATACAATTTTTAATGTACATTACATATAATAATGATAACCAAATACTCATAAAACTTACCACCATAACATCAATCATCAATCATGTTACATTTAAAATTCAATCATTTTTCGTTAAATATTATTTTGCACCTTATGCTTTACATCACTGATAACTATGTCACAAGTTTTGTGTCAAAATTTATGAAACATGTATGATTAAACAGTGAATGTTTGATTTTGAAAATTTTGTCATCGTTTTACTTCGATATTTATTTATATCAACTAAAAACATTCATAGAGTTATTCAATCACAGATTTCATCATTGGTATTTTAAATGAGTATTAGAAAAGATGGTAATATTAAGTTGAAAGTAATAATCGTAGTTTGCATTATAAAATGTCTATATTCATTACATTCAAATGTTTAGATATTATGTAGTATAACTGGTAATATTGAATAATGTTGAGAAAAAGAATTCAAACTATTTGTGAATTTAAACTTTATTCTAATCGGTATATTTTATACATAATTTCTTTTTTACAGGGAGCAATACGTTAATGACAAGTTCGTCTATATACCCAGATTTGAGAATGGATTTACGGTGGAGCCAGATGAATATGAACCATCGTTGTTTAACTACAATACTCCAGGTGTGGTTGACAGACAAGAAGTAAGTGTTTGTTGAGAAATTTCACTTATATATATAATATATAGCTAGTGAAATGTTACAACTCATTTTGATTGTATAATAGCTGAATTTTTACTTGCCCATTAATTTACTCTGTTGACTGGAACAGTTAGATGATAAACAGTATACAGATGTTGATAAACTTTGATGATTAACTAAATACTTCAAGTTTTAAAATACTGATTTGATCAATTGGCTCCTTATATTAGCTAGTATTAAATGAATTCTACTTGAGTGCATATATACATTATTAGAACGAATATATAATAAATTGGTTGTTCTAGCATAAAGATAGATTATTTAGTTACACCACGTTATTGTGAATATTCATCATATGATTTTAAAATATGTAGCACTTCAAAGATGTAAACCTGCCTACTCTAATTCAATTCCATTCCTAATAATAATAATCTCGAAACCTGATTGTAAAATCCCCAGGAAGAATGAAAGACAATAATTAGCGAAACACAAAGCTATCTCGATTCATTTAATAAACTTTTCTGAAGTTTCAACAACTGTCAGTGAACTGAATACTAAAATCAAATTTGAAAAATTAATTCGTTAGATGAAAGACGTCAGTACGATATCAAACAAGGAATTTGAACAGCTCAAAACAACCTACTAATAGGCAACTAATCTCAAAGGAACATTCGATCTCTTAGGAAACAAAAAATTTAATTCAAAGTTATCCTAAGAAAGGTGCTGGTATCGTCCATATTATCAGTTACCAAAAAGGTATTTTGGAGAAACAACTCAAATATAAGTAATTTCAGTGACTGAACAAAAGCCGTCAAAAATCTTTAGATAAATGAAAACTGAATCAGTTATCAGGGTTTAGCTTGAACAACTCCGAATATCTAGGACTGTTATTGCTAGACTTTACAGCCTTCGGAAAGTACATAAGAATGATTTGCCATTAAGGCGCATTTTAAAAACGAGTAACTTATCGTACCGCTAATAAACTAACTGGATTCCTATAACTTGCTAAAAATCAGATCAACAAATACAGAAAAACTAACTATTTTGACTTTGTCAATCAATCATTGATGCTAATGTAACCTCAGTGAAAATGATATCACTAGATGTAGCTTCACTTTGTATTATTATGCCTTTAACAAAGACCATTCGCCACATATTTTTATAATATTAAAAACAACAGTCTCTATATTGGTGTTTCAAAATATTATTTAAAGTAATTACTCCGAAAGTGAATCTTAAACGCCCAGCTTAGATTTAAAAATGAGTTCAATAGACAAACTGATGACATCTCTATGAGTTCACCACTTGGTCCTTTTCTAGTGGATTGTTTCATGATCAATCTTGAGAACACGATAGTTGAACCATCAGTTAATGTCCTTGTAACAAAAGGTATACAGATGACACGTTTATCATTTGTGATTAAATCTGTTTTCGTTTTCATGATTTAACTATATTTACATCTCATCCTCGTCGTTACTCTTATAACAAAAACTGACGAACATGTACTGAACAACAGAGAATCTCCTATAGATCAGAATAAACCTATTAACATGCAATAGAGAAGAGTCAACCCATATTGAGTGGGCCTGGTTATGTCTACCAATCACAGGTCTATCTGACTGGACATATATTTTTTAGTCTAACATATTCATTTTAGTGTGCTGATGGCATTTATCGATTACGCACTGTCACTATACCATTTATCACTTCACAGTATCTTTAACAGTTAACATTTTCAGTAAGTAAATATCTCAGGCTAAAAGTACAATATTTTGACGACCTCGAGTGAACTAACCAGGATAAAGATATCGCCTCATGTATTTCGCAAAATTGAAAGTGCAAAGATAAATAACTTGTATGTTATTATTAACGAAGTTAAAATGTATAATGTATGATGCTTACAATGCTTGAAATCAGTGGAAATTTCTATGACGATACCGAAAATTGAATTTAGGATAGCACTTAAGCTAAATTACCAAGCACAACTGATCTCCAGGCAAATCGTATGTAAAAGTACATTTTATTATTCAGTACGTTGTCAAGAATCTCAACTATAAGTCTTCCAAGTTTATAGACAGTAGGACAGCAAAGCATTGCATCATAGCCGGTGCCAGTTCATGAGGACCCTAAGTCCAATTTGAAAAACCAAGCTCAGAACTTCAGCTTAACTTCTAATACATAACCCTAACCTTTTTGCATCATAGATGATCTTAGTTGATGAACCAGATCCTGTAAGGTGATAACCTTAACGCATCACACTACCCCCAACCTTTAATAGGTGAACCTAGCCTTCTGCTTTCACTTCGATGAATAATTTGATATGTGACGGTTGATTATTCAGATCAAAACAGTTATTCAATTGATATTTTATGGTTTTTAGCTATTGATTGTTTCATAATTAGGCAGCATTTCATGATTGGTTGACAGACCACTCAAGACTATTAGTCTATTGTACTTTTACCTATTAGTTATATTACAAATATCTTGCAGTTCATTCCTCAGTTTTAAAGCATAAACGAGTTTGAATAATTAATTCGAAAAAGGTTGCCTATCATTAGAATACATGGATACGTCTAACGAACCCTTTACTGTTACATATAACGGCTTGATGTTCAGGATAAAAATTACGAAGATAACCTTGTATGAAATGGATTTTCTATTCTGATTTCAGTGTTTTCTAAATACAATAAACATTAACATATACAGTGTAAGGATTGAAGACGTTTCAATATTTAATTAACAGCAAACTTAACCAAATTATCAGTACGTTTTTAATTTAATTCTTATCAAGATTTAGATTAGAACATAATAGAATTCAGACACCTGAATGATAGCAACAAAATATAATTTAATGAGTTTGAATCACGTTAAGAAACACCATGACGGTCGATATATGATTTCAAGTGACTAAATATCTTAAGAGTCTGTTAATTAGTATACTGACAACTAAACCTTAGTTGGCTTCTAAACTCCCGCGAACTTCTTCCTAATACGTAATTTCTGAGTACACATAACATATTGGAAATTCTCAGAGGAAACTTAAGTTAATACAAATTCCCCGAGAGAACTTACTTCGTAATTCATCACACTTCGGACTGTATCTACTCTGACATTATTATTAAATAAACCCATTTTAAGTCAATATTATGGATCATTTGGTATCACTCCATAATTTAAAGGATATTTTCTTCAAATGTAAATTCTGGTATCACTTGATTTCAGTCCATTTGGATTTTTCAAATGATTGAATAATCTGAATGAATTTATCATCTTATAGGGTTGATAAATCGAAGGTAGAAACTTTATGACATTGTGATGCTGTTATTGATGACGAAATATTGTTTCTCTTGGCTAATAATGTGTTAAGTAACCATTTCTAGCCAAGATGCTTATCATTAAAAGATTGATCATCTCGTTTGTATTGGCAAAGCGTAACATTTTTAAATGTTAAAACTTTTAGTCTAACTGAGAAGATGGTTGTATTCACTTAGTAAAGGTAATATAATTGATACGACATACCAAAAAACACATCTAACACGTCTGTTAATGAACATAAGAAATAGGAACCACCTTTTCCTACATCATTTTTTAAAGCTAATCATATTCGATAAGAGTTATATAATGTGGGGATATGTTTATGAATCACAGAATGTAGTGTAATTCAGCCGAATGAATCAAATCTGTTTCAGTCTATATTTCATTTTTCTGTACATCTTCCGAAAAATGCTACTTTTCTGTTGCCGGTATTTATAGTATAATTAAACACAACCTCCTTGCACTGTTAGGCAGCCTCGAAATATCCATCAAGAAAGTCTATACAGGCCCGGAAATACCAGGAAACGTTTTATCCAATGAATGTTAAATAAAACCCACTCAGAAACATCTGGAAAATGACGAACCAAGTGCTACGGTTCTGACTTGATATTTAGCCGTGCCGCTACTATATATGTAGTAATGTTCTTGAACCCTCCTGATGCTACAAGTCACAAATAACTCTCTAAATACTCTCATTTTTCTGTACATAAACCAATCTTGAGCTAAAGTGTCCATCTCGTACTTCAAGCTTTTTCTCTTGTTTTCAAGCTGCAGCGTAGATTGAGTCTAGAGTTATTAGAAGCTGGTGGGAGTACAGGTCTTGCCTTCATTAAACAAACTAATCTTGCACACAACTCTCTGTTGACTAAAGTAAACTCAACTAACAAATCACAAAAACCTGCACTGAAGACCAGATATTAGTTACTACTATGTTACTGGTTGTAAATAATGCACAACTGATTATGGCTAACGAGTAATCTCCAAAAATTGTGAAGGTATATTGTCCAGTACATTACTAACTATGAAGAAAAATGTAACTCATGATCACGTATATGTTGTGAATACCACTTATACTGAAAATAGTTGATTACAGAATGTCAAACCAGTAATATAAACAGTTTCCAACTCCATGTCTAATAAACTTATTCTTTACTAATAAGGACTTTATTAAACAGTAGAAGTAATTAGTATTTATTCAATAAATCGATAATTACCATTCATAATATGATCAAAGTGGACAAAATACAAAAGCTACATTACATTACTGTATTTGTAAAAAATAAGAATGTGAGAAAAGAAATATGTGCATTTAATAAGATTAGTTCTGAAGAACAACGAAAGGAAAATATCTTCAGCTGTATACATTCAGCATAAGAGTCCCAATAAAGACGAAACATAAGTCCCAGATCCCGCTGCTGACCATAATTCAATTTTACTAGAGTGTTTATTTTTGTAGAAATGGCAATAGTGATTACCAATAATTATTAACAACAATTGTTTTAATTATTCACAGACTAACCTAGCAATAAACCTAATTTTATTAATGATCACAATGGAACAAAATGATTAAATTGATGTTTTAGGGACTTATTGAATGCTGAATCAATTAAACACAATATCTGTCTATCGAAAATAAGTATTCTAATTACAATATTAGCACATAATTCACTAATAAAAATCACTACTATAATAGATTAGTCGATTAGTGAATTGATTGACATACAATGACCTAAATTCTACAAAGTACTTCAAATCATCTATACAAAAATAACTATTATGATAATCTCATAACTTCGAATAGTTTACATCATTCTATTTATTTAATAACTAGTATGTAATATATATATATATGGACTCTATCATTCAATTAGAATATTTCATACACAGCGAATTTTGGTGAATTTAATGACCTAATTACTCAGTAAAATAGTTGTTTATATTGATTTGTTTTTGCTAATTCAGCACCAATTGAAGAGTAAACTAATGAAATGGGTCACACCACTAACTATTATTGTATCATTGAAGTTACTTTGCGAGTACTTGTCAAAATATACAGTATATATGTGCATAGATAGATCTTAGATAGAAATATTTCCTAACTTAACCAGTATCTTTTGTATAGTCTTGATTTTTTTTCCTTTCCTTTCAGACAAGATATATGCTACAATCAGGAAGTCGTTACAATACAAATCAATCTTCTAGAACACCACATGAAGGGACACAGTAAGTGAGAGCACAGATATGACTAGCAGAATAATATTTTTTCATGATAAATGCAAATCACTTTTGAAACTACTGAAAACCAAAAAAAATCGCCTTTTACTAGCTGACATCAATGATTAACAAAAACTCACTTTATGTCTAATTAAGCTAATACAAATATTCATGTTAGTAATATTCGAATATCATACCATAAATAATAAAAGTTATGAGATGTACATTACTCTTGCAAATATAATCGTTAAGTCATAGCTGATATCTGTTTCAGCTAAATAAGATAATTATATGCATTTGATAAATGAAAAATAACTGATCTGGCCTAACGTAACTATTAGGCTTCTTTCATCAAAAGTAGAAGTTTCAACAAAAGTTCCAAAGTACTCAATCATTCATTCACTCAATGACGTGAATAATTATTGAGGCAAAGCAAGCATCAACAACCAAATAGTTAAAACATACATTTACAAACACAGTACCCTAAGACATACCTCCGTAATTTCTTTTAAATGAATAACAATGGTTACAAGTTTGTCTTAGCCGTTCATGCTTAGATTGTATGAGTAAAAAGACGATAAACAGAAAAGTGATGTGTAACTATGCCTATGCTTACTATCATAAGGAATATGAAATACACACAATTTATTGTTTCATATAAGGTGACAGTCGATGACAGTATTTCCAATCAAATACCCAATGATTAGTTGGCATGCTAAACTGTTTCATTTTTCATAGTTAACATCCTAAATCGACCTCAGTCAGACAGCTATTGTAAACCGAAAGGTGCTGCACAGCTATTTCGTTCTGAAATTTAACACAGAACCTTCAGTTCTCGCGACCAACGCTAAAACTTTAGAACATTGAGCCAGAATATAACGATTTACATGTATAACTTAAAACCATTAATTTAATTTGTTCATCCTTTATTTGAAGGATAATTTATAACAGTATATGATAGGACCATAATACGACCTTATTTATTCTACAGACATGTTGAAGTAATTGAATCATTTGAAGCAAAATCTGCAAAAGAATTAACAGTAGAAAAAGGTGACTGGGTAAAAGTCTTAGCAAAGAAAGGCCAATGGTACCTAATCAGAAATAAGTTAGAGGAAGAAGGTTATTGTCCAGGGTCAATACTGAAATTTCGAGGAAATATGTGATACCTTCAAATGTAAGTTAGAATTTAGATAGTAGAATTCTAGGCGGAAAAAGTGAATTACGTATATATATATATGTATATATATATGTTAGAGAGAGAGAGATGGAATTCAAAATACTCACCAATAAGTACGTAATCATCTAATATGAAATTGTTAACATTTACACATTTTATTTTCCAAACTTGATATTAGTTAAAATTTCAAACTTATGTTCTATTGCTCTCTAAGAAATGGTGACAATTGAGTAAGTTTCTAATTGTCGTTATGAATACTTTTTAATATTTACTAAACATTGAAGAATGATTCGATACTGAATACTTTTTAATATTTACTAAACATTGAAGAATGATTCGATACACAATTTTTCTTCATACCATATAAGGTCTTTATCCAGATTGTTAGCACTGTTTTATTATCTACCGGAAATATGTTAAATAATGACATGAAAAAATCAAATTGTCTGAATAAAATTGAGATGACTTTTCAATGCAAATCAATTAGACAATCGTTGTCTATTTTGTATTCAAATATCGAAATGTACTTCATTGTACAGATAGTTAGTGATTTCCGTAAAAAATTGAATGTATATTAAAAAAAGGCGTTTTCGAAATGAGATGAACAACTTCTAAGATATCTTTTCAACGGAAAATATATGCTGACACAGTCATTGGTAATTTCGTACCTCTCCTTCGTTGTTGTGTTCTGTGATACGGACATCATACGATTTCTTTGAGATAGTAACAAAAAATACTAAAATACTATCTTCGCCAGCTATCGTGTTTTGTCACAGTAGAAGAGGATGGTCGCTTTTTCAATTTGTACAACACCAAATCAATCAGTCAGTTACAATGTAGAACTTCTTACGTACGTACATATATTCAGGTTGCTATACCACAATATTACAGAGACACAATTGTCACTTCAAATCCTATAGCAGTATTAACGGTATTGTAGAAGATTAGGGTTGGAAGATATTATTCAATTAGTATGATTCAGTGAAATACATTTAAAAAGAGAAAGATAGGGGTAATGAGAAATTCGGAATGTTGAAACTTGAGAGAACAGAAAGAGTGGATGCACCTGCGCCATTGAAAACGGTTTTGAATCATATCATTCTGGGTCTCCAACCATCGATTACTATCATCTTGCAGGCCCCAAACTGATAGTCAACAACTACCAACATGACTCAGTCCGCTTGCCAGTGATTTCATGGATTTCTGTCATGTTTTTCTGCCACCTCCAGCTTTCTTCTAACCCACTGCTACACAAAACATTGCTCGTTGAGGCAGTCGGTGGTTAGGCATACGTAACACATGTCTCAACCACGTCGTCTGATGAAGTTTCAATACTTCATCTATTGCTCCACCATCTCTACCTAGTACTCGTTTCCTAAATATAGCACTGCTTACTCGGTTGTCTTAGGATACTCGAGCAATGCTTCGAAGACATCTATAATCGAATACTAATAACCACTTTGGTTTTCTTCAGTTTGCTCTTCGCGAGCTCTAGTTAGGCGTCTGCTCTCCCTGGCTTTGGATTTCCTATAGCCGTTTCAACTGCATTAAGAGTTAGATAACTTGCATCGATTTGCCATTAGGGATGACTAGAGATAGTGGGCAATCGAAGTGTGGCTGACTGCCAGTTAAATTGATCCCTAACGTGTTCTGTTCATCGATCCAATCTTGTGTATTGAGCATGCATGATACAGTCATTATTTTACGAGATAGTCTCCCTAACAGTCGGATTCCCAATACCGGTCTCCTTGATAAGGCCGAAAAGTTGTCTACTGTTACTTATCGCCGCTGCCTTTTCTATCGCTCTTGCTTTCGCTACCCACCACTGTTCGCGATTGTTGCGTAGGCTTTTTATTGGCCTGCTCTTAAGGTGACTTAACACTTCCTCATAACGAGCCAGGCAGGATGAGTTTATGAGCATCCATAAGTTCGGTGGATGCTACTGAGATTCACTCTTTCCGCCTAACCTTATGGTTTACCTTACTAGTAGATAGCACTGCTGTTTCCACAGCTTTTTGAACATCATTCCAAGCTACCTCAGGATGGGAATAAGTAACATGGCTGCCTAACTGTTTTTCTAATGGTTCCAAAAATATATTCTTGGCTATGCTGTAATTAAGTAGACTCGTTTCGGAGGAGTTCTAAAAGCTTTCTGTAAAACTCATCTTCTATCTCGTCTGAACTGCAGTCAATGGGAGGGTGGCGGATATGACGAAGAGGCAACAGCGAGTATCCCTATCTTTACAAGTCCTTACTAACGGATCTCATAAGTGACTGTCTACTGAGATCCAGTCTATTAAAGCTAGTTCTGCCCTACGACTCGATGCTACACCTACACCAACGAGGCTACAGGAAGCAGCTTCAGGGATTCAAGAAACAGAAGAGTAAACTGAGTCCGTTCTCTATCTGGACAAGGTGAAATCAAATTAATGATTTTACTAGGATCCTGTATGCGCGTTTCACAGACACAGCGTACAGCGATAGCGCGAGATTCTAAAGTACCAGCTAAGGAAGCCTGTTGCCCTATTTGACACAATGTCCGTACATTGAGTGCTCCAACATTTAGTTTAGAACGGGGTCTCAGGAGACCAGGAAAAGGTTTCGGGTACTCGAATCGTTTGCATCAGCGGTGCGGGATGATAAAGGAATGTGAGTAGAGTTAGTCGTGAAGATAAGGGAGATGTTACGGGTTATACGGAGGATTTGATTGTGACCAGTATGGTCTCGTGTGTTGTTACGGGTATGAGTGCGGATGCCACTTCCCGGCTGCCAACACCGTAATAGTGTTTCTTGGGGATCCTGAAAAAGAAGTTAGATTAGCATCGGTCTCAGAAGCTTGGGAGCGTGACCACAGAGTCCAAGGGACATCTGCTTGATGCCGAACACGCACAGCCTTCTTACGAGATGCTTCTGTATTATTAGCGCCGCTCTTGTTTAAAAGGTCTTGCCGCCGGAGACGGAAATCCGTGGGGTAAGATGCAACGTTCCGACGGTCGACCTTTTCTAACCTGTTTATGCTTGTGAGGTATTATCACTGGAGATGCTGGGCGTACGAGAGAAACACCTTACCGTTCTCATACCCCTCTACATTCAGCAGTACGACTTCGCCCTCAGACCTTGAGTTGCTACTTTTAGTCCCATCATTTTCTAATAGACCTGCCTGGCACGGTAGAACCTAAAGGAACATGGGTTGCAGTCAATATAGCTCGGTTGGGTCATCGCGGTAGGCAAGCCCGACCATCACGTCAAGGTAGCAGCTACGGTCAGGGAACAGCATTCACAAAGTTTTAAATCTATTTCAATATTCATCTACTGGATTTAATTTCTTCCCAAACTTTAGCTTTTGAAATGACAAACTTTTTATACCGATGGAGAATGCTGAATTCAATAAATATTATGTGACCGTATCGGATCTATAAGTATGCAAGCTGAGCTACGTATGATGTACTTTGATTACTAAGAGAACATGAGATGAATTCCTTTCCACTACAGACTGCTAGCCAATTTTCCAAAATGCGATATCCTTAGCGTGTACCTGATCCCATTTACAGAGTACTGTAACTGTACAAATAGAATTAACTATTTAGCTATCTGCTGGCGGGATAAATAGTTCCCTCAGGTCCTCATATTGTCTTACAGAAATCGCTAAAAGTCAACAAGGTCTTTGAAGTATATCTTTCCTTCAGATACATAAAAATAACTCGCTACTCTAATACTACAGTTCCATACACTAAACGTATTTGACTTTTCATCTGCGCAATATGTCACATGTCTAAACTTCAATTTTTTTGAGGAAGCTTAATCCTATAAATATGTAGCAGTTGTTTGTTTCGATTTTTCAGAAGTACATGAGCAATAGCAACCCTTGATATACAATGAGATGTCTTAATGTCCAGCAAATAAGAGAATATCTATAATATCTAGGTAGCAATAAATGTATCAATAACTAAGCGTTGGAACTGTAAATATATTTACAAGTTCTTGTACTTAATTTTATGAAGAATTAGTTTATGTGTAGAAACGTCCATAAATTCTCCGCTATATAAAAAGTTTCATATTCATCCTGAATAATGTCGGTGCATTTACTACTAGCTCAGAAAATCAAAATGCTTTTGTGGTAGTAGAAGACAAATTATTTGAGACAGGCTAACCGGAACGTAATTGCACATTCAACATACGACGCTTGGTCATCCTCGTTTGATCATTATTTTATCCAAATATTTAAAAATAGAAAGTGATCATTAATAGTGATAAAATAATTATAAAGCTTGGTGATATCTTAATGTATTCATTATCTTTCAAATCACAAATTTTCTGTGTGAGCAGTTTTATGCTAACTAGACAACAATTGATGTATGTTATCATCAATAATGATGAATGAGTCACTTGCACGTCTGAAAAGTCCTAATTTTCCTAATCATATGCTTTCCTGAAAGTAGTTGACTTTTAATAATACAGGTATTGTGGCATATTATCTAAATAACATCAGAACAGCATATTCATTCTGAGTATTCTGATCAATTTGTTCACTGATTAATACTAACAAAAGCAAGTGGATAATTTACCTAGTTTATATTTATTTACTTGCTTTTCATTTTAATTTTAATAGTACAATCAGATATGAATTCACTGAAAGCGCTCAAAAATCCCTAAAGACATCATTTGGTTTTCCTTAAAATACTTTTATTTCATTTGTATCTTAAGATTATTGTAATTCTTTTTCTCACTAAACGACTTTTGTTCAATTGTTTATGAAACTTTTTTCTATTAGTCCGCTTTTTGGTAAAGCTTATCAGTCAGTCAGCTACAACGTGGAAGTTGTTACGTACGTACATCAGTCCAAGTTGCCATACCACATCTGCACAGCGAGATGGAGTTGTTAGTTCGAATTCCATAGTAGTAGTATTAGCAGTTATGGAAAAGATCAAGGTTCAGATATATGAATCGAGAAGTATAGCCTAATGAAGTAAATTTAGTAGAAAAAATATCATAAAACTCAAAGAATAGATGCATCTGCGCCATTGCAGACGATTTTGAGCCGTCATTCGAGGTCTCTAAACATTGGTGACTTACGTCTCGCGGACTCTAACCAGGTAGCCTACATCTACTAACATAACTCAATCCACCTGTCAGTGATTTCATGGATTTCTGTCATGTTTTTCTGCCACCTCCAGCTTTCTTCTAACCCACTGCTACACAAAACATTGCTCGTTGAGGCAGTCGGTGGTTAGGCATACGTAACACATGTCTCAACCACGTCGTCTGATGAAGTTTCAATACTTCATCTATTGCTCCACCATCTCTACCTAGTACTCGTTTCCTAAATATAGCATTGCTTACTCGATTGTTCCAGGATACACGAGAAAGATGGAGGTGACGAGGAATACAAAAGATTGGAATTAGAGAGGATACAGAAAATAAACGTATCTGCGCCATTACAAACTATTTTGAGCCATTTAATTCTCTAATCATCGATTGCTATTATGTCGCGGACCCCAATCAGATAGTTTCCACCTACTAACATGGCTCAGTTCAGTTGTCAATGACTTCAAGGATTTGTGCCACATTTTGGTTTGGCCATCCTACGTTAGGAATCTAGTTAAAAGTAGGATTATAAATTTAAGAAAAGAAAATGGATGTGTTTGTATGTTTGTAGTTTAGCATTAAACCATTTAGAAAACAGAAATGGCTGTTGAAGATAATCTTTACAAAGTTATTGTATTTCAGTATAAAATATACGCATAAAATAAGTTTCTCCTTAATTCTTCCCAAGATTTTGTTGAACACCAATGGACTAGATTTAGAGAAACTTACAAAATAAGCGAAGTAGTAGATGAATGCAATCAATTTAATTCTTAGCATAAGTCAAGATGACGTACATCCCACGTACGCTGTATTTCACAGTAACCACCACCCTCTGTTTTTTGTTTGAATCCAGTAAACAACCATTTTGTGTATTCTACATGGATAAGTGGACCTCCTCTTAGACCAATTAGAATCCGAACAGTCATCACTAAAAAATGGTTTGTGGCGGAGTTACATAAAAATAGAGGTGAACCGTAGTAACTACCCAGACGACTGACGAAACTGATCGGGATGCATGTAGTCATTGTAGGAGTAACATCTGGTTTCCTGGATAAAATATGTGCGACATTCTAACTCATATTATCGACTGATGATGATGTGCGTAGCAAATTTAGGAATATATAAGCTAAGTCATGTCAGTTTAGTGAGATAGAATGTTACCTTCTACTCAAATTATTACGGAATCCGATATACATGTTAACCATTATTTTAGATTATTACAACCAACAGCCATTGGCTACTAGGAAGAAACTAAAATTTTATTTAAACATTCGGATGCAGAATACACCTTCGTCTTCACAACTAACTCGAAGTGTCCAACCACTTTGATGTCTCATTATTCTTTATTTTATACTCTTTGACTAGTCATCTATACTAATCAGATTAAGACTGATAGATTTGACTAGTTCATCACCTGTTTTATATCAATTCATAGTAATCGATGTCAGATCTATCTAACCTTTAGATAAAGTGATAACACAAACACTAATCTAAGTGACTGACATCTCAGATACTGTTCAGAACAGTGACTGAATGAACCCTATTACTAAGTTCAATAACTGGATATTTAGATGCACTTTGTTTAGAGCCAGACAAATTTTAATAATTCAACTGAAGGATTAAACTTTGCATTATCTGCTTCATTTTGAGTATCTAGGTACAACGATTAAAACTTTGAAATAAATAATTCTAGTTGGGGTTTAACAACTAGAGTTTCGTTGTTGTAAACACATCAAGCAGATTTAATTTACAACAGTATGAAAATCCTTGATCATTTTAATACTCGCTTGGACGAAGTTGCCTTATCTTTTTTATTACGAAAGGAAATTAAAATACCTGTTCATTTAGCTCATTTATGAACCAATAAGGTGCATCAGCATCAAAAATAAACCCATATTTACTCTATAGGCATTTGTCGATATATACACTGGTTAGGAGTCAGCATAAACACTAATCGATACTTATCTGTCTAAACACAAACATTAGTAGCATGGAGGAACTATACGACACAGAAAGCATGCGTGTGAACTGGGACACTGATGTGATACAGAAAGCAACGTAGATGGTTCTTTTAGAGGATCGTTCGCCGAGCCCCTAACCAAGAGGTAATATCGACAAGACCGTGAGATGTGAGATGCAATCCCATGGTAGCCAGTGACCAAAAATAGGTTCATGAGCCATTTTCCCTTTCAGAACACTGGAGCTCACACATACCTATGAAATGAAATCAAGATTTTCCGACTACTCTAGACGGATCCTCCATACCCATCAACCCAGTTAGGACGCCAGATATTCGCGTTTTGTCCTCTCGATTTCGTAAACACACTCGTCGCAAGAAGTCAGAGTAGAACCCCCTCGTTAAGGGTTATGTAAGCATGACATATCGAGAGGAAGAGCGAACTCTCCAAACCTTCAGCCTCACCAAGGCATTTGGAGGCTCTAACTCATTAAATAAAGCCTATGCTAGAATCAAATAAATCGATGCAGTGATTTTCATGAAGAGCTCGTAAGCTATATACCAATGGAGAGTATTTATAAATACGACTGATGAAATGAAAAAGCTATTATCTTTTTAACAAATGTAATGTCAAAAATAAAGACTACGAAAATTAACCATTACAGAAGTCAGGACATTGACATCATATTGTAGAAAATTAGAAGTCAAGACCAGCTGCGATACGTTCTTCCTTGAGCTCATTTGCTGATATAGCGAACTTGCTTTTAGCCCATTCATCAAGCTTCAAACCCTGAACGATGGTCCACTTGCCGTTCTTGATTTGAACAGGAAAACTAAAAATAACATCTTTCGGAGCATCGTAAGAACCATCACTGATCACAGACATCGATACCCACTCGCCCTTAAAACAAAGTAAGCGGGATTAGAAACATACCTCCTTTGTTCCAAACCACCAGTCACGCACGTGGTCTGTAACAGATTTAGCAGCAGATAATGCACTACTAAGTTTCCGGGCTGCTATGACAGCAGCTCCGCGCTTTTGGATAGCACCCAGGAACTCATTTTTTATCCAGTCATCATTGTTGATTGCAACAGTGACAGGGATTTCTTTCCCATCTTGCTTTACTACAGCATGACTTACATCTACAAACTGTGTATTGCTGTGGTTTCCCCATATAATACAATTCTTTACGCAGTCACATGGAACTCCCAACCGTTTGGCTATCTATAGAAAAAATTCAGAAGAAACTAAACTAACAAATGACTGAGCACGATTGTGGTCAAGTCTTGTAAGAGCACTGAAGTTTTCTCTAGGAATGGAAGGAGCGTTTTTCATGAGTGCGAGTGCATTCGTATTGGCAGGATTACCCACAACTACCACTTTAACGGTCTTTTTAGCATACTTGTCTAAAGCTTGTCCTTGTTGCTTGAAAATATTCACATTGGCATTGAGCAAATCTTTACGTTCCATCCCTTCTCTTCGTGGCATAGCCCCAACCATGAGGGCAACATCAATTTGATCAAATGCTACTTCTGGCACATGCGTGACCACTACACTCCTTAAAAGACGAAATGCACAGTCTTGGAGTTCCATTTCAAGCCCTTTTAAAGATTCTATCATTTGTTCAAGATCGAACAGATGCAAAATAACTTCCTGAACTTGTTAAAAAAAGTAGGTCACTAACTTGATTAGGCCCGAACATGTCACCACGGGCAACCATTCCGGCTAGGGAATACCCTATCTGCCCAGCTGCACCTGTCAAAAGAACTCTTACGGGCTGGCAAGGTAACAGAACTAAGCAGTAACTTACCTCCGACATTACAAGTCCTCGGGGCTAATTAGCTTTTGAAATATGCACAATCAAAATGTATCAAGATCGTTGACAGAATAAAACAAATGTAAGCAGTTGGTTATCACATTGTTTTACAAAACAGAATTTGGAGACTTACCAATATAGTATGTATATAAAATCTATTTAGGGGGTTCCTCTTCACATGCTAAAGAGCACATTCCGGCCTTCATGTAAACATTATGTTGAGGTGGTTGACATTGACTTATTGCGTAAAATACTTTTGTTATTATTCAAATTTTTATAACTTCACTACTTTTGCATACATAAATATATTTGCTGTAAAGCTTTTTCCGAAATTTAACCTTGTTCTACTGTCCCTATTTTGTTCTCATGTTGTGTGCCATACCGATTACCGTCCATAAGATACACTGCTGGTCGTTTTTTTCTCGTCCTCACTTATTCAGCTGTCAAGAGAATAGATCTCTAGTGTAACTTTTATATAAGTTGTAAAGGTATAATGACCTCATTATTCGCATATTCCTAGCATACGATGTCTTCGATAATATATATATATATCATATTCGTTACTTTTCTAAGTTGTGGATTACTTGTCTAAAACTAGAATACTCAGCCTGATGATAGTTTAAATAATGTCCTATAATTTTACCTACATCTATTTGTTTGTGTATCATCCATTAGCCGTTTATTTCCTTGTGAAATATCTTCAACACCTTTCTGTTACTTAATGGACAATACACTTCTTAATACTTTTAGAACTAAGACCTAATTTCACTTTCTGGAGTACAGGGATAAATTTGCCAGTTACTTGCAGTACCCTACAAAATGGTAAATGGCTATATGTTATGAACATATAGAAAACTTCATATTTTATGGAATGACTTGCTGCAAATTAGCCTTGTATCAATACAATTTGTCTTAGAAATGTAGAAATGTTGATTACGCCAAAGATTGATTTTAGCATATTCTTGGAAAGGTGGGAACAGAAACTTTAAAAAGTGCTTCGCACATCAGGGGAATATACTGTATGAATGAGAGATAGATAATAACTTGACGATGCATGAGTTGGATCTAATTTTAAGGTGCCAAAACGGTACATGAGGAATATGTTTACGTCGTAGCGGGTTTTGTTGACACTTTAAATACTTTGTAAGTCCCTGTTGGGGCGAGAAGCAGAACAATAAATCAGCTGTTGATTTTAAGACTTTACTGTGGTTGTTTCGCGGTTATCTAGCTTAACAAGAAATTCTCCGAAACCTATTCAAAACGACCTCTCCATCTTGTTAGTCTGATAATCAATGACAGACGGAGCCAGTTCTAGTTACTTCACATCTGAATAATTAGGTCTTCACTATCTAACTGAATACGTAGTTCTGTAGCTGCAGACGCTTTTATAACTTAGCTTTAATTGTTTGTCTGATATCGTGATTCTGCCTAACCTTGTGAAGTTGTTAATACATTCAGTTTAAAGCTATCACATAGTCCGGTTCCCGACAAGACCTGTCCTACAGATAATATCCTTTGTGTGACCCATGAGTGTTTGCCCTTAGTCATTGCAGTTATCCTACTTGCGACATTAATAATTCCGTGAGAAGACGTATCGAAATTTATAAAAGGGACTAATTGTTTTAAATTAATAATTCCCATTGATGGTTACTATTTTAACTCCCTCAGTCATCACACGGTCCTTAACATCAAAAAGTTTAAATGTTTCACATATAACTAAAAACGGAAGGCCAGAATCAACTGAACTAAGGTTTTACAATAACGACCAACGCAGCAGACGCAGAATCTTGCACTATACTTTTTCTGTGGATGAACGGAGGTAGTTTAGTTCAGGAATATTGTTTCGATCTGGTCTTTCCAAACTGGACAATAGCTATCATCACAATAAATCGTATTATTTGTTGAGTTAGTGATTATAACAAAACACTGTATACGCAAGGCAGTCAACACTGCAGTGCACTGGGTCTATGTGAAATAAGGTCTTAGACTAATAATCTATTTAAATGAATGAATTCTTGGCCAACCAATAAGATTTTAAGTAAGTTAACTGGTAAACAGTAAATGAATGATCCCCTGATTCTTCGTTTAGTAAGTTGACACTTCCGTTTGTCATGCCCGCTATGATTAAACTCCATCCGTGTGCTCTGTGACAATTTAAAGAGAATGAGAAAAGTGTGTCAGCTTAATGAAAGAATCTATGCAATCAAGATACTAACTGTTGCAAATATGCACAGAATACATACTGTTGAACATGTATATGTTATGAAAGGAAAATTAATTATAAGAAAAGCTATTACTCAATTCTATCATTAGTTTGGGGTTGTTTCCAAGTAAGCAGACCACTTGACTATCCGTCACCGCCCATTTTTATTATTCTCGTGAATCTATGCCAACGTTTTTATAACGGCTAGCAGAGTTAAAAAGATTCCACAAAGGTCGGTTGATGTGGCCTAGAAAGTGTATTCTACAAGCACCCAGAAAATCGAGGTTGACAAGCTCACAAATCGAGTTTATTCACACATGATAGAAACGTCTTTGGGAGAGCCACAAAAATAGCGTACTGAAATAATGCATCACCTAATAACAGCCAAGGATTTCCGGGTGGGATATGTAATCTCAAGGTGAAATTTGCATCCCAAGTAAGGGGATCTAACGTCCCCAACAGAACCAATCAATATTTCAACCAAATTAGTCACAACTTAGTCAAAAGGCGTACTGCCCGCAAACCATGATGCTAGTATAAAACCAGCAAGACAAGACGCATACATACGTTTCTATGTATTCTGGAGTAGCATAGTTAATCTTCGGCTTGATACCGGTAACAGGAAACCTTTGTCAACTACGAAAGAATGATAAGCTCTTATCTGAATGATGGCTGATGTACAGTAATATTGTTTTAGTTTTTACTTCTTCACAAGATTAAATTCTCTTAAAATCCAGCACAGTAAATGGCCACACGACAGACGGTTTCACGCACATTTAAACTGACTAATAGATCATCGTTTTCCTCTCTTCAAAAATGTGCAATCTATCCATCACTGACTGTAAGCCAAGATTCGAACCGTGTGACATGCTGATCAGAAACTGAATTATCTCAACTAAGCTCATCATCTGTTCCTTTCGCCCTTAATTGAGAAGTGGCCGCCGACCTGCAATCTCTAACCTTCTCGGTCTTAGGCATTCCATTCCAGTTCCACTTAATCACTGTTCATTAAGTTCATGCTGCTCCTGATACTCAGTGTAGTGTGTTCTCTTTTCCATTGGCCCTGAGGATTCTAGGTGGGGGCTCGTCTTAGAACGAAGCTAAGTGCTTAACTCAGTGTGTGGCCCAAACGATATCAGCACTTCCTTCCACAGGAATCTATCTTGTTCTTTCCCACAGCAGGTTGTTGCCGATAGTGTCTGACCAGCGAATCCGAAGTGTCTCGCGTCAACAGCTTTCGATGAGTACTTGTATCTTCTGGTTGATAGCTTTCTTAAGTCCCCGAGTTCCTGCCCAAGACAGTAAAACTGTCTTGATATTAGTAGTCAACATTCTGACTTTGGTGCAGTTTGATAGTTATTTAGAGTCCCAAATGTCCTTTAATGTTAGAAATGCTGTCCTTGCTTTGCCTATCTGAGCCTTCATTATCTGCATCAGATCCACCGAGCTCATCAATTTTACTGCCCAAATATGTAAAAGTTTCCAAAGCTTCACTGTCAAGTGTGATTTGGTTGGTGAACATTATGTTGTTTCGGAGAATGTTGGTTTTCCATATTGTCGCCCAGTCCAACTTGTCTTCCTCGTGGTCAAAGAAGTTGATCCATGTCGGTGAATTCTTTTCAATCGAATATTGCATAATAATTCGAAGTATCGCGATTTGATCGGTAAATGATAGATGTTTATTCCTCTGTAGTTCCCACAACTTACAAGATCTTGCGTTGGATTCATGAAGAGTGTAGATAAATTTTCTACCCCAGCAGTTCGCTCGGTTTCCAATAGGTGCAGGTTGGTACTCAACGTCCCAGATCCAAAACCAAAACACAATAATTCTGGGAGAAAATGGTCTTTACTCATTATGAAATGGAAATACAGACAGTTACCCAACTATTATTACACCTTCCAAGTCCAAATTACCCTGGTGGGTATCCGTTTCTGGAAGAATATGTGCTTCCAGTCCGAATTGCTACGGTATCAAATCCAAATATGGCTGTAGCCATATTAAATATCAAATTTAAACAACATATGTACAGTTCAGAAGCAAACATAAAAACTTCAATATAAGTACAAGATATAGAAATAATAACAATATACAATGATAAAATCTCAAAATGGAATCAAATAGAGTACCAAAATGTCAACAGAAAGAGTCAGTCATATAATAACACAAATATATATACATGGAGGGATTTTCCAAAAAACAAAACATTCAAAAAAGATTCTACAAAGAGGAGTCATTCTTTCCAGTCTGTTAGTGATCGTTCTTCTTATTCCCAAATCCTGCTGAACATAGTGTAGAACATCCCTGCAGTTAGTGCTGTGTCTGCTTTAAGCGTCTCAGCTTGTATGTTGACTAGTCCTTCCGCTTTTTTGCTTTTGATAGCCATACTGGTCTCTTCCATTATTCACGGTTCAACATTGATTGCGAGGTCCGCGGATGTTGCTTCGATGTGGTATGGGTTCAATGGGACTGGTCGATTCAAGCGTTCTTTAAAGTGCTCTACTCACCTATTTTGCTGTTCTTCAGTGTCGACTATCACTGCGCCCTCGTTTCTTTTCATTGGTCTTTCTGGTTAACGATATTATCCACCAAGCTTCCTCGTCTTCCAACTTTTTCTGCCATTGCAGCTAGATCTTGCACTTATATGCGTTTTTCAGCTTTAATGCTGCACTTCACATGCTTGTTTGCTTTCGTGCACTTAACTTTCTCTGCTCTTACTAGGCTCATTTGAGTGATGTAATTTTGTTCCTCCTTATTTGAATCTTATCCAGAGTATCCAGAGAGGAACATTCCTTGTGACGATACTTCCTGTGTCCTAAAACCTCATGATATATTGAAGTTTTTGCTCCCATGATCTCTTTCAAGTTGTTTTATGTGGCGATTTCCTCTTCACCATGTAGGTCGTGAATGGCTTGGAACTTATTCTGAGAGCTATCTCGAATTAGTTGAGTTTGACAGTATCCCGAAGAAAGGCGGTGGTAAAATTTTTTGATGCAGTTCGAACGGTTTTCCAGTGCTTCTCGATTGTCAGCTTCATCTTGGCCACCACCAAGTGACGACCTGAAGCTAAGTCAGCTCTTCTCTTAGTTCTTTTGTCCTCCATGGTACGTCTGAACGATTTGCTGATGCAGGTACTAGCTAGCGATCGTTGGTGATCAGGTCAATGACTTCAATGCACCCATATTTTTGAGGCAGAAAATTTTGTTTGCTTTCGGCTCTTTTCGACTGATGAGGCGATTAATTAGTGCTACTGAGGTTACTCTTATACGCTTGCCACTTTTGAAACTCAGGTTTCCACTCTTATCCTGAGACCATTATTCCACCAAGACAACCTGCAACTATATAATTATCTTTTTATCAATCGGAGTTATGAAATTAGTGTTTTTACACATTGAAATCACCAATCAACCATTGTTTGACCACTATTAGAAACCTGGAAGCACTGGACGGCCGTTCCGTCGCGGTGTGGGACTCATAAGCATCATGATACCTGTAAGAATGGTAATGGAATGCAATATATTCGTGGTGTGTTGATACTTTCTAGGGTCAGTTTAAATAATAGATGGATCACAAAAAATTGCAGTAGGATTAAGTGCGACTTCTGGAAATAGTTGATAAAAATCTTCAGAGTCTAACGACTGAGGTACTGGTTTTCTGAAGTTGGTGATCATATCGCAGAAACGGATAGAAAATGTTAATCTGTTCGGCAAAGAAACTGTATCGTGTCACAAAGAAAGTACAACGCAATGAAATTTTGTAAAACAATTAGTCCTTTTTATAAATGTTGATAGAACGGTGAGAAGACGTAACTGATCTGAAAAATGTGATGTATTTGCGCTATACATTTAGAACAATCTGGTCACACATATTTACTTGTCAAGGCATTTTATATGAAGATTAATAAAAGGCCAATTAAATAAAAGTTCAAATAGACATAAGGTGATAATTGTGAATAAAGGAGAAAGAAAATTAACCTAATATGAAAAGAATAAGAAAGGGTAGGAAAACTGTCACATTACCCTAGGCCTAAAGATTATCAGGGTAAATTCAAGGTTATGACAAAATGTTTCTGCACACATAAAGGGGTTTTGAATTTTCGAATAGCCAAGGCCTCCATAAACCTCAAAATTGGTCCTTCAACATTTCTGTACAATGTTTTGAAGACTGTCTTGATGTCATTGTTATGTCCTGCCTCAATTATGTGTTTTGCGATCGATGAACATGGTTTTCTATCAAAAACGCTATTTGGCTCATCTGAAGTTAACTGATTTTGAAGCCACTTAGGCACATGTTCCATAACCCTTGATTGCAAAGTCCATGGATATACATACTAGGATAGGAATGCGAGATTTAATACAGTAGAACTGTCTCCAAAACACAGCCAGCCAAGTTTCATATTACTGACTTCGAAGTTCCAACACACAACAGTTTTCTACATCACTAAGTTCATGCCAGATCGTTCGCGCTAAACTTCCCAAGTCAGGTATGTCAGTTTCATGGATAACTCCTGAGTCATCAGCATATATGTAGGTTTCGCGTGTGTTCAAGCAACATCGTATGCTGTTGGAGTTGGTTATGAAAAGCAGTGGAACCAAGACACTGCCCTGTACAGCAACACTGCTTATAGGACTAGGTGTATATGTCGTAGAATTTGTTTTAGTAACTTGGAATCTTTTTGTAACCATTTCATAAGAAGGTCAGTAATCTTGAATGGCTAAAGTCCTTTGACTGGGAGATTAGAGTATCCGGTCATTCTAATTATGTCAACCGCACCAGAATGTAAACTAGGGTTAAGCGTTATATTTACAGCTTGAGTTTTACAACGATAAATGTTAATATTATTGCGATTATTTTTGCTGCTGTAGTGATAATAAACATCTGAGGTAAGAGATGTGTGCTCATTGAGGAAGAACCATGCTCTAAGAAGCTCGCGAATGACAATTCGGGCATAAAAATCACTACATCATTTGGTATGTAATGAATGCAGTGATTTCGGGACTTGGATAGAGTATCGAGTGCTTCATTTATCTTGATTTGTTTGTGTTCTAGACGCTCATTTTGCACACCCTTACGCACCAAGCACATTTAGTGGCGTTAAATACATATAGTGTCATAGAAAGTTCAACACTAGTAAATAGCGTAGACCAGTCAGAGTGCTTAATCAGTACTTAGAAGCTTTCCTAGTCAGTTATTCCATAATCGCTGTTCAAAACTCCAATCTTCATTAATACTCGGATTATGTGAACGATCATGCGACTCAATGATCGCACCTCAGAATTAAAATAGAAGAGCAAAAAATTAACTGTTTTCCAATAACTCGTCGTTAAGATAGTGTATATTGGTGTAACCTTCATAGGGAAAACAGCCGCTTATTTCTAAACCCAGATGGTGACCTTTCTTTTTTTGTCTGTTTTGATTAGATGACAGATTTTTACACAAGATGCTGTTTTGCAATCTAGTTTACAAATACCGTGGTTCGACCTGATCAGTGCGATTCACATTACTAAAATTACTAGCAGAACGCATCGTCCAAGTTAACAGACTGCAAGACCTAGAAGACACCAAAATTCACTACCTCAAGATGACAAGTAACCCCCAAAGTAGCTGTCCTTAAATGTCTCCCAGATTCAAGTTTGCGCTCTTAGAATATTTCTTATCGATAGGACTCTAAGTAACCAAAAAGAAGGAATAAGGGAAACGATTGTGTAAATAAGAGATGGCATGTCGATCCCTCCCGCAGACGTCACTGACTTAGATGGCATGTCTCTTTTTCACTACTAGAGGAATGTTAGTTTCTTTCTAGCATTCAAATGGTTAGTGTCAGAGCTATCAGATTTCTCTATTTCCCTCAGAGATATCGCTTTGTTCCCAAACTTTTCAGTGAATAATCTAAGGTAAAATCCACCAGTCGGCTTAGGATACAATAAAAAAATTTTTTTTCAAGGCACTGATAAAATCCTATCTCACAAAAGTCTTAATCAACCAAGCAAGTATGTCTTGGATGTGTTTTCTCCCTCGCATTGTAAGATAATGCTTGGAAACTAGTCCACTTCAGCGGCTGAACTAATGATAGGAAGTAAAATAGTTAAGCGCACTGACCAGTCCTTTTATCGTCTATGTTTCTTCAGCTATAGTGGACTGGTATTTAATTATGTCAGCACGTATTCAGAAAACTCGCTTTGTTTTCGTCAACTCGCTTGACCCGTGTCGTAGGCGGGATGTCCATCTCCCAATTAAAGTAAAAGTATATTGTGTAGTAATTTATTCTATCCAGCCTTAAGGCTGGCTTTGCCAGTTACTATCAACTTAGTGTTATTGAAGAATAGCTCGGTCATCTCGGGACCACCTAGTCAGTAATACTAAAGCCAGGTGCAGAGTACTAGAGGAATATCAAAGGGCGGATAATAAAGTAGCGGTTCTTAATCAGCTGAATCGCTCTATATGTATATTACGTTTGCTCATCTCTTATCTATCTTGAAACACAACGTTCGTTAGGGTAGAAGTAAGTTAGAAGAACGGTAGGGAAACCCAGACCAAAGCGTTGAGTCATTTTATAGAGCCATTGGCTGTCGGTAAGCAAAGTTTACTCGCTTAGATTACGTACACTTATTGCAACTTGAAGGCGGAGACGTTGGTGACGCGACTGAGAAATAGCTGCAGTAGGACAGATACGCCTACACTTTTTCTCCTTTTGTATCATGAGTCTTAAGATCGTACTATACATTTAATTCCTAGGGTTAACCTTGTTTGTTTGAACAATATTGTCTATGTCTACCGTTTTATTGTACCTTGGATTATGTTGCTATTTTCTCTTCTCTGACGTTTGCCTTGATAATTTCATTTATTTGTGCTGGTTTCGTGTGACGATTTGAACCGACGAAAATGTGCTTTGCTTGTGATTGACTATCTAACAAGCCACAGAGGTAACAAAGAAGATATTTCGTCAATCCTAAACACAAATATCTTAGTGATGTCTTACGAAAAATATTAGTCTGGTGCTTCAAAAACATGTGAGGGACTCTAATACATTTTCCAAATTAGTTGGTGCTTATTTTTTATATTAAGTTTACGAATCCGAAATATATGGGTTTTTGTTACCGTTTGCACAATATTTTAAACGATTTTTATAGGAGAAATGCGATCTGACATCTTCAGAGATTTCGAGATATAGCAGACAGCTCATTCTTCCTCAGTTCGGTGTTTCAGGTCAGTTCATATTTCATCTAGAGTATTTCACGAAAATATTTATGTTTATAATTATTCGTAAATGCATTTTAATCTTTATCAGTCAAATTGATCAAACCATACAGTTTGAGTATCAAACTCAACGTTAATGCTGAATAATGATAATGTAATAAACTAGTCAAAAGGTCTGTACTTGCTCCTTTTTCTATAACCACTTGGATAAAATCAAATTTTACTTCCTTCCTTTTGAAATTAATCAGCTGGATCTATTTTAAACGATTGAGTAGCTAACGCTCTTGTAAAGTTCTGAATCTACGTTACTCAATGCCACACTTGGGGTTGGAGAATATGAGCTGAGTCCTCCAAGGACTCTTCCTGTAACTGCCTTTATTCAATCACAGTAAACATACTGTGGACGTATGTAAACGATGTACTTTTATGGAATGGAAATATTAATTATATATATTACATACAAAAATTCCAGTTCGTTAAGGCACTTAAGTTTGTATCAATGATGTTGTGGGTAATGAAAACTTATTGTTTTCGTTTAGCCTTGAAAGTACGCAAACTCAACATTTAAAGGGTACCTTTCCTTATTATGAGAAACAATTAAGTGAAAACAAGGTTCAGTGAAGTGCTGAACATCCTATATTTCATGAAATCCTTTCCGTTGGCATGTGATAAAGATCAAACCAATTTCAAAGATATTTCCTGTTATGTTCTGTTTTTACATAAGATCTTCCAAATATGAAAACATTAAATAGGGTCAGATAAGTCGATGTTAATAATAAAAGATGCTTATCATTTCTATTACTCAGAGTAAAGATAATGGGATAGAGTAATAAAAAGTCTAAGCATTGATAATACTCCTAAAATGAGACAAAGATAAGTTCAGAGTAAGATCAGTTTATTTTTCGAAATTGCATTTATAAACTCAACCATTATACAAGTCCCTGCTCTGGATTTAGTTTTAAAAGCTGTTTTCAAGTCATTCTTTAGCCTGCATTCATTAGAGTTTCAGCTGTTCGTTTATGCTTTAATACTTTTTATTGGGATAACCACGTAATTTATTCTCCTGATTGATTTTTCTGCTTTTGGTGCAGGTCAACTTAAACTTCGATCTGGACGTGTACTTATTGTGGGATGTGGAGGTCTTGGGTGTCCAGCCGCAGTTTATCTTGCAGCTGCTGGAGTTGGTATGTTATATTTCAAGGCAATTAGTGTAACTCATCATTTTTAAAAATCTTGGGCACGTCTTACGTATCCCCAACCTCTGTCCGCCTTGACGCGTAGTGTTTGCTGGTACAGGTGTAGGTTGCAAGGAAGCTATGATGGACAAATCAAAACATGCCATTAGTATATGCAGTCATTAATTTTTGGTCAAAACAATGTTAGCGGATGCAGAATGCTTGGTTGAAGATCCGCGCAACGGCCTCAATCAGTAGTTAGATACATTGGATGGCATAGATCAAAATCAGTCTCAATAACACAAGTGCATTCACTCTTTATCTACCTCTAGACATTAATCCTTCATACATGTTATTCGTTTCTGAACCATATTTTCAATGTATAGTCTTTTCTTTTATCTATCTCAATCTGTACAGGTACAATTGGTCTTGTTGATAATGATAAAGTTGAGTTAAATAATCTTCATCGTCAAGTTGCACATTCTGAGTCAACAATAAATATGTCAAAAGTTCATTCACTTGCAAATAGGTGTACAGAGTATGTTTTTAGATTGCAATTACACTATATTCAGATTAAATTCAACAGTGAACATACAGACACATGAAATTCACTTGGATCACACGAATGCCGTTGGTATTATAGAAAAGTAAGTAGAATAATATGAAATCCTTATGTTCTTCGCATTTTACCTTATTGTGATGTATATCAGTAATATTCTGTAATTCACTCTAAAAAAACATGAATGACTTCAGCCGGTTAGTATTTAGACTTTTACGGTTTTTATCTCCCTATACATATTTTATGATTGTTCCTCTTATCTTACCTCTTAATCACCTGTCTTTTTCTACTTGGGCTCTTTATATCGATCACTGAACAGGTTAAGCAGTGTTTATCTAGTCTTTAATGGTGATCAAGTTCTATCAGTCAAGCTTCATGTAGCTACTAACTTAAGTGCCTTAATATAACTTCTACTGTGCTCTTGCTTTTATGTATCTGAAAGTAGTCGGGAAAAAAACGTAGACGTAATTTCCGTGCTAGTTGGCACTGGTACCTGCAATGTTAAGAGAGGAATCTATTCTTTTGTTTGGTGCCATCATTTTTTCTTAAGTGGTTATGTCTTATGAAAAAACAAAATATATTTTATATATATTTATTTATTTCGTTAACCTTGTCATCTGCAATGAGCTCATTTATTCTGATAAATTAATTCAGTTAAGTAAAAAGAGTAGTTTACACTTAATTTATCGATCAGTCGTCAAGTAAGCTAATGAAATCATATTTGAATCTTCTTATTTATGGTTTAAATTTAAATCCCTAATCAAGCAAAGCTTATTCTTCTCATCACACAGAATCTCCCTATGTTGGTACTCATTTAAAATTTGTACAGTGGATAAATGATGATTTTTTTTTTCTCAAACAATAGATATGATGTAGTTGTAGACTGTTCGGACAATCTGGCAACACGTTATCTTGTTAATGAAGCCTGTGCAGTAACTGGACCTAAGCCATTAGTGAGTGGTAGCGCTTTGCGTTTGGAAGGACAAATGACAGTATATCTTACCAAGTTAATTCTATCCTCAGAGGAAATGTTATCTCCGAATAACCTTCCTGCTGAACATCGAGCTCCATGTTTTCGTTGCCTTTATCCTGTACCACCACCGGCAAGTAGTGTTCAAGGTTGTTCAGAAGCCGGTGTTTTTGGGGTAGGTAAGTTTCATGTGAACCTGATAACTACTTTAGTATAATATTATTCAGTTTATCATTATTTGAACGTAAATCACAGCTTTTCAGAGACCTTAATACTTCCTTTACTCAGGTAGAAATATAAATTTCAATATAAATATTGTTGGATGTATTTATTGGATATTTTACTGGTTAAAGTCAAAGCTGAAATGATATTTTTTAACCTGGTCCCCATTTTCAAATTTTTTATCTGAAAAGAACAACCATCCCAAAACTGCTATAGTAATTAAAATAGACGGACCGATGATTGTCGTATGAGTTGCTGTTAGCCGTGTATTAAATTAAAATCTGTCCACCTAACTAGTGTATCTAAACCATCGATGGAGTTATAATAACAATTAAAAATGAACTTGTTTACTTAAGTTCTTATTTCCAATCAAATGCCTACAACCATCGATGTCTGTCATATTTTATAGGTTTCACCAAATGTCTATTAAGTCAACAGAAGCTTTCGATTCTCATTGTATTCCTTCTTAATGTTAAAAGTATCATCTTGAGGATTGAATCAATCTTAAGACTTTTTAACTATAAATTCCAAAGTAAGCTGATAGTAAATTGGGTTCTATAATGTCGGCAATTCGTACTACTCATTTGTTATCATGTTATTGATGGTTGCTATTAAAATTGTTGATTGTTTCGAACCTGAGTGAGAAGCGTAAGTATTCAGGAGATTCGACGATTTAAATAGATTTTCTGTCAAATATAATCGTTCATTCAGCACCTGAAAGCATCCATCACCTCTCCCTGGCTAGGTTTTTAGCTTGAAACTATATCAGACATTACTCAGAACAAAAGCCAGTGTTAATCCTGTCGTAGTTTTTTAAGTTCTCCATAATAGTGAAAGAATTATATTCTGTTCTATTTGTAATTGAACCGTTTCTCCTACTATTTACCACCTCTGTCCTTTCGCTTTTGTTCATTTATTTGTCTCCGATGACACATACCCTCCTTTATCTATCTATTGGCTGTTTCATTCCCTCGTTTAGGTGATGCATGTTTATTTTGGTGTCCTCATTATGTTGAGGTTCCCACCAACGATTTTTTATATTCATTTACGCCATTGTAAATATCTTCATGAACTGGTACTAATTTTGATTTAACTAACTGTAATTCTTTTTAACAAATTTCGTCCGAATTTAATAAAAAAGCTTATAATTAAAATAATAACTTATGCCATCAGTTCAGTCAATTTATTTATTTCAACTTACGTTCAAATGGCATTATCTGTGATCAGAGTGTTAATTTTTAAAGTTTTTGCTATCTTGTTGGAAATGAATTGTTTTTATTTGAATCGCTAGACTGCTAAACATTTGTTTATCGTTCTGAAAGATTTTCGCTAAACCACAACAGTACATAATCTGTTATAGGATTTATTAGCTTATGTTTGAAGCAAACAAACTTTACTGATTGTGTTGATTCGTAAATCAGATTTTCAGTGGATCTGAGATGTTTTAACATTGCTTGCAGAATTTAATGCCTTTCAAGTTAGAGTTACTTACTTACTTACTCCTGTTACCTCGCTGATTGGCAATCTCCAACCTACTCTGTCTTGGTCCTTCCTCTTAGTTCTGTCCAGTTGTTGTTCATTCTTCTCATATGTATCTCCATTTCTCGGCGTAATGTGTTCTGTGGCCTTCCTCTTTTCGGTTGACCGTGAGGATTCCAGGTGAGGGCTTGTCTCGTGACGCAGTTGGGTGCTTTCCTCAGTGTGCGGCCTATCCAGTTTCAACACTTCTTCTTGCTTGCTTATTGTGATGACCCAATCGATCTATATTGTCTGGAACATATGTTCCTGTAGGCTCTGCCATACCAGGCAGGTCGATTAGAGAACGGTAAGACTAAAAGCAGCAACTGAAGGTCTGAGGGCGAAGTCGTACTGCTAACTGTAGAGGAGTGTGACGGCAGTAAGGTGTTTCGTTCGGAGAACCAGCATCTGCAGCGATGCTGCCTTCTCACAAGGAAGGAAGGGGCTAGGAAAGGTCGACCCCGAAAATGTCACACCTCACGAATTTCCACCTCCGACGATAAGACCTTCTGAACAACAGCGAAGCCAACACTTTAAAAACTTTCCATAAAAAGGCCGTGCGTGACCGGCCTCAAACAGTTGTCCCTTGGATTCTGCGGTCGCGCTCCCAGGTCTCTAATGTACTTCCCTTTTTAGTTTCTTCAAGAAACACTTCCACGGTGTGGGCAGCCAGGAAGTAGCATCCGCCCTCATACCCGTAACAACACACGAGACCAAATTGGTCCCAATCAAATCCTTCGTGTAACCCCGAACATCCCCTTTATCTTCATGACCAACTCTTCTCACATCCCTTTATCACCCTGCACCGCTGATGCAAACGATTCGAGTACCTGAAACGTTATTCTTGGTCTCCTGAAACCGCCTTTTAAACTAAATGTTGGAGCACTCAATGTACGGACATTGTGTCAAATAGGGCAACAGGCTTCCTTAGCTGGGACTTTAGAATCTCGCGCCATTGATGTATGCCACGCCTCGCAAACGCGCATGAAGGATCCGAGTAGCGTCATGCACGTGTCGTCACCATGTCAAAATAACGAACCTGCTCGATTTACTCTCTCAGTATCTTGAAGCCCTGCTTCTGCTTCCCGGGTTCTCGCTGCTGCAGGTTTAGCATTGAGTCATAGAGCAGAACTAGCTCTCCTGTACTGGATCCCAGTAGATAGTCGCTTCTGCGTTGTCCGACTAAACGGGTCAGTAAGCACTTATAAAGTTAGGGAAACTCGCTGTTACCTATTCGTCGTATCTGCCTACGCTCCAAATGACTGAAGTTCAGACGATGTGAAAGATAAAATGTACAGAAAACTTTCGAACCTCCTCCAAAACGTTAGGCGATCTGATATATTAATAATGGATGGTTCGAGTAAGTAGACTGAGTGTAAACGAAAGACATGTGGGTGGGTCTTATGGTTTCACGGCTAATCGAACCGATAGTGGCGACCGTCTGCTCCAACTGTGCTCAGATAACCACCTATTTCTAGCGAAAACTAACTTTAAGCTTAAGGAAGAACATTTCTTCACAGGGCAACCCCCAAAGGCCGACGCAACGATGGACCCGAATGGATCACATTGCTATCAGCCATCGATGAAGAGACTCTATTGAAAACTGCCGCTCATTCTGGAGCACTTGCTTAGATTCAGATTATGCTCTAGTGCGAGCGCGTATTTTTTGCGGCTAACTGGACGTAGGAAAGACACCTCAAGGAAACCTGTTAAGGTTCTACTTAACGATAACAAAGGAAAGAATATATTTCAGGAACAATCAGAAAAACAGTTAGGCAGCGATGTAAGTGATGCTCACCCTGAGGCAGCTTGGAATGATATCCAAAAGGTCATGAAGATAGCAGTGATAGCTGCTAGTAAGGTAAACCATAAGGCTAGGATGAAGCCATGGATCTCAGTAGCTTCTACCGAACTGATAGATGCTCGAAAACTCATCCAATCTGGCTCTGAGCACGACGAGGAGCGAAGTCAGCTTAAGTGCAGGCTGATAAGAAGCCTACGCAGTGATCGTAAACAGTGGTGTGTGGAGAAATCGAGAGAGATGGAAAATGCAGCGGCGATAGGCAACAGTAGACAACTGTTCCGCCTTATCAAGGAAACCGGTATTAGGTATCCGAATGTGAGTGGGACTATTTCGGAAAATGACGGTTTTATTATTCATTTTCAATCCAGGAGATTGGATCCATGGGCAGAACACTTTGGAGATCAGTTCAACTGGCCTTGAGCCTCACTTCGGTTAAACACGATCTCCAGTCAACCTGGATGGCAAATTAATGTCAGTCCTCCAACTCTTAATGAAGCTGAAACGGCTACAGACAATCTGAAGCGAGGGCTAGCAGCGGCTTCTGATAGATTGACCGCTGAGATTTTTAAGGATGGCGGAATGATGTAGTGTCAAAAATGTTAGCCTCGGTAATACTTCGACGCCTAACTAGAGTATGTCAGTATTTCGAAGAAAAGCCGTATTAAACTTTTATGATGTTGTTCTTCTCGTTGTCCAGTACTTTTTGTGTTTCAATTTAATTTCGGCTACCAGCAAGTCATGATATAAGGCTATATCAGCTCCTCCTTTTCTTCGTACTTTCTCTATCGTCCTTTTGAACTTTATATTGATGTAGATATGATCAGTCTGGTTCTGATCCGTTGAAATCTGTGTGGCTTTGTTTATGTGGAAATGTGGTGCCGTCTATATCCATTTTGTTGAAGTCATAGGTTTGCGAACATCTCACTGTCTTCGTCCCTCAATCCCACTACATGTCATCTCATGATTTTTTCATATCCAGTGTTGTTCCATCCCAACCTTGGGGTTTAGGTCTCCCATGAGAATGGTTGAATCCTTTGTCGAGCATTTCTCGACAATTGAGTGCAGCCTCTTGTAGAATTGATCTTTAACGTCCTTATTGTTACCGACGGTAGGCGCATAGTACTGGATGACATTCATTGTAATCTCCTCTTCTATTGTTTTGAAGGATGATTGGATGATCCTATGTCCATTAGATTCCCATCCTATAAGTGCTTTTGGTGCTTCCTTGAACACCATCAGTGTAACTCCTTGTGTACTTTAGACATTTAGTTCTTCATGGCTGGATTATAACAGCAGCTCTCCTGAAGCTAGTCTTGTTTGTCCAACCTACGTCCAATGTGTTTCACTGATTCCAATCACCTCCAGGTTGTATCTTTTCATTTCTGCAGCAACTTGAATGACTGTCCTGGTTTCTCACGTTTTTCGAACATTCCACGCAGCTGAAAGAATGGTTGCTCTGGTTGTCAAACGGGGCATCGGCCTCGTGACTTACGAAGGAACTTGGCTTTCATCATGAGACGTCATAACGCTTTTGAATGAAGACCTCCTAACTCCCAGGGCAGAGTTAAAATGGTTTGAATGATTTTTTTTGGTTTGCATTATTTAGAGAGTTAGTTTTTTATTGGATGGGGTCACCAACCCCACGCCCAACCTCCATTTATCCGGACTTGGAACCGGCAGTATCCACAGAAGGGGCTCCAAGCGGAGTTAAGTTAGAGTTACATGAGAAAAATGATCGCCAAGTGCTAGCTTTGATTTGTGCCATGGAAATAGCAGAATATTGAATGATTGATCTCTTTACTTCTCAATAATTCACAAATTTTCAAAAAGTGGTAAATGAAATCCAATGTTTTGTTTCTGGTTAAACCGCTTAGTACAGTGATTTACATTATGAATAGTGTAATTAATCTTGATTTATTTCAGTTCCAGGTATTATCGGCACTATGCAGGCTGCTGAAGTTATCAAAATACTGACTGGTGTTGGTGGTGAGTTTTAGTCTTTGAAAACCAAATACCTCTAATCATTTGAAGTCATTTCAAGTTTTTTCTAAACATCCAGTTTTCGTCTTTTGATTAATGTAGAAGCAGACACATACTATTGAATTTCCATGAGCCCTTGTATCCTTAACCATTAACCAATATCACGTAATAAATACAAAGCAACTAGAATTACGTTTTAGCACCAGAAACCTTGAGTCAGCTCTAAATTCTTTTGGTCCACAACTCGATAGCTGATTTTTTTTCTAGCCTGCTTCTTAGTCCAGAAATCCGTAGCCACCCTCCAAAAAATTCGTTATATTTCAAGCAGACATAGTTTATATATCCGACATATCAAACCACATCATACCGTAGAAGTAGAAGATACATTTATATATGAGCAAGCCAAAAGTGGTTGTAAATAATGGAGCCTATGAATGATCAACTGGCAAAAGATCGGGAATAGTAAATCATACAAAATTAATTAATGGGTCAAGAAAGAATTTTATGGCAATGGGAATATGTAATAATTTGGCTATTTAGTAATTACGCGATGAGAATAAATATATAAGAATAGTAATCCATAAACCAGCTCCAGGATTTACCATTTCTATAATCTTTTCTCCCCGGATATAGCAACCTTATCAATCCCATTATCGTCTTGAGTTTGTTATTGTTATACTAAACCCAAGAAAATACATGGTTGTCTTGGTTTTATATATAACGAATACATGTTCACTCTTTCGAACTTTATGTAAACTCATCTACTAAATTATTTCGTCCACATGCTTTAGTTATATCATCGTATTGCACAGATTTGTAACCATACTTGCCAATCGTAATATGATTATTTTTCATGACGACTGTCCATAAACTTCTTTAAAACTTCCCCAGTTTGAATTCAAAGTTCTTCGTATAGTTCATTTGATTTCAATACAGTTTACAAATAAGCATACTTGTTCAGTGTGAATGTGAGTTAGTGTAGACAGAACAAGATAAGGAACATAGCGATATAAAATCGTGAGCAAATTCAAACAGATTACATTTTGTTACAAAACCGTAGAGATCGAATTCACTTCAAGGATGGAAGTGTGAGCAAGCTGAGTTTAGGTAAATTAATTATCTGATTAAAGTTACCACCCACATGTCTCTGCTTTCGATCAGTGAGTGCCATATGTATATGCATAATGTATGTGTAAATCATTTTAGCCTTTAGCAATACAACTTCCTAGAAGCGCATTCTTTATGTTCAACCTGCTTGTAACTCAATCAGACCATAGAACATATCAAAAAAGTTAACTTTAATAGATTATGAGAATCGATTTACAGCCTATCCATACTACTTCATAACCTCAGCTAAAGAGTTCACACTTTATCACATAATTTTGGAATCTAATCTGTTTTGCTATTGCTTAATAAATATTTCCTTCACAATTTCAAATCTTTAATTTTAAAAGTTTGAAGAAAGTTTACTAATCTAAATACAATACTGTATTTCATTTAAATAAAACATACAGTGTAATTTATTAAACATTGATATTTTTTTCCTTTTCATTTGTAACCATTGCGATACATAATGATGAGTTAAATTTATGTTATTACGTTGTGAACTTTTAGTGCACATCACTCATAAAATATTTTTCAATATCATGTATTTTATAGATAATTCTAAATCATAGCCAATCAAAGTATATATATATACATATTATTAAGATATAGTTGAATTTTAATTTCTTGTCTATTAAAATTTTGTCAGATGTTCACACGGGTAGACTATTTCTCTTGGATGTTGAACGTAATTTGACTCGTTCAGTAAAATTACGAGAACCTCGACCGGATTGTCCTGTCTGTGGAAACAATGCAGTGAACAATAGTTTAGATAAACCTTTAACTAATTATGTTTTATTCTGCGGTGCACCCAGTTGTGATAAGGTATTTATCATTTTATTATGTAAAATGTGGTTTAAATTTGACAATGTAAATTATTGTCAATTATTTTATTAAAGGATAATTATAACAATATGTTAGCATAAAAATTGACTGCAGTTTAAAACAGTACAGTTCTTAACCGCTCACTGAAGAATCATTATCAGCAGTTTAAAATTACTAAACACATTCACCTAATATTTCTAAATATTTAATATCCCAGTTCCATCAACATGTAAAGGTGTGTGTACCTGTCAACCAACGTTTCCACTATATCTTGGTCGAAGCTCATAATGTGGTGTACGCTACTTATGTTCACATAAGTAGTATATGATATCAAACGTCTGACAGCAAAAGATCGAGAAGGAAAGAATGAGAACAGAAGGCGATTTGTAGGTAAGGTAAAGTGAACTGAAATCTGAAACATGTAAGGATTCGTTTGCAAATGATGATTCACGGGAAGGTTTTGTACATATGCTTAACAACTCTGTAATAATCGCTTAAATATATATGGATGGCCTCACCTGAGTTTTCGTGCACAACAATAGGTTTTCACAGTATTCTTATCAAATACTTCGCAATTTTTGTATATTTTTGGATGAAAATTTCCTTGATGATTTATCATACCAAATCAAATAGTGATTAAGTATCAAACTCTTGACTAGGCTCAAGCTCAAATTGTCGAATAGTATAACTGCCATACTATCTACCCAACAAACCGTACCACATGCAAAATTGAAGTTAACTACTCTTATTATTCGTTCACATCACTGACGTTACGCACAAAACCTACGGTTCCACTAGATTTTATTCAGATAAAATCAAAATTAGTCTAGTCCCTGTTGTATATCGATGCAGTGTGATTGTTTTCAGATGTTTATATATACATATATTTTTTTCTAGTTAAGCGGCATGTTACATCAACCAATTTTTTAACACATTAAATTTACATGTTGATTGAGGAACAATGTAATTTTGAAATTCTTCGTACAAAAATTCAAAAAAATTAACTCACTTGTATATCGTTCTTTTTTTTTTATTTGAAGCCGCGGAATATGAATATGACAATGAATAGTGATCGTATTACTGTTCAAGTAAATTTAGCATCTTTTTATATCTAACCGTTATCGTTTAGCAATTAAAAAGCTATATAGACTCTCAGTTACCATATTTGCTTATCGATGTTCGTTCGAAAACTGAATTCGACATATGTCATCTGAAGTCATCTATACGTAAGTTACATCTGTTGATCATAGAAATTTAGTTACTCGATATATGCTATCCATTTTTTGAAAATACTAAATGTATTAGTTATAAGTGCCACTAAAATCACCCAGTATTTTTAAATGTTACTTGCCTACAAATATTACCAAGTATTTTTCAGGCAAAATGTGAATGCTCACTTTAGTGTTTTCTAACTTCAGAATAGACCTAACACATCTGGCTACTCAATCATTAAATCTTGGATTGTAAAATTTTGTGAAATTAAGCTCGATTTGAAATATTGGACCCGTTAATAGCCTTTAGTAATCAACTTGACACATGAATGTACAGTACAGCAACCTATATTTCTCCTGACTTTCACGTAGTGTTAAATTTTACTGATAATTATCTTTTGTTTCAGTGCAAATCTAATTCTAGAGGTTATTACTGATTTATTGATTTTTAATAGTTTAATTTACTAGCTATCGGTAAATCTAATTTAGGATAAACACTACTTTATTTTGTAGATGTACCCATAAATGAGCTTTTCCGTGATTCAGTAATATCAGAAATTCGGCAAATGATGGATACCCAGATCAGCAAAGGAGCTACTCTACCTTTTCCTGGTATGTATAGGTTTCAGTAGTGTGATTATACTTTTCTATTGGTAGATTCAGTTTTAAGACAGACCATTATTCACTTCATCATTGTACATTTGTTTTCAGTGAATTAGTAAGGTTTAAGCGTTGCATATCCCTTTGTTTGTTTGTAAAAAACTTATTTACTATCCTGTAAGGTGCAAATTATTCCTTAATTAGAAGCTTTCCCCTGCTTACAGATAAAACTGTCGATTGATTAGATCCATGTTATACTTAAATTTTACCTTATTTTAAATTTTTCTACAAAGTACCAATGATTAAGTCATGTAAGCATTCAAAGCAATCAAGTTTTTAGGCCTTATCCCTTGCCAGTAGCCCGAATGATAGTTTCACTTATTTCATTCATGTTTCGTTTGTGTGTATTATAGAAACACATTGGTTTCACATATTCACTTTGGTCTACACTAAATTTACCATCTTTCCGTCTGGTGCACGTTGGAAAGTAGTCCACTTTGGTGTTGATTTCGAATGAAATTTCCTTAAAAAACACCGATTTACTCCATAATTAGAATAGAGTCTTATAATTAAGGGGACTTCAAGTTCCCTAACTTACTTATAACGCTATTTCAATCATAAAACCATATAAATAAATGTTGTTGTTTTGAATCCTTGTTTACAGTTCCCTTTTTTTGTTTATTCTTCCTTTTGCAATTCTAGTAATTCTCTTGTGCTATCGTGGAAATAAGTCGGCAGAAGCTGCACCTCTTTTAAAAAGCGCATTATCATCTTTCCGATGTTCGAATTCTGACAATGATCTAACTGATAAAGTTAATCACTTAACAAAAGAAGATTCAAAATATTTCAATGGTGAATCCAATCATAGTGACTTTATAGTTTGTGATGTTGCTGGAGGTCTTTCTGCTTGGTCATTGGAGATCGATCCTAACTTTCCTACTTATTAAATCAAACAGTTATTATTTTTTTTTATTAAACTGAACAATTTGAGAAATTTCAATCCAATTAATGTTTGTCATTTTTTTTACCTGTATAAATAAAGTTGATTTGTACATTTACTTGAATGAACTCTAATCTCACCATACTGACTATACAGTCATCTATGGAAATGTGAGTGAAGTGAAAATTAGGAATTTGTGTACGATAATGACATAGCTAATCGGAGACTACTATGATTTCGAGTCGAATCAAAATGTCACAGTACAATTGTATTACTTTTAAAAACATCATTCGTTTTTTTGTATTTTCGATATAAATTAAATAACAAAATAAGGTTAGAATCTCTTCATGGGGAGAACATTTTAATGCTTCTAATATGAATCTTTAAAGTTAATACTATGTAAACACATTGTTATCCAACAACAGCAAAACATTTTACAGGTCTTTTCTATAATTCTGAAATTCTCTATCGAAAAAGTTGAATTTCAAGTGTTTATTTCCCCTTCTTCAGTCAAAATCAGGATGAATAACATATTCTTTTGGTTGCCTGTTCAATAAATGTAAGTAATGTGATCCAGGATAGTCGTATCTAGCCGTACTTGATATTTTATAAGGAGGTAAATGATGCCAACTGCAATACATCCAGTGATCCCTTCTTTCTTGCTGAGTCAATAGATTTAAGTATTTGAAGTGCGTTGAACCATCACCTTGAGAGAATACGGGATGTGGTCTTTTGTTTTGACCCAGGTTAATGCTACAAAAGGTATTTACGTTTAAGCGAAGGATAGCATTATCTCACATCACCAGTAATAAAATACTTGAATTTAAAAATTACGATTTAAGTGGAATGTTGAATGGTTGTCATCCTAAATATAAGTTATCTTATCTGATAGATTCCCATCAGAATCATTTCATGTTGGCAGTTTATTTCCTAGTTGAAGTAAAACTCTAGTACTGGTTAATCTCAGATAACATTCTTATTTTCATTGTTTGTAAGAATATTCATATGATAAACATACCAAAGTCAGTGAAGGTTTGCAATTTTGATATATATATATATATATATATTGTAGGATTTAATTCGTCCTACAGATGTAAGTGTATGACTTTGAACGCAATATTGGCGAGTACAGAGTCTAAGGGAAAGCTATAATCAAAACAAGACCAATTTGGCTCTAAACTTTACCTGTTTCTAAACATAAAAACAATTAGATTAGTACAATAAACAATTAAATTACAGTTACCAAATGAAACCAGCAAACATACCGAACAATGTAGGATGTCCTATGGAAATGAATAGAACTATGAGTCACATCAATATAAGATAATAATGCCCTTTGATTAGTAGGTCATTTACAACAAAGGTAGTTTACCGACACGTCAGAAAAAAAATCATGTGGTGAACGCTTAAACCGCGATTTGTTTGGTTAGTTATGGAAATAACATATATATATATATATATATATATATCGGAATCCATGGCTATGGGGTTCACGATAAATTTTCGAGAGTACCAAGTCGGTCAGAGTTCGTTCCTCACTAATTTATCGACCGAATCTCCCTTTACTAAATTTGAGAATATTTACTAGCTTCTACGCAGTTGGTCGGAATATTGAGAAAGACATGAGAAGAATGAACAAAAATTGGAAAGAACTGGAAACAGAATATCTGAAGCAAGGACGAGCAGTGGATCTCATTTGGCTCACTCCTGAGATTTGCAAGGATGATGGTCCAGTTTTAGCAGTTAGACTGACTGAAATCTGAGAACTGGACGTAATCCCATCCGACTTGTCTCAATCACTGATTGTCCCAATTCATAAGAAAGGAAAAAAGTCCTTTTGTGACAATCACAGAGGAATCATTCTAAATAATATGGTAATTCTTGAAGTCTAACTAAAGCTCGTGAAGAGCAGGATATAGAAAACCATGTTGGTTTCAGACCTTGACGTGAATGTTTCGACCAAATATTCACTCTTCGTCAGGTCTTGAAACACAGACACACATTTAGGCGTCCGACAATAGTTGTCTCCCTGGACCTTAAAGCAGCATTTGACTCTGTTGATCGTGAGATCCTGTGGGTGTCTGTCATTCAAAAGAGTACCAAAGAAGTACATTAACCCTATACAAGCTCTCTACTCGAAAACTATAGGTCAAGTGAGAGCATATGGCGAACCGTCATCAGAATTGATTACTTCAAGTGGTAATCTCCACTTTCTCCATTCATGTTTAACTTTGTCTTAGACATGCTTTTAGAGTTAACATTATCTTCACCTGACTTTTCAGGAGTGAACTTCTACCCGAAGACTCGCTCATCGACTTAGAATATGCCAATGACATAGTTCTACTTGGTGAAGACGCTGAGAGTCTTCGGATCACCCTATGCAACAATGCAGGCATAGACTAGTGACTGACGAGATCTCAGCACGGATACAGAGGACTCGATTGGCTTTTGCCGGATGCGTCACTTATGGCGTAGGCGAGATATCCGTTTGCTAACCATAGGGAGAGTGTACTGCACAACAGTTCGCTCCGTTCAACTATATGGATGCGACACCTGGCCGGTAAGAGTTGAGGATATTCGTAGGTTACTAGTATTCGATTATAGATGTCTTCGAAGCATAGCTCATGTATCCTAGGACAACCGAGTAAGCAATGCCGCTGTTAGAAAACGAGTAGTAGTTTGGGATGGTAAATCGATTGATAAAGTATTGAAACTTCATCAGTTGAGCTGGTTGGGACATTTGTTACGTATGCACAACCGCTGGCAGCTTCAACGAGCTATGTTTAGTGGTTTAGTAGTAAGTTGGATAAAAGCTAGAGAAGGCCAAATCAAAACATAGCATAAATCCATGAAGTCATTGACAATTGGATTGGGTCATGTTAGTAAATGTAGACTACCTGGTTTGGGTCTGCGAGATAATATAAATCGATGGTTAGAGACCTTGAACGACATGGCTCAAAATCGTTTGCAATGGCGCAGGTGCATTTATTCTTTTTGTTCTATGAAATTCTAACCTTTTTAATTAATCATCACCTCTATCTTTCTCCTTCTAAATTTACCTCACTGAATTATATTTCTTGAATAACATCTTCGAACCTTAATCTCTCCGATTACAACCTGGTTTATAGACATAATTCTGTATGAATTTTAAAGCCATCTTCTCTTCAGTTTTGTAGAGTGTTGGTTGTTTTTATCGAACACTAATTCTGAATGTTTTAAAGATCCGAAGTAATTAACGAACGTTTATCGCAACTTAGTTTTGCGTTTTAATTCATTACTTGTTATGACTGAATTTTATATAAGTATTTTTCACAGACCACTTCTTGCATTTCTTAGAGTTTACGAGGTTACGTTTAACCAATACACGTTATATCTTATTTCATAAAATTGTTAGACTATGTGTTTACGTTTGTCTGATTGCTTCGTGCTGTGTATCATTCTATACTTTGAACGAACTGATTAAAAAACCGAATAGTATATACAATAAAAAAATATCTTAATAACCAATCATTGTAACGACTTATAAACATATGCTAAAAGTTGATTTGTTTATGAGTAAGAGAACGACAGTGTTTAGATTTTCGTTTGAATAAGTGGGAACTGTAATTCACTCTCTCGTCAGCATTCTGACTATCCAAAAGCGGATTGACTATTTCGACTATAATTTGATAAAATTGAATGCTAGGTGTTTACTGTTATCAACAATAACATTGTTATGATATATGTGTCACTTTTACTTTTTTTTTCCAATCAAAAATATCCCAGGAGCTAACTCACTTTTTAAAGCGTTTTATAAAGTTTTCAATTTGAGTATCGGTTAACTGATCTTGTTCATTTGTCTCATGATACAGCTTGTCTATGAATTCCAGTGCTGTTGTGCGCTCTAAATTTTAACAAAATATAGTTGAAATGTTATAATTAAATCTGAAATTAATATTTATTTATTGTGTTCAGTACATGAAAAGTTAAGAATGAATAAAGTTTTAATAACAAAAAATGTTTTTTCAACTTACAAGGAAACTTATTGAACACCAATAAATAATTCAGTATTAATGATTCAAAAAAATATGTTTATAATCCAGATAGCTGTTTTGTCCCCATACGGGACTCAGAATTGCCCATCTGCAATACTGGGTTTCATACCCGAGACCCTTGTGGCGGGCTCTCAAATTTCAGGCCGTTCAGTCAGTATGCAATGGTTTACATGCTTGATTTCAGCCTATTCGCAATGTTGTATAACTATCTTTACCCGCGATTAGTCGTGATATTTCCACTAACCACTACTTCTCATTAAAACCTAGTGGATCGACTTTCGAAACAGTTCTCTAGTGAACACATTATAACAGATTGTTGAAATCATATACATGCAGACACTAAGTGAACTATAAATCAACTCCGCGTCGTTATTCCGTGATATAACCTCATAATCAGACGGTCATCCATTGTTGACGTGATTCAAATCTAACAAATAGTGTTTGAATGAAAGTGTTGGAAACCCGAGGATTCAACTCAGTCGTTACTAGGTCACAATATATTTCATAATTTCCCTTTATTTTTTCAGGTTGATTACTAGCATATTTATTCAATCATTTTCCATTTTTGTGCTGGACTGGTAGACGCTCAGAAACTCATTCCAGCATGTTCCGAACGCGGCTAGGAGCGAAGGTAACTTAAAGGCAGTTTCATCGAAGGTAGGGGCGGGTGGACAGATTTTCAGAGTTATCAATGAAACAGGTATTAAATATTCTCGAATCAGCCGAATCTTTCCTCATCTTAAGAAACTGGAACGATGGATGGAACAACCTAAAGATCAATTTAAATGCTCTTCAACTACCCTCCAACTGCGTCTTCTATCAAGAAACCTGAATGAGATATCTACATAATCTACCCCACCCAATGATGCGAAAAAGTAGCTTGTCCAGAACGATGAGGATTAGCAGGCCCTGATTGATTAACTACTGTGATCTTTAAGATTGGTGTCCGCTGTTAGGTTGACTGGGACCTAATCACACCCAACTGGTTTTGATCGCTGATCGTTCCTATCCACGAAAAAAGGACAAAAATCATCTTGTAATAACGCCAGAAAAATCAGTTTGACTGTTCAAAGTGTTATCCTCATTAATCATCCGGTGCTTAGCTATTGGTTACAGACAGCAAGGTTGAGGTTGTTTTCATACCTGAACCAGGATATGTAGGCTAGTTATTCACTTTTCGGTAGGGTTTGGAACGTCGACATACTTTTCGACGTCCGATTATAACTGTATTCTTTGACCATAAAACCGTGTTGCAGTTGCGTATTCACTTTTTGTCTTTCCTTAGTAAATTCTTATTATCGTGTCTTGGATGTATAATCTTTTCTACTACCGTTAATACTGTTTAAACCTTTACTGTTCAGGAATTTGCCCTGACCATTTTATCTCGCTGTATTACCCAGATATAGCAACTTGAACTAATGTACACATGTGCTAGGTTCTGTGTTGCGTACGACTGAATTCGTAACACAACTCCATGCTTTCAATAACTTGACAGTTTGATAGTTGAAAGACTATTTAAAGATGAGAATATAAACATATAATGTTTAATGTGTGAATAATTTACCAACAGCTCATCAGGTTTTTAAACAGGATTGCTAAGAATTAAGTTATAATAATTGGTACATCCACCTGGCAATTGTAAAATAAGACGAGACGAGCATCCTGGTTTCCATGACAAAGTGGCTATATTGAGATAATCCAAACAGGTTGTATACATACAAACAAAGACTGGTCAGAATTCAGTCAAACATATCAACATTGGAATAATCCAAACATTCACATAGTATAATATATTAATCTTGATTGAAATATAAATCATTATGAACCTGTACAATATATACAACCGGTATGTTGTAAAGAATAAAACTCAACACTGACATAAATGTGTACTGTTTATTCTATTGCCAAGGTGAACATTGTATCTCAAAATGACCCAATTAAATCTACTGTCGATCAAGAAACCAAAACTTATTTTTTATTGGTCATTGCATATATACATATTTTTTGTCTAAAATGAAGTCACATGGGAAAATTATAAGCAATCTGCTGACTAATAAGTTGTGAAAAAACTGTTTTTTTTTTGGTGAAACAAACAGATAAATTCATTACTTCTTCAAATAAACAACTAACTAGTATTATGAAAGATTTTCTCCTTTACGATCTATAGATATTCATTTAAGTTGTGAGATCGGAAATAAAATAAATTTTACTACTTAAAATGTTTGATAGTTTTGTTAACCCTATATTGACACATTTTCTGTAATAGAAACGAATCACTGTTTGCAATGTGCAAATTGTATGATACAAAATCATTAAGAATTTAATCAATATTACGTTGGTATTACAGAAAACTATGAATCGACAAATCATATCACTATTATCAACTGAGCATGAATCTTCTAAGCTTGTAAGTTTGTAAATTTGACTATAACTGATAAGTATTCACACAACTTCTGAGTAGATCAGGTTATATACTCATTTTAACATTAGTAGCCTTAAAAAAAATATTGATTTTCAAGAACAATATACTCTTTGATCATCGTATCGTTAATAATTACCAGAACTAACGGATTCACATCTGTTAACATACAATATAATGAGTTCAGTGTGCAATGAGTACTGAAAACCTTCTTCTTTACGGATGAACTTACTGACCAACACTGTTTATGCACTTTAGAAAGATCCAAAGCATTAATGAGAAAAAAATAATCAGAACAGTAGAAAATAATTTTCCACTGAAGAAAGCGATCCTTACATTTACACTTTAAACTAAATAATAAAAAAATCGTATTCATTTCTTTTTATTACATTTTAGTGATCGTAGAGATCATCATAAAAAAGAGATAACTGATGATTTATCGATGCAGTTCAAGAAATTGCAAGAGATAAAGTTTGATTATATTGTCTAAATGAATGATCGGTTTTTATGCTATAGTTACTTTACTATCCGTAATTATGCTCACAAATGGATCATTCTGATACAGATATATTTTTCATAGATTCTCATTTTACCAAATCTTGGTGTTAGTTATTTTCATAACTAATTGTAGTTATGTCATAACTAACCAATTAAATTGTGTTTTAAGCGCTCTCCATGTGATTTGATCTGACGTGTCTGTAGACCTTCTTTGTTGTAAATGACCTACAAATTGATTGACATTATTATCTTATTATATTGATGTGACTCATAGTTTTATTCATTTCTAAAGATACAGTATATTGGTCGAAACAGATAAAGTTTAAAACAAAGTTGATCTTCTAACTGTAGCTTTCCCATAGACTCTGTGCTCGCCAATATTGCGTTTACAGTTCTAGAATTACATCTGTAGGACAAATTAAATCCTACACTTGGTTTACTTAAATTGTTAGATTACTGTAAATTATCAACATTACTATTGATAAAACGTCCATAGTTGTTTGAACGTACTAAATTTCATTTCTAGAATTTCATTCATTTCTTTGTTTCTCTTATAAGTCATCTCTTTGAATATTCGAAAACGCTTTCCGATTTCCCATAATTTTTATAAATAGCGTGTAACTCAAATTATCAGTGAATTACAATGAATTCATTGAATTCCATTAAAATTATAGATTAAATTTCATATGTATTGGGAGTAGTTTTCAACTAGCAATAACCGCGCCTCAGATAAACTTCATTGGCTACGTTACCGCCACTTTCATAAATATCATGAAACATAATGATGCACTTACCTAATGGTGAAGCATATGTTAACCATCTACGAACATATTTTTCAGCTTTTGGTGACATAATAGAAGATATTGAATCTTTGGACGTGAAATCATAACTGGATGAAGTAAATGGATACTTTTGAGCTAGATTCTCCTTCGAATCAAATTTCTGTGGATAGGAAATAGTTGTTATAGTGCTATGGAAACTAGCTGATAAAAAAGTACAATCTAGTTTAATCACTTCACTAAATGTAGAGTGATGAAATGTGTATGCATAAAACGTTGACTACAAAAAAACTGTAACCTCCTGATAATCAAAATTGAGTCGAGTAACCACTAATTAAGTTAAAGATTTTTGAATAAAACCAAAATATGTAGCTGATAAACTACTAACAATATTCAAAAATCCAAATCGTTGTACCAGATAAAAAATTCAATCATCATCATAGTAAACTTTGATCGCAATTATTCATAGCAAAACATTTTCCTTCTCTAAACTTCTTGTAAACATTTCAATAACTGTTGAAAGATATTAGTTGTTAAAATAGTTTGAATTTACAAAAGTGCTTATTTTTCTAGATATCTTCATATATATAATACATTGCTTAAAAAATTCTATTTTCTCATTGTTTGGAGATTACTCCCTATCGAGACGTATATAATAACGTAGGTTATTGATTTAGATAATGAAAGTAAATAAGTCTATCAATTAGGAGTAACACTACTGTTCAACTAAATAGAAAATCATTTCATGTGACATTTTGTTAGATTTATGATTATTACTAACACCTAACAATCATTATTTACTATTATTTATTTGTAAAATAACTTCGGGTGTTGCATAAACTAATTGTTTTTACCAACCAGTATATACATGCTGTAAGAGAAAACGACTGATAATTAAGTTGTCTAACTGAATATCTGAATAATGAGCCTGCCAGACAACAAATAAATTAATCCAAGATATATATGTATATAGTTTAAAAACTTGATCAATAAAACTAGTTTGATGTCTTAGTTCCTTGGATATGTGGTACAATAATGTCTATTCCACAATCGTATTCAAACGATTCAGAATGAGCATTTTCCAAGTGTCGTATTGACTTTTGACATCTTGTTTAGAGAACATAATACCTTCAAAAACAATTATATTTTAATTGAACAATTTAATTATTTGATCATCTAACCTTTTTTATAGTACATTCTTTCGACAATGTTGAAGAATCACTCGAAATTTGATTCTTTTTCTCTGGTATCACTGGATTAGTTGTAACATCTGTAGAATTAACTCTTACACTATCACCTCTTTTCACTGTATGTTTTCCGCACTCTATATCAAATAGAAATAAACCAGAAAGTTAATCTTATCGTATAATTGTTTATTTTAATAATTAAATTGAATACTAGTACATGTTATACTTAGTTAATGAAATGTCATTAAATATCAAAAACATAACAAAAGTACTAACTTTTCAGTCGCACATTAATCATAATTTCTTATTAAAAATTTCTTAGTAAATTAAACATCCAAACATTTACTGAGACAAACCTTAAATTGTTATATCATTGCATTCTTAATCTTATCTATTATGAATCAGAAATATGTGAGGTAACATGGTACTTACTTACTTACTTACTTACTTACGCCTGTTACCCCCAATGGAGCATAGGCCGCCCACCAGTTTTCTCCAACCAACTCTGTCCTGGGCTTCCCTCTCCAGTTCTGTCCAATGTTTGTTCATTCCTCTCATATCTTTCTCTATTTCTCGGCGTAATGTGTTCCTTGGCCTTCCTCTTTTCCTTTTGCCTTGAGGGTTCCATAAGAGGGCTTGTCTCGTGACCCAGTTAGGTGCTTTTCGTAGTGTGTGTCCTATCCACTTCCAGCTCTTCTTCCTGATTTCCTCCTCCACTGGAATCTGGTTTGTTATTTCCCGCAGTAAGTTGTTGCTGATGGTGTCTGGCCAACGAATACGAAGTATTTTGTGTAGACAACTGTTAATAAACACTTGTATCTTTTGGATGATGCCTTTCTTAGTTCTCCATGTTTCCACTCCATACAATAGAACTGTCTTGACATTTGTATTGAAAATCGTGATTTTGGTTTTGTTTGAAAGTTGTTTGGAGTTCCAGATATTTTTCAACTGTAGAAATGCAGCCCTCGCTTTGCCAATCCGCGCACTCACATCTGCATCGGGTCCACCTTTCTCGTCGATGATGCTGCCAAGATATGTGAAGGTGTTAACGTCCCCCAAGGCATCTCCATCAAGAGTGATTTGGTTGGTACATGTTGTGTTGCATCGGAGAATTTTGCTTTTTCCTTTATGTATGTTGAGACCTACTGCTGCAGAGGCTGCTGCTACAATAGTCGTCTTTTCTTGCATTTGTTGTTGCGTGTGCGATAGAAGAGCCAGGTCATCTGCTAAGTCCAGATCGTCCAGCTGCGTCCTAGCTGTCCACTGAATACCGTGCTTCCATTCAGATGTCGACATCTTCATAATCCAGTCGATGACCAGGAGAAAGAGAAAGGGTGAGAGTAAGGAACCTTGCCTCACACCGGTCTTCACCTCGAAAGAGTCTGTTAGCTGTCCTCCGTGTACGATTTTGCATTTTAATCCATCATAAGAATTCCGTATGATGTTAACTATTTTCTCAGGCACACCGTAGTGTTGAAGAAGCCTCCACAGTGTTTTCCTATCCACGCAATCGAATGCTTTCTCGAAGTCGATGAAGTTGATGTAGAGTGGTGAGTTCCATTCAATTGATTGTTCCACAATGATCCGTAATGTTGCAATTTGGTCGGTACGCGATCGATCCTTACGAAATCCAGCCTGTTGGTCTCGAAGTTGGGCGTCTACGAAGTCCTTCATTCTGTTTAACAATACCCTGTTGAAGACTTTGCCTGGTATTGAAAGAAGAGTGATGCCTCAGTAGTTCTCACACTTGCTGAGATCGCCTTTCTTTGGTATTTTGATCAAGTGTCCTTCTTTCCAATCTGATGGTACTTGTTCCTCATCCCAAATCTTCTTGAAGAGGATGTGAAATATTTTAGCAGTTGCTTCTACATCTGCTTTCATTGCCTCTGCTGGAATATTGTCTGGTCTTGCTGCTTTGCCGCTCTCGATTTGTCTGATGGCCATACTGATCTCCTCAATCGTAGGTGCGCCAGTATTAATTGGGAGGTCCGTGGATGTTGCAGATAACATGGTACTATAAGAAAATCCTAATCTCATCTTCTTGACTAAACAGTGAGTTATTAGTATGAAAAGAGATAATGTTCAAAAAACACATGTATTTCATTGATCATTGAAATGAATGTAAAGTATCGATAGGTTATAATATTTTAACCTTCACAGTTGACCTAGATAGTGATAAAATGTAATCATTGTAATCCCCTTTAAATTAATTATTAAAACGCCTTCATCTAGTTGTGCTATTTGTTTTGTGTAGTAAGTGATTGTTCGTCTGTTTAAAAGGAAACTCCAAAATGTTTGTGGTGGTGTTTAGTTCTCTGAGCTGGTTGTTTTGGTTGTGGAGCTTTCATTGTTCTTCTTCTGAACAACTTCATCAGCACAAACTTCAGATAGAAGTGAAGCATTCGAATTTCTCCAGGTTTGACCAGTAGCTTGTTCTGCTAGCCTCAGTTAACCAATCAAGATCGAGGTTAGCAGAACAAACTACAGGTCAAACGTGGAGAAATTCGAATGCTTCACTTCTATTTGAAGTTTGTGCTGATGAAGTTGTTCAGAAGAAGAACAATGAAAGCTCCACAACCAAAACTACCAGCTCAGTGAACTAAACACCACCACAATCATCTACCTGAGCTAAAAATTTTCTCCACCATCTCATTATTAAGTTGTGATTGTTGTTAAAGTATTGTTTTCTGTTGAGGAACCTTTGCAAAATTTCTTCATGTTTCTTTTCTTTCAACCAGCATTAATATTAATTCAGTTATATTTGACTTTTTACACTTCTTTTCAGCGTCTTATTTGATTTTAGCAACATTGAAATGATTTGTCGGTGTTTTCTCTATGTATGTATGTATGTATGCACTTTGGTGTATTGAGTTAAACATATGCAATTAAATCTGTTCAATACTTCTGACCAAATGATTAAATGACACAAATAACTTAAAAACCAAAACACGAGAATTGTCTACTGTAAAGTGTTAATGTTAATACCCACATAAGTAAAGAATAGATAAACTTTAATTTATGAACTATCTACAGAATTTATACGAGTCAATTTATAATCCAAGAATAAATGTTGCTTAAAATAGTTGCATAAAAAACATTGACGAAAATATACAATAAGCTGCATAAAATTTACTAATTGTTACAAAACAACAATGATTTAAAACCGAATTATAAACAAACGAATTTTCAGTGAGCAGATAAGAATGAGAGTTATTGTTAAAAATTTCAGCAAGGCGCAATTATAATAAAAAACATATTAAATGTCAGAAATCCGTTTAAATATTTAGAAATATCACAACTATGGGACATTGTGAGTTATGGTCGCAAAAAATAATTGACAATCACTAGTTACTGAATATATAGTACACCGAAAGAAATTGAATCAGAAACTCATGTGATTTTCTAGTAAAATAATATAGATGCATATTATTGTCTGCAACAAAGAATATTAGGACCGGTATTGGATGATGTTTCCTAAAACTAGATAATAACAACACCACATACTTCTTACCATATATATATATATATATATATATATATATATATATATATATATATATATATATATATATATATATAGTGTAGACTGATTAAAAGTGATACGACTCCATCTCATTACCCGAATATATTATCCAAGTGATTTCGAAGGCAGTAAATTTGAGTTTTTCCACATAAATCAAAAGCTAAACTGCACAACCACACAACTTGATGATTTTTAAAAAATTTACATTGTTCCTGTCTTACTGGATTTCAATGGTGATATCAATTAAAAAATATACTCATTATTGCTAACTTTGATGTGATGCAAGATCCCTTTGAATATCATGATGTGAACTAAACTTGAAATCAACTGAAAACCAAAAAGTATTTGGCGATTGTTTTATCTCTGTAGAGAACTCTCCAAAGTTGATCGCTGAATAGTTGTCAGTTGTGTCTTAGTTTTCAGTGCAGCTCTAGCTTAAATAATTTAGTGGTATCAGTAACAGCCAATAATCCTATATTGATAAAAATCACTTTGATTACATAGTGACAAAATATTGACTTTTGTTGCTTGCCAACTAATACTTCATTAGAATTCAGATTAACTCTGAAAAATTATTACGAACAAAATTCATTGAATGGTCAAGAAACTCACCTTTATTCAATGATGTTCTAGTTTGTCTTTCCAGTAAAGAAGCAGGAATAATCCATTTCATGAAAACCTAACAAAAAATGACTCATTGATACGAATAGATATAAAGAATATATCTGAAATACATTTATAGACACACATTCTTAATTGGTGTAGATTAATTATACTGATGAGAACTGGAATTTAAAAATTAATTTGTTGCTAACACTTGTAGGCGTGAAAATGGTACTGTTCAGGAGAGTATCCCGGTAAAATGTGTTGATTTCAGTCAATTTTACAACAGGACAAGTGTGAGATCATAAATCGCTACTATGATATTCATAGATCTATAAATTGGTTAAACGCAAACACTAAATCACTGAATATTACTTTTTGTTTTATCTAAATTTTCAAGTTTTTAGTAGATTCTTTATATTTTATATTTCAACAAGTGTCTAAATACTAAGTTTTCAGAAAAATTCCCTAAATTATCTACTAATGAGTTGACTTACAACTGTAAAGCGGTTCAGCTAATCCATCTGTCTGATTAACTGCTTGCTATTTCCTTCATAAACCTGTTTGTGTTTTTGCGTAGTTTACAATTTACATTAATATAAACTAGTGTTGATAATCATTTTGTTTTTACACTCTGGATTCATTTTTCTTAACAAACTTTAAAAATGTAGCAATATTATCACCTGATGCGTGAGCAAATAGTATTTTAGAACTTTGTTCGAATATTACAAAAGTGATGTATTTAGCCTATCCCACCTATGATGTTATTAGCTGTCGAATAGTTCTGATTACTCATTGAAATTAGGATTGTAACTACGGAAAACTCTACAGTTGTTTCATGGAAACTTGAACTATTTGACAATATGAACACATAAGTTAGCATAGAATTTTAAAGCTGGGATGTTCATGTATCGCTTTGAATATGTCATTCAACCATTGAGTTTAAAACCTGTATTCATTACTTCTAAGTTCAGTAGATCATTGATATAATGTTATTCATTGCAGTAGATAAAAAAAATGTTTACTTACTTTATCATCATTTATTGATTTCAGTTCCTTCATCTTAATAGTTATCAAAAAAAAATGCCAAGTAAGTTTTCAGTTTATTGAATGAAATATGTTATTGTTATTCTTGTTACATTATACTGAATTACTTCAGCGATCTGAAACTGTAACAATGATCAATCAAATTGTGAAATATTCCTTAAAATCTTTCTAGATTATGCAAATAAACTGATCTTGACTGTTGAGACTACCCTCTCTAAATGGCGTAATCAGTCACCGCTCTCGAACATAATCTTGCATGGGTGATGGTTATATCTAATATTTGTCCTACAAACACTTGACTTTACTTCAAGTGAATGATCCTATAAGATCTTTTTATCCAAACTGTCCTGCAGTTTAGTTGACGTCAAAACAATTTCCCTCATCCTTAGCTGTTACAATTATTCAAACGAGTCTAACAATTATTCTAATCCAACGTTTACTTCACTGTAACATTATGGGAAAATAGTTTAAGTGTTTTTATCGAAAGTGATTGAAACAATAACTTTATGAAAAGTACCACGATAACCAACATCTTACGTAATGCATGTAAACAGACTATCGATTTATTTGCATACATATTTGATTTTAAAAAATGTCAATAAAGTATAACACCCGACCCATTTAAACGGTTACTTAATAATTTATGATGTCAGTATTATGCAATACGGAAAAAATTGTGCACTCATACTCTACTCAATAAATTGTTGACATTGTAAGTAAGCTCTTACCATTAAGTTTCTTCCTAATTTTAAATCATTAAATTTTTTTTTATCTTAATTTGCATTTTATACTTTCTATATGAACCATGTGATTTTCATTTGTATCATACATTAATTTTCGATTGGTTTATGTTTGTACTTATTATTATTATTATTATTAGTAGTAGTAGTAGTAGTAGTAGTAGTATCATTATTGTTATTTTTACTAGAGATTTCAATTTATGAATATGCTTTGTTAATAATTATTAACTGTATGCTTATCTGACAAGATTTTTAATAAAATAAAAAGTACAAGTGATCAATGGTTTCAATGTGAAATTCTTTTGAAACTTATCGAAAATTGTTCATTTTGAAATAACAATTTAAATGTGATAACAATTATTATTACTTTTTAATGATAACTCATTAACCTTAGTATTTTGATTAATCCTTTTAGTGATTTGAGCAATAATACTTTAAATTTAATGATCAATCAAACAGAGCGATTCATTACTTGAATTCAGATAAGGCAGAGTTATTCGTACAAATAGCTATCCAACGAAAATCAGCAACTTCTACCTTACAGTTAAAACGGGTTAATGAATATTAAGTGGAATGAAACAGATAAATGATAACCTAGGAGGAAATCTAAGATAAGGGTTTCGTCTAGACTGCCTGAGATCACCTGATAAAGTGATATAGCATACCGATTAGCTATTTCTTCAGCTTTTCACACGGAAAAATGACTCCTTTAGATACGACCATTTGATACATGTGATATTATATCAATACACAATTGGTATAACTCATGTTATTCTGATTTTGTTGAGGACTGGGAAAATTGTTTAATTACTAGTAAAATCATGGGTGTACATTATCCTAAGTGAGAAAAAATGCTTTCCTCAATATTTGGGTAGTGAAGTACTAATCATGCTTTTGTCTTGTACTAAGCACGCTGAATTCTATGCAACTCTGGAAAATACACTTATACATCCCTGGCCGATTACTGAAAGTTTTTTACTGCTACCAACATTGTTATAACTTTTTTCTTATATATATTAAAACAGCAAGATACTGAAAAGTTGGGCAAGTGTATACTTTGACATGATTGTTATCAAATGACGAACAATACATGTTATTCAATGTCATATCCATCATTTAAGTGAAACGGTACAGGGTCTGTATATTGAAATTTCCTTCAAAACAGACAACGAACGTGAAAGCTAAAACAGGTTACTAGATTACTGGTGATTTCAATTTAGACCTAATACTGTTTAGAAAGATATTATTATTATTATTCTGACAACATATCTTCCGATCACTCCAACCTGTTCTTATCCTTCCACATCTGGATATAAGTTTACAATCCTCCAGCAATTTTTAAAATTTATATTCATTAGTTGGAACTAACTGTCGAAAAGTACCTCAAGTTTCTTGTCTATCAAACTTCTCTTCCTAGTTCGTATAACTGATAAATAGCTTTTAAGTGAAAAGCAACTTCAAAATGAAATGAATCCTGTTTAATACTTCAACTAGTTTAATCACGCTTATTAATATAATTTGATTTCAGGGACTTAAGAGATATTCGGTTTACATGTGAAGCATAATCCTGCCAACAGCTTTATTCCTGAAGCATCGAAACTACTGAATCACACCAGCTCTACACAATATCACCATAGATTCCTTATTTTTTGTATTACAATTTACCACTTGCCTGAAAACCAGCATTTTGTGTAGTAACAATTTGACTTTGGAAAATTGAACATAGATGATTCTCACATTTGCAGTGATCATATAATTTAATTTGTAAAAACAATAATCTCCATAACTCCCAATGACTCACTAGTGACTAGCTTAGTGAGAAAATTCTCGGAGTTCTAGTCAGAAGACGTGATAAGTGGAGTTCAACTCTGTCAGGTGTAGGTAGCAACTACCGAAGACAAATGGGTGAGGCCGCCCGAAATCCCTAGATTGATCAAAGTTAGACATTAATACCGTTGGGTGTCGGTTCAAGGGTCTGGAGGTTAGACGTTCGTGAGCTAGATCGGACCCTGCCAGTGGAAAAATCGTGGATGCGAGCTCCTGATGAGTTACATACCAAGATGAAACGGTCTTCCAAGTTTCTTATGGTGGTCTAACAACGACTGATTCGTGATTTCAGCGGATGAGTTCTTATAATCACAGACATTTGCAATTTTTACAATTGTTTTATTACTTGTTCTTACCTGATATTATAACTATTCCTTACATTTTCTTATTGTCTTCACCTTATGTTAGTCACCTATATTCTGTAGTCTATGCAGCTTGTCTAATATTAAGTCAGTGAACATTATTCGTTTTGGAAATTTCTGTTTGACAGCCGTACGCTATTCTCGGTGTTGAAAATTTCTTACCCAATTAATTGAACGATTTCATCTAAAGTTGACTGTACTTTTGACAGCAGTATCAATCCGTGAATATTTCACGATCTGAGGTTGTTATTATTGCATTACAGAAAAATTATGTCTTTGAATTTTGCGTTGTACGACCGCCGTTCATAACTAGACTAAGAAGTATATTCTACGAAAATTTATTACTTATAATTAGTCCCTTCCGCTAGAAATTTGAATTTCCACTTTATTTAGAAGGGTTGTTTCACAAGAACATTTTCTTGACAAATATTCAGTAGAATTTCAAGATATTTGCGAAGGTTCCATGGTTTTCAATCAGATGAATAACGTTCTTTAAGTGATAAATAAATACTTAGAACATTGATTATTAGCGTGTTAGTTTGGTTCTTATTTTAATTGACTGACATGCGTCATACTCTATAGGTTGCGGGAAACTATGATCGACTAACAAAGAGGAAGCCCGCCCACATCTACTTTGTGGAGGTACTAATTAAGAATTCGTATTGCTGTAAATACTGGAATGTCGCTACTGAATAAAGACTTCCATGGATTTATGCTCGAATTAGATTAATTCATCGTGGAATGCTATCCGCGGTCATTCATCTTTTGAATGTCACATTTCCATGTCTTATTTATACACGTATCAAAGGCGACATATTAAATATTCAAAAAAGTGAATTGCAATGTGTGAACTACGATCCAACTACAACTGCTACCTTAACGTAGTGGTCGAGATTGCCTATCGTAATGAGTCAACAGAGCTATATTACCTGAAAGATATGTTACAGTAGGTCCAATGAAAGGTGCATCGCACAATTCCTGATGCTATGGACGAGCAAAACGTTGTAGGACCTAGCAAAACTTTAAAATTTTACTGGTTATAGGAGCTATTTACTTCTTGAAAATGTAACAACGACAATAGTCTAATTCGGACTAACACTTATTAACAGATATCATGACGATGATATGAATGATTGCGAAGACAAATGTGAATTGATTTATTTTTAACACCAAAAAACTAACGATAATAGTCAATACAGAAAACGATAATGTCATAAAATAAAATAGACTTGAAAATTAACTTTGGGAAAAACAGTTTGCCAAGTGAGAATTTACTTGAAATAAATAAATAAATAAATCACAACTTCCTATGTGTGGTTTTATACAAGTTAATCATACTGGAAAAGAATTGTAGCCTAGTTACATCATAGAAATCGAATATACAAATAAGTGAAAACTACTAATAACAGGATGCAAAACAGTATGTATTTGATATAGGCCGATTGAAGATTTAGCGAGCGGGCATCCTGACGGTATTTCTTGGACATAGTAGACAAGCTGGATGCTCGAGAGTCTAAGGCTAGAAACAATCCAAAATACAAAAAAAGACAAAAGTGAGTCCAGAGAAGACTAGATAATATATTTTGACTAAATCAAGCTAATCTGAAGACTATTAGTTAATATATATATATATATATATATATATATATATATATATATATATATATATATTCAGCTGAACTAGTGGTAGGGAATAAAGTATTTGAGCGTGCTGACCACCTGAGTCTCATCAGTGCTGATAGACTGGTACGTGAAAAAATCTCAGCACAGATACAGAAGGCTCGACATCCGTCTACCAACCAAAGGACGAGTTTACTGCGCAATAATTTTCTCCGTCCTACTATACGAGCGGGAAACATGGCCATTAAGAATAAAGTATATCTGAAGCTACTAATACTCAAACATCGGCGTCTTAGAAGCATTGCTCGTATATCCTGGGACAGTTGAGTAAGCAATAGTGTTGTTGAGAAACGGTTTATTGGCAAGGATGGCAGATCGATTGGGGAAGTATTGAGGCTTCATCCATCGAGGCGTTTGGGATATGTGTAACGTATGCCCAACCACCGAATCCCTCGATGAGTCATGTTTTCTGATGTAGGGGTAGGCTGGAAGAAAGTTGTAGGAGGCGATCAAATCAAGACATGGAATAAATACATGAAGTCGACGATAACTGGAGTGAGCCATGTCAGTGGGTGTAGACTACCTGGATGGGATCGGCAAGACAGTCGTAACCGATAATTAGAAACATAGAATGACATAGCTCAAAATCGTTTGGAAATGGTGCAGATGCATCCATTCTTTGGCGTTCCTTTAAATCCTAATCCTCTGGAATCTAAATAACCTTTATCTTTCTCTTATTAGGTCTATTTCGATAGATTATACTTACTGAATAACATCTTTACACCATAATCTTTCCGATCACTGCTAATACTTCTACTATCTCTACCACGATGGGATTCAAATCGGCAACTGCATCTCTGAGCAAACGCCGTTTGGAAACTTGAGCTGATGTATGTACGTACATATATCAATCAATCAAAAGAACTTCGTACGTATGTACATCAGTTAATGTTGACAAACCACGTCAGTACAGAGACGCAATTGTCAATTCAAATCCAATGGTAGTAGATGTCTAAGCAGCAGTCGTAAAGGTTCGGATTAGAAGATATTATTCAAGAAGTAGAATCTAGAGAAAAAGACTTAAAAATATTCAGATAAAGTGAAGAATTAAAAAGTTTAGCATTTTAGAAAACACAATGAATTAATGCACCTGAGACATAGACGCTTGTGCGCTGTCCGACTAAATGGGACAGTAAGGACTCGGAAAGATAGGGACAATCGCCGTTGCCTCTTCATCGTATCTGCCTATGCCCCAACTGACTGCAGATCAGACCAGGTTAAAGATGAGTTTTACAGAAAGATTTCGGACCTCCTCCAAAAAGTTATGCGCTCTTATATAGTAATAATGGCTGGCGACTTCAATGCTCAAGTAGGTAGACTAAGTGAAAATGAGAGACACCTAGGTGGATGTTATGGTGTCGCGGCTCAGAGAGCAGACAATGGTGACCGTCTGTTGCAAGTATGCTCAGACAACCGCCTATTCTTAGCAAACACTAACTTTAGGCATAAGGAAAAGCATCTGTTGACCTGGCGACCTCCGAAGTCGTCTCAACGTTGGACTCAACTAGATCATATCACAATCAGCCACCGATGGAGGGGTTCGATAGAAGACTGTCGCTCGTTCTGGGGCACATGTTTGGATTCAGATCATGCCCTAGTGCGAGCGCGTATTTGTTTGAAGCTTACTAGGCGTAGGAAAGACACCGTAAGAAAGCCTCTTAGGGTTTTACTCAATGATAATAAGGCGAAGAATATATTTCAGGAACAACTAGAAAGACAGTTAGGCGACCATTTAAGCGATTCCCATTCGGAAGCAGGATGGAATGATATCAAAAAGACTGTGGAAACAGCAGTTATATCCGCAAGTAAGGTTGACCATAAGGCTAGAGTGAAGCCGTGGATCTCAGTAGCATCCACCGATCTGATGGATGCCGGAAAACTCATCCCACCTGGCTCTGAGCATGATGAAGAGCGTAGTCAGCTTAGGCGCAGACTTATAAAAAGCCTACGTAACGACCGCGAACAGTGGTGGGTGGAGAAAGCAAAAGCGATAGAAAAGGCAGCGTCGATCGGCAACAGTAGACAACTTTTCCGACTTATCAAGGAAACCGGTATTAGAATTCCATCTGTTAGCGAAACTTTCTCAGATAAGGATGGTTGTATCATCCATTCTTAACCCAGGAGACTGGACCGCTGGACAGACCACTTTAGGGATCAGTTCAGCTGGCTTTCTGCCATTCTTCGGTTGCCCGCGATCTCCAGTTATCCTGAATGGCAAATCGATATCAGTCCCACTAGTCTTTACGAAGTTGAGAAAGCTATAAGCGAGGTAGAGCAGCAGGTCCTGATAGGCTAACTACTAGATTTTTAAGGATGGTGGTCCAGTTTTAGCAGCTAGATTGACTGAGATCTCAGGTAGGATCTGGGAACTAGACGTAATCCCATCTGACTGTTTCAATCACTGATTGTCCCAATCTATAAGAAAGGACGAAAGTCTTCTTGTGACAATCACAGGGGAATAAGTCTAACTAATATAGTATCTAAAATATTGGCCTCAATAATACTTCGACGCTTAACGGAAGCTCGTGAAGAGCAAACTCTAGAAAACCACTCTGGTTTTCGACCTGGACGTGGCTGTACAGACCAGATGTTCATACTACGTCAGGTCCTAGAACGAAGACACGTTCAGACGCTTCACAATAGTAGTATTTCTCGACCTTAACGTGGCATTCGACTCCGTTGATCGTGAGGTTCTGTGTCAGTGTCTGTCATTAAAAGGTGTACCGAAGAAGTACATTAACCTTATACAAGCTCTCTACTCGAACACCACTGGTCGAGTGAGAGCTTATGGCGAACTGTCATCTGAATTCTCTACTTCAAGTGGTGTCTGTCAGGGATGTTCACTTTCCCCATTCTTGTCCAATTTTGTCATAGACATGCTGTTAGATATGACCTTATCCTCGTCTGAATTTTCAGGAGTGGACCTTTTGCCAGGTGGCTCGCTTAATGTTTTAGAATATGCCGATGACATTGTCCTACTTGGTGAAGACGCTGTCTTCCGACCACCCTAAGCAACAATGGAAGCATGTTCGGGAGGCGCTTTTCCCCTTCGAAATGCAAAATGTTGCTTCAAGATTGGGTTTCATCGGCACCTGAACTAGTGATAGGGAGTGAAGTAGTCGAACGTGTAGACCGCTTCACTTATCTTGGGAGTCTCATCAGTGCCGATGGCTGGTGACTGACGAAATCTCAGCCCGGATACAGAAGGCTCGATTGGCTTTTGCCAACCTGCGTCACTTATAGTGCAGGCGAGATATCCGTTTGCTGACTGAAGGACGAGTGTACTGTGCAGTGGTTCGCTCCGTCTTACTTTATGGCTGTGAAACGTGGCCAGTGAGAGTAGAAGATATTCGTAGGTTACTAGTATTCGATCATAGGTGTCTCCGAAGCATTGCTCGTATATCGTGGGACACCCGAGTGAGCAACGCTGTTATTAGGAATCGAGTGCTAGGTAAGAATGGCAGATCAATAGATGAAGTAATGAAACTTCATCAGTTGAGGTGGTTGGGACATGTGTTGCGTATGCCCAACCACCGACTGCCTCGACGAGCTTTGTTTTGTAGTGTAGGAGTAGGTTGGAAGAAAGTTAGGGGCGGCCAAATCAAAACATGGCAGAAATCCATGAAGTTTTTGACGAGTGGACTTAGCCATGTCGGTAATTGTCGACTACCTGGTTGGGGTCCACGAGATGATAATAATCGATGGTTAGAGACCTTGAATGACGACTCAAAATCGTTGGCAATGGCGCCGGTGCATTTATTCTTTGTGTTCTCTCAAATCCTAATCTTCTGGGTTCTTCAACACCTCTAGTTTTGACTTTCTAAACTTTTCTCATTTAATCATACTTCTTGAATAATATCTTCTCATCCTAACCTCTCCGATTACTCCCAATACCTTTACTACCTCTTCTACTATTGGATTTGAATTGACAATTACATCTCTGTGCTGATGTGGTATGGCGACATGAACTGATGTACTTACGTACGAAGTTCTACGCTGCATCTGACTGACTGACTTGTTGTAATGACAATTAAGTCAGTTAAAAGTATGGGTTGCCTAGAAATATCCGTCAAATTTAATGTAATTGTGTGACACGATGCAGTTAAATTTTACTGTAACGCTGGTAACTAATCATTGAGGCAAATATGTGGGACTATCACTAATTTGACAAGATTATGTAGCTTTTTGTGTGAACTTCATGAAATGTAGCTTCTGGAATTTTTTTAAATGTTTTGTTTACACGTCAAGCATCTACAATTAATAGAAGTCTGTTCAATCACCGTATGATCCAAGTGCATAACTTAAAATAGCTTGTCCACTTAAATGAATCTGTACTCACTTGAAAGTGCTTCACCACGCTGTAATACATCATCAATATTCTGCACCATAATTCTTTGTACATCTTGTAACGCCACATTCAATTGACTCAGATTAGATGACCGACTATCACTATATATTTTTTGAGTTTTGTGTATGGTGTGATCTAACAAAATAAAAAAAGGTAAAGCGACAAACTTACCAAAATCAAGGAATGCGTAGGGTCTCGAAACTGTTTGTATCTGTTGGTAATATTTGCCGTGAAATTCTGTTTGTATGGCTTCTAGAAATGCAAAGGCCTTAGTACGACTGAACTGTGAGTCTGTGAGAATAATGTAACAAACACCACGATCAAGCAGATAATGAAACAAATACGGACCGGCAACGAGAGAGCATCTCGAAGGAGAAGTAGGAGTCATACGACAAACGAGTGCTTTTGCTTGATTTTGGTGCTGGAATATTTCACGATTTAGCTGAAAAAATAAACGGTATGTTGGGATTTTTGGTTTACGGATAGCACAAGTGGAAGTATTATCTTGATGTACTTGAAACTCAATTCAATATATGAAAATTTATTTTCGAACTGCTTCGTAATTAACTTACTCTCAAAACTTATAATCATCATAAAACAATCAAGTGGAACTGAATTGAACATAACTTTATATTAACACTCTAAAATAAATAAAAGTGAATACATTTACAATGGTCAGAAGACTAAAATTAGCTGTTTACTGTAACGGAAAGTGAGATTTAATGGTGGATTTTACATCCATTTTATTACGAAATGAGTAACTACTTACATTACTTTAATGAGACAGAAAAAACTGGGACTTTGTACATAGTATGAGTGTCAAACGATAACAGACAAATAGCCAAACGACCAACCATTTAAAAAGATTAGTTAAGTACTGAGATCCAATAACTTATATTACCACGAGTATTCAGTATTACAGCACAGAATATACAATGTCAGTCAGTTACAACGTAGAACTTCGTACATCAGTTCCGGATGCCATACCGCATTAGCACGGAGACGCAATTGTCACTTCAAATCAAAGAGTGGTAGAGATAATAGAAGTATTAAAGGTAATGGAGAAGGCTTCGGTTAAAAGATATGATTCGAGAAGTATAATTCAGTAAGATAAGTTTCAAGGAGAAAGGTAGAAGTGATGCCGAATTCAGAAGATTAAAATTTGAGAGAACACAAAGAGTGGATACAACTGCCTCAACTGCGAACGGTTTTGACCAATGTCTTTCAGTCTCTAACATTCGATTACTAACATCTCGCGGACATCAGCCAGGTAGCCTACATCAACCAACATGACTCACTCCACTTGTCAGTGACTTCATGGATTTCTGCCATGTTTTGATTTGGCCACCCCTAACCTTCTTCCAACCTACTACTACACCACAAAACACTCGTTGAGGCAGTCGGTGGTTAGGTATACGTAACACATGTCCCAACCACCTCAACTGATGAAGTTTCAATGCTTCATCTAATGATTTGCCATCCTTACCTAGCACCCGTTTCCTAATAACAGCACTGCTCACTCGGGTGTCCCAGCATACACGAGCAATGCTTCGGAGACACCTATGCTCGAAGAAAAGCAATCTACGAATGTCCTCTACTCTCACCGGCCATGTTTCGCATCCCTAAGGTAGGACGGATCAAACTGCTCCGCAGTACACTCGTCCTTCGGTTAACAAGCGGATATCTCGCCTGCACCATAAGTGACGCAGGTTGGCAAAAGTCAATCGAGCTTTCTGTATCCTGGCTGACATTTCGTCAGTCACCAGCCATCGGCACTGATGAGACTACCAAGATAAGTGAAGCGGTCTACGCGCTCGACTACTTCCTCTCTATCACCAGTTTAGGTGCCGAAGCAACCCAATCCTGGGAAAAACGCATCCCGAACATGCTTCCATTGTTGCTTAGGGTGGTCAGAAGACTCTGCATTTCGTCATTCTTCACCAAATAGAACTATGTCATCGGCATATTCTAAAACAATAAGCGAGCCACCTGGTAGAAGGTCCACTCCTGAAAATTCAGACGAGGATAAGGTCATATCTAACAGCATGTCTATGACAAAATTGGACAAGAATGGGGAAAGTGAACATCCCTGACAGACACCACTTGAAGTAGAGAATTCAGATGACAGTTCGCCATAAGCTCTCACTCGACCAGTGGTGTTCGAGTAGAGAGCTTGTATAAGGTTAATGTACTTCTTCGGTACACCTTTTAATGACAGACACTGCCACAGAACCTCACGATCAACGGAGTCGAATGCCACGTTAAGGTCGAGAAATACTACTATTGTGAAGCGTCTGAACGTGTCTTCGTTCTAGGACCTGACGTAGTATGAACATCTGGTCTGTACAGCCACGTTCAGGTCGAAAACCAGAGTGGTTTTCTAGAGTTTGCTCTTCACGAGCTTCCGTTAAGCGTCGAAGTATTATTGAGGCCAATATTTTAGATACTATATTAGTTAGACTTATTCCCCTGTGATTGTCACAAGAAGACTTTCGTCCTTTCTTATAGATTGGGACAATCAGTGATTGAAACAGTCAGATGGGATTACGTCTAGTTCCCAGATCCTACCTGAGATCTCAGTCAATCTAGCTGCTAAAACTGGACCACCATCCTTAAAAATCTAGTAGTTAGCCTATCAGGACCTGCTGCTCTACCTCGCTTATAGCTTTCTCAACTTCGTAAAGACTAGTGGGACTTATATCGATTTGCCATTCAGGATAACTGGAGATCGCGGGCAACCGAAGAATGGCAGAAAGCCAGCTGAACTGATCCCTAAAGTGGTCTGTCCAGCGGTCCAGTCTCCTGGGTTAAGAATGGATGATACAACCATCCTTATCTGAGAAAGTTTCGCTAACAGATGGAATTCTAATACCGGTTTCCTTGATAAGTCGGAAAATTTGTCTGCTGATGCCAATCGCCTTTTCTTTTTCCATCTCTCTTGCTTTCTCTGTCTACCACTGTTCTTGATCATTGCGTAGGCTTTTTATCAGCCTGCGCTTAGGCTGACTTCGCTCTTCATCATGCTCAGAGACAGGTGGGATGAGCTTTCGAGCATCCATCAGTTCGGTAGATGCTACTGAGTTCCACGGCTTCTTTCTCATGGTTTGCCTTAATAGCATTTAGCACTGCTGTTTCCACAGCATTTTTGATATCATTCCAAGCTCCCTTCGGATGGAAATCACCTGCATGGTCGCCTAAATTTCTAGTTGCTCCTGGAATATATTCTCAGCTTTATTATCATTAAGTAGAATCCTAAGAGGTTTCTTAGAGGTGTCTTTCCTACGTCCAGTAAGCCTCGAACAAATACGCGCTCGTACTAGGACATGGTCTGAATATAAACATGTGCTCCAGAACAAGCGACAGTCCTCTATCGAACCCCTCCATCAATGTTTGATGACAATGTGATCTAGATAATCCAGCGTGGTGACGACTTCGGAGGTCGCCAGGTCAACAGATGCTTTTCCTTATGCCTAAAGTTAGTGTTTACTAGGAATAGGTGGTTATCTGAGCACAAATGCAACAGACGGTCGCCATTATCTATTCTCTGAGCGGCGACACCATAACATCCAACCATGTGTCTTTCCTTTGCACTCAGTCTACCTACTTGAGCATTGAAGTCGCCAGCCGTTATTACTATATAAGAGCGCATAACTTTTTGGAGGAGGTCCGAAAGCTTTCTGTAAAACTCATCTTTAACCTGGTCTGATCTGCAGTCAGTAGGGGCGTAGGCAGAAACGATAAAGAGGCAACGGCGAGTGTCCCTATCTTTCCGAGTCCTTACTGTCCCGTTCAGTCGGACAGCGCACAAGTGACTTTCTACAGGGATCCAGTCTAGAAGAGCTAGTTCTGCTCTTAAACACAATGCTATACCTACACATGCGAGGCCACGGGAAGCAGCAGCAGGGCTTCCAGATATGCGAAGCGTAAACCAAGATGATTTTTTATCTGCGCAAGGTGAAATCAAATTAATTATTTTACTAGGATCCTGTATGCCTGTTTTGGAAACGCAGTATCCATTTATGACGCGAGATTCTAGAGTCCTATCTAAGGAAGCCTGTTGTCCTATTTGACACAATGTCCGTACATTAAATGCCCCAACATTTAATTTTGAGCGAGGTTTCAGGAGACTAGAAATAACTCTTCGTGAACTCGCACTGTTTGCATTAGCGGTACGGGGTGATAAAGGAATGTGAGTAAAGTTAGTCGTGGAGATAAAAGAGGTATTACGGGGGGTCGGAAGGATTTGATTTCGACCAATTTGGTCTCTCGTGCTGTTTCGGGTATGAGGGCGGTTGTCACTTCCCGGCTGCCCACACCGTGGAAGGTTGTTTCTAGAGGAACCTGAAAAGGAAGGTAGATTAGTGTCGGTCTTAACGACCTGGGAGCATGACCGCAAAGCCCAAGGGACAACTGCTTGAGGCCGGTCACGCACGGTCTTTCTATGAAAGGTTTTTTTAGTACTAGCTCCGCTCTTGAAAGCCCTTAGTGGGCAGCCCTTACTGCCGGAGATGGAAATCCGTGAGGTAGGGTGAGGTGTGACATTTTTAGGGCCGACATTTTCTAATGCTTTCTTCCTTGTGAGGAAGCAGCATCGCTGCAGATGATTGTTGTCCGAGGGAAACACCTTACTGCTGTCACACCCCTTTACAGTCAGCAGTACGACTTTGCCGTCAAACCTTGAGTAGCTGCTTTTAGTCTCATCGTTCTCCAATCGACCTGCCTTGCATGTTAGAACCTATAGGAACATATGTTCCAGCCAATATAGCTCGGCTGGGTCATCACGATAGTCAAGCTCGACCACCACATCAAGGTAGCAGCTACGGTCGGGGGATGCTTATGGATAAATGGTTTTCAAAGATAGGTGTCTCGCAAGCAGTGCTCATGTATTGTGGGACTACCGATTAAGCAATGCTGATGTTAGGAGACTGGTACTTGGTAAAGATGGCAAATCAATGGATGAAGTATTGAAACTTCATCAGTTGAGGTGATTGGGACATGTGTTACGTATGTCCAACCAGCGACTGCCTCGTCAAGCTATGTTTTGTGGTGTAGTAGTAGGTTGGAAGAAAGCTAGGGGCGGCCAAACCAAAACAAGGCACAAATCCATGAAGTCACTGATATCTGGATTGAGTGCTAATGTAGTATGGCAACCTGAACTGATGTACGTACGTACGAAGTTCTGCGTTGTAACTGACTGACTGACTGACTGACTATCTATTACCTGGGAAATAATGAAATGAAGTCAAATATTTCTTGTGTATGCAACTCAGAAAGTATTTTAATCAGTCGAACTAGAGATCACTGGTATCTATGATCGAAAACCCAAATGTCCTGGTTTAACGTACGAAGAATTCAAGAACAGATGGGATGAGTGTATGTTCGTGGGAGGCGGTTTTTAATGGTAAAAAATGTAGATATCTGTTTTAAATCGAAGTAGGATACTGACTATGTTCTTTCACATCTCTTCATATTTCTTGTATACTCTTATCAGGCCATACATTCCGATCACCTGAGCACGTCTGATAGCAACCTTTAGGAGATACTACGCTGCATACCACCTAAATGCCACTTTGTGAGCAGCACTCACCACACAGTTGCAATCGACGGTGGAGAAGAAATGACCGTGTTCATAGCTTTTTCCAGAGGAATGTTACACAATAGTCTTACACTGTGCTGATGGGTGAAATGAGAAGTATACAAGATGATTATTGGGGACATAAAGTCCATCTATCTGGTTTTTAACCACTGGTGGACATGATCCCACAATCCTGAGAAAACGAACGGCTCTTTAACCAATATTCAGTCACTGGTTTCAATCGGACATCATCCCCGAACGTTGTAGCACTAACTTGTGGATTAAACTTGATAGTCAAAGGTTTTGGGGAGCAGATCTCTAGGAAAACTGTTTTGGTTTATGTGCACGAGCTGAATTCTAGCCTACTCAAATTCAATAAGCAATAACGTTTTACTAACCAAATAATATATCAAACAAGTCAAGAAAAAGTTGCAGTCAGAATCACAGAATTCCAGGTATGTATACGTGAATGAAAATGAAATTAATTTACGAGACTGCCTTATGTACATGGCACTATGTGACACGGTGAAAGCTATCCAACGATATTGATATATCTGTCGCTATATGTTTGAAATCAAATGTTTCTAAGCGTTTTTCAATGCTTACGTCTGAAACTCATAAAACCGGTGGCTTTGAAAATCCGAGTTGAAGGACTAGACAAGGTACCTAGGCTACCACAAATCCTTTAGTCTGAACCCCAACGGTTCTTTTAGATGAAGCCAATTCAATACGCTTATGTACACATATGCAGTTTGCTTCCTTAACTTTGGCATAGAAATTGTAGTGATATGGATTTGCCGAGCACTCGAACTTTGGTAAGTAATAAATATTCCACTTGTTTCCATTATCTAAAGAAAAAAGGGCACGGACTGATATGAGACTAACTTATTACTCTAAACAAACAAGATACAGAAGCATAAAAGATGTGCAGATAACCAGGATAAGTTTAATTTCCCACAAACACAAAAACCATTAAAACTTCCTGTCAATTCAGAATTATAGCTACAATTTGGTGTCAACTAGTGTTGATTGTGACCAATAAGTGAAATGACACGTCAAGCGACTTTATTCTATTCCTGTCCTCGCTAAGTAATGATTATTTAAGGAACACCAATGTTTGATATTGTCCATTGACCACAACAAAAACCCTAACTGACAGAGATTGGTAGTTTACATGAATATAACCATTATAATTGAGTAAACCAAGACAATTATTAAACTGATTCTTACTTGGTCATCATCCTGTATAGCTGCTGCAAGCGGAAGCCCATCGGCTACTCTAGCAATCAGAGTAAAATATATCATGACGAATTGTGCAACGAACAAGGAGTAAATACCAGGAGGCTTGCCCGTAAAACTCCTCAAGACAAAAGAGGTGAAAAGGTCAGTTGAGTTTGAATATAACACAGATATATGTGCACTTTTACGCGAAAGATCTTCGGGTACTTAAACGTATACACGTGGAGCATCTGTAAGGCATTGAATGACCTTAGCCAATATCCAATATCTCTTTCACTCAGTGATAAAAACCAATTCAACATTTCGCACTTGCCTCTTGTTTAGGTATTCGGCAATTTCTAACAGATAGTAGTCTAACCACTCAGCCGCACTAATTCTAGTAAATTGTCAATTATTTATGGGTTCGTATGTCCCATGATTTTAAGTGAGAGCATTTCTCTTATGCGAATAGGGTTTTTGGATAACCGTAGCTATCATATTACCGGGCCGAAGACCAATTGGTCGCAGTGTAGATAATGATAATAAGGAAAAATTTCTGATACTTATGTAAAGATTTTAGGAGTAAATGAGAAAATAACAGTCGATTGGTGTGAGAACCTAAGCGCAAGGATAAAAAAGAAACAGAGATAATAAGCTAGATATATTCAGTAAGTGATCTGGTGAAATAACAACAATAACATCTATCAAGTCTAAAGACATGCATTAGGCCCATCTGGTCCGACAGGGAGATGATAATCCTTAAGTGAGGACATGTTTATCGAGTCTCTTCATGAAGCCATTCACTGAGGAAGCTGTGAGCACCTCGGCTGGGAGGGCGTTTCAAGTTGCAATAACTCTTAGTAATATAAAGTGTGGATGAAATTGCGTTCGCACTTTGAGGATTACCTCGAGAGGCGTTGTGGTGATGCTTCGGCAACATTCTATTGTTGGTATGATTTGGCGTAATTAACTTGTTATATGCAATAATCAGATAATTTCTGATAACCCCGTAATTCAGGGAGAATAATCCAAAGTGCTGGAGCCTATATATTGTTGCGGTTTGTTCTCCAAACCTTTGACCCATTTAGTTGCTCGTCTTTGCACAATATGCAGGAGATTACTGTCTCTTGTCAGGGGAGAAAGTGCGACGACGTTGTGAACTTCAATGTATGTTTTAAACACTGTTAAGAAGAATTGTTGGGCGATTGCACCTGTAGAACCTTCAGGACTACTGTCGGTCCCAAGCCTGGATAAAGGAGAGTTGGGCATGGGGTTGACGACCCCATACCACCAAAAACAATAACTTGCCGAAAAACGCTAACCAGAAGAAATAATTCAGACCACTTTAACTCTGCACTGGGAGTTGGAAGAAGAATTATGACGTCTCGTGATGAAAGCCGAATTCCCTTGGCAGTCACGAGGCCGATGCCCCTCCCAACAACCAGAGCAACCATTCTTTTATGTACATGGAACGTTCGAATATTGTGGGAGACTGGAAGACTATTTCAAGTTGCTGCAGAGATGAAAAGATACAACCTGGGGGATGCTTGGAATCAGTGAAACGCATTGGAAGTAGGTTGGACAACTAAGACTAGCATCAGGAGAGCTGCTACTGTACTCCAGTCATGAAGAAGGGAATGCCTCACTAGGACAAAGAGTTGCACTGATTCTGTCCAAACAAGTAGAAAGCGGAATCTCATGGACCCAGGGTCATTAAAGCGTCCTTCAAAACAAGGAAAGAGGACATTACAATGAACGTCATCCAGTGCTATGAACCTAGTAACGACTACAACGACGACGATAAAGATCAATTCTACGAAAGGCTGCAGTCAATCGCCGACAAATGCTCACCGAAGGATTTGACGATTCTTATGGGAGACCTAAATGCCAAGGTTGGTATGGACAACACTGGATATGAAGACATCATGGGACGACATGGACTGGGAGAAAGGAACGAAAACGGTCAGAGATTCGCAAACCTATGTGTCTTCAACAAACTAGTCATCGGTGGCACAATATTCCCACACAAACGCATTCACAAAGCCACATGGATTTCATCGGACCACACTACTCAAAACCAAATTGACCATATCTGTATCAAGAAAAAGTTCAGAAGGACCATATAGGATGTGAGAACCAAGAGAGGAGCTGATATAGCCTCAGATCACCACTTGCTGGTTGCCAAAATGAAACTGAAACTAAAGAAGCACTAGACGACGGGGCAGATAACATCACTGAAGTTTAATACGGCCTTTCTTCGGGATGCCGTAAAACTCAACGAATTCAAAATAGCCTTCAGCAACAAGTTCCATGCCTTTCAGGATCTACTCAATGGAGAGGAAACAACCATGGAGAACAATTGGCAAGACATGAAGGAGGCAATCACTTCAGCATGTCAGGAGGTCCTGTATCAGAAAAAGCACCATCACAATGAATGGACCTCTGTTGGTACTCTTGAAAATATTGAAGAAAATAGGAACAAGAGGGAAGCCGAACAAGAGCAGAGAATGTTTAGGCGCAAGCTGAATACACAGGAGCAGACAGGGAATCGAAGAAGAGCATCAGAGCCGACAAAGGAAAATATGTGGAGGGTCTAGCAACGACGGTGGAAAAGGATGAAAGAGAAGGAAACGTGAGAAAATTGTACGATGTAACAGAAACGCTTGCTGGAAACCATCGTAAACTAGAACGACAAGTGAAAAGCAAGGAAGGCAACGTAATCAATGTAGAATCCATTATGAAGGCTTTATTTTGGGAAAATCCCTCCATGTTTATATTTGTAATATGTTCTTGCTGACTTTTTCTGTTCAATATCTTGGTACTCTGTTTAATCCCATTTTGAGATGTTAATATTTATATTTTGTTTTAGTTTCTATTTGTATACCTTTATTGGAGTTTTCTACTGAACTGTATTATGTTGTTTAGATTGATACTTAATTATGGCGTCATCCATATCGGAACTGATACCCGGGTAAAACGTGAATCTGGACTGGAAGGGTGCAATTTCGGACCTATACAGAAGCATCCTTCCACAAGTGGAAACACATTGTCTTAAATTTGAAGGAGAACACTGTAATATTGTTTAGGTAACTATCTGTAAATTTTGATTAATAATAGAACCGCTTTTTACCCAGATAAATTGCTTTCTCTTTGGGATATCCGGGCAAGACCTGCATCCAAACTTCTAGGACTGTTCTTCCGAATTCAGAAACCACTCTAAACCTTAAAATCAGCAACACTGAAGAACAGAGAAACAGGTGGGTAGAGCACTTTAAGGAACTCTTGAATCGACCAGCTCCACTGAAATCACGCTACGTAGAAGCAACATCTACGGACCTCCCAATCGATGTTGGCGCACTATAACTGAAGAGATCAGCATGGCCATCAGACAAATCAAGAACGGCAAAGCAGCAGGACCAGACAACATTCCAGCAGAAGTAATGAAAGCGCACGTGGAGGCAAATGCGAAAATATTTCACAACCTCTTCAAGAAGATTTGGGATGAGGAACATGTACCATCAGATTGGAAAGAAGGATACCTCATCAAAATACCAAAGAAAGGAGATCTCAGCAAGTGTGAGAACTACAGAGGCATCACTCTTCTCTCAACACCAAGCAAAGTCTTCAACAGGGTATTGTTAAACAGAATGATGGACTTCGTAGACGCCCAACTTCGAGATCAACAGGCCGGGTTTCGTAAGGATCGATCGTGTACTGACCAAATTGCTACATTACGGATCATTGTGGAACAATCTGTTGAATGGAATTAGCCACTCTACATCAGTTTCATTGATTACGAAAAAGCATTCGATAGTGTGAACAGGAGAACACTATCGAGGTTCCTTCAACACTATGGCGTGCCTGAGAACATACTAAAAATCATACGGACCTCTTATGATGGATTCAACTGCGAAATCGTGCACGAAGGACAGCTGACAGACTCTTTCGAGGTGAAGACCGGTGTGAGGCAAGGTTGCTTACCCTTGCACTTTCTCTTTCTTCTGGTGATCGACTTGATTATGAAAATGTCAACGTCTGGAGGGAAGCACGGTATACAGTGAACAGCTAAGACATAGCTGGACAATCTGGACTCCGCAGATTATCTAGCTCTTTTACCGCACACGTAACAACATGTGCTAGAGAAGACGACCAGGATAGCAACAGCCTCAGCAACAGTAGGTCTGAATATACATAAAGGAAAAGCAAAGTTCTCCGATGCAACACAACATGCACCAAGCAAATCACCCTTGATGGAGATGCTTTCGAGGACGTTAACACCTTTACATATCTGGGCAGCATCATCGACAATCAAGGTGGATCGGATGCAGATGTGAGGGCACGGATTGGCAAAGCAAGGGCTGCATTTCTACAGTTGAAAAATATCTGGAACTCCAAACAGATATCAATCAACACCAAAATAAGGATTTTCAATACAAATGTCAAGACAGTTCTACTGTATGGAGCGGAAACATGGAGAACTACCAAAGCCATCATCCAGAAGATACAAGTGTTTATTAACAGCTGTCTACGCAAAATACTTCGTATTCGTTGGCCAGACACGATCAGCAACAACTTACTGTGGGAGAAAACAAACCAGATTCCAGTGGAGGAGGAAATCAGGAAGAAGCGGTGGAAGTGGATAGGACAGACAGCGAAAAGCACCCAGAAGAAAAGCCCTTACATGGAACCCTCAAGGCAAAAGGAAAAGAGGAAGGCCAAGGAAAGACATTACGCCGAGAAATGTAGAAAGACATGAGAAGAATGAACGAAACATGGAGAGAACTGGAAAAGCTAGCCTAGGACAGAGTTGGTTGGAGAAGACTAGCAGGCGGCATATACTCGATCGGGATTAACAGGCGTATGTAAGTGAGTAAGTAAGATTGCACCAAGTTTTATTCGCATAAAGTGAAGAGCTGAGTTGGCTTTGGCTCCAGCCTCTAAGGAGTTTGAGATTTTGTCAATGTTTTCTCTGGTAAATTGACCGAGATCCTGCCCTGAGATATTAGGGAGCTGACTTCCATGGAGAACGTATATTAACTGTGACGCGTAGTGCAGAATAATCATGACGTGAAATTTCGATTATTTGATCTTTAATGCATGTTCCGCTATCCATTCCTCTTTTGCTATAAGATCCTTTTGAAGCTCGGCCGAATCCTCTTTTCTTCTTATGAACCTCCAGGTCCTAGCATCATCTGTATAGATATATGCAGTTAGGTTATTTTTATCTAACAAGTCCTTAATAATTATCAGGAATATTAGTCGACTTAAGATGGCCCCCTATGAAGCTTCTGATATTGAGATCCGCATTCGTTCGAATTTTTCTGTTCTGTAAATAGCTTCTGAACCAAGGCAGAAGCGGATCGACGAATCCCATTTTAGTAACCTTCAAAATTAATGCATGAGGTAATGTACCGAAATCTTTTGCGAAGTAAAGTATTATATGAACCCGTATTTTTTTGGTATCAGCAAGTTGTCCAGCTCTCCCACGCTTTGAGACGATTGAGTGCACATTACCTACCTTACCGAAACCCATTTTGAGCCAAATGGATGTACCCTATCATTTGTTTAGTCTGTAACAGACTGGATACTTCGAATCTCCTCCTTTGACGACTGGAGAAAGAGTGGCTTTTATCGATTCAGCTGGAAGTTGGTGTGATTCCAGTGAACGTCTGGACAGGTTATTTACCAGTGAACTGAGGGTTTTTGCACACTGTTTCAAGACGAAATGGTGAATATTGTCACACCTCGATGACTACAAGACACAGGGATTGTGGCTTTCTTAGTACCACGTTCAATATTCCTCAGATCGTCAACTGACACTAGGTTTGAGTGGTTCTATGAACTTATGGACACCTGTCTTAACTGACAGGTGACGTTGGCATTAAGGATGATGGCCTTCCCTAAGTTTATAATATCTTCATTATAGGGCTGTGGAAGTTGTTGGGTTTCCTTGAAATAATTCGATCAATCGTAAAGCACCATTTGAAACATAGAATCAGTTGGTAGCCGTTTCGTCTTGGTGTGGGATTCATCAGTAGTGCACCTCCATAATCCCGGCACACAAGGATCGAATTCAGACCAGTGAGTCACCATCCAACTCCAGTCAACCCACGATATTACGTGACCTCAGTCATTATCTTCAGTTGATAACTGCCAAAGTTTAGATCTTCGGGAATGTTTAAATATCCTGATCTGGTAGCGAAAACTAGTTTGTTTCCTGTTAATAGTTAGTGGTAGAATTGGTTCGAGTGATTAGACTGTATCAACGAATTATTTTTTCCTCTCACTCATTGATGTTACTCTGGGTTTTTGGTGTAATCTAATGTAACTAATCTAACAGTTCAGTAGCACTGGTTACTGTGAGCTTGAAATCACTCTCGTGTGATATATTTTGCGCTTGAGTTTGTTCTTGATCATTTGAATTTCTAGGACCAGCATCTATCACATTAATGGTTGAGACGTCTATTCTTCAGAATATGATAGATTATGAAGAAAAAAATGTAGAGGAGAGAATAGAAGGCAATGGTCAGATTGAAAAAGAGACTAGCATACTGAAACAATGAGAACAGCCAAGTTTTCGAGTAACTAACAGATGACGGTAGCAGGGGAAGTGGTTATCAGAAATAAATGAGTACGAATGAAGGTAGCGTTGAGTATATACTTAGCATTAACCATAGTGAGAGCCTAAGATCATTAATTCGTGTTGTTAAAGTGTAGGAAATGACACAGTTCACGTTACTCGGTAAACAAAAGCAACAAACATGAAACAGCATTTAGAAGTCCCAGTATGCACACAAGATCAGTGCACAAAAGTGAAGCCTTAAAAATCTTGACTGAGAATGTGAAATTAATTAGGTTGGGTGAATGAAAACATTATGGCCTTATGAAAGACCGAAATTTCAGTTTTATCTTTATTTGCTATAACAAGCAATTGTGTGTGATTCTAGCGACAATTTCACAAATTAAGTGTTTCATTTTGTGGAGTTTTGTTTCCCGAATTGAATGGTTTAATGACAAAACTTTCACTATTCTTCTGCATGGTACCAGCAAAATCGTCCGCTGGAAATAAGGTAATTAAGGAGCTCCACACATAACTGACAGATTCTATTGTCAGTCCTGTCTTAGACTAGTTGTTTTTGATGTCCGGTCTGTCGTTAATAATAATAATAATTTATTCTCAAATAACAAACATGTAGTAAATTTGGCGCGAACTCTGAAAGTGGTAACTTTTTTTCACGTGGTATAGTGTTTTTCTGAAATTTATCATTCGTAGGGTATTACACTGATTTAGTAGAATTTATCTATTGTACCCGGTGCACTTTGCTTCTAGAAAGCAAACCTCCTAAGTTTTTAATCAGTTAATACATACTTATCGTTTGATAACGATTTTAACTTCTGAATACACTAGTTTAAGCCTACTTACAGTGACTCTTGCACTTCATAACTGAACCTCTTATCTTAAAAATCCGCCACTGATTTTTGGTATTAACACAGTTAATACACAATAAGTTATACCCTTAGATATTTGAGTTACTTAGACAAGCAATCATCCCACCTAATTTTCCATTATGACAAATAATTCGAGTAAAAGAGAAATGTCTCCAACTTTTAAACCACCTAAAAGATCAAAATCTGCAAACCCTATGTCAGATGAATCTTCACTAAGTAATCCAATAGTGAAACTCGTAGATATAAGAGATACTATACCCAAATATACCGAAACGTCTACACAGAAAAAACTTCACCATAATCTTGTAAAGCCTAAATCAGGAAATTCACAAACCAAGGAGTTGAATGCTCCACCCGAAACCGTTAATAGTAGTAATAACCACGGCAGCGAGATACAACAGTTTGAAAACTCACTTGCCCAGATTAACGATAAGCTTAACCTGTTAGCACCCCTCATGCACTTATGGGCCCCAAATAATGATAGGAACCTAGAAGAATTAGCCAAAGCGGAACATATCCTAGATTTCGTAGCCGAGGAAGTTACGAAAAGAATAATGTCTTCCTGCAATGCGATTGCATATAACCTCCCCGACCGCACATCCTTGAATTCGCTAAAGGATAACTGTCTAAAAGCGTGTGACATGGCAAACGTCAGCTGTCACGTCACACGCCTCAGAAAAAAATCGGACAAGTCAACTTGCCCTCTCCTTTTCAAATTCGGCTGCTGCAACGACGCCAAAAAATTTATCCGTTTGAGCAAAAATATTAGCTCATCAACTTTATACAAAGAAGTAAAGGTTACCCCGGATCTAACGCCTTGTCAACGTCGTGTAAAAACAAGAGAGGCGACTAGATCACATAACGGTGAGACAGCAAACAGTCTACAGAAAACAACCCCCAATGTCATGAAAGTAAATAAACAAATAAACCACGATGTAGATCTTGATAAGCCTGTGGACTGTAAACCTTCTAACAAAGTACGGATCCCCTCTGTCACCAAGAAATCGAATGACCCTTGCAGTCCTAATCCCAGCTGTTCGAACGTTAACTTGAGTGAATATGTCCCAAAAAACAACACAGTTCCAGCTAAAACTAATAAAATTAAGAATCCATCCCCAAAATATATTGCACGAGAGAATATGATAGAAGCTGACGTGATTTTGAAAAACACGTCCAGGGGACCGAAACATTCTCCGTCTTTAACTAAGAAGAGTGAGCTGATTAAATCTTGGGTCTCAAGTAAAAAAGTAGGTAGGATTCAAACCCGATTGCCACCGACTTTCCCAACTACGATGAACAGGTTCACTCCTTTAATGTCATGTCATGTGCCCCTAGCCTCTCCAAGTTGTAAGACTGATAATATCAAGAGCATGTCAGACCAACATCTGAACATGCGCACTAATAATTATTATCCAAGAGCTAGGTGCACTGCCCAACCACCTAATCCTAGAATTATTAGTGAAAGAAGAAATGGAAGATTTTTCACCCCTCACCCTATCCTAAATACCCGGGCTTTTATTCACAAAAGCGCTGAGAATGAAAACTCTATGCATCCTGCTCTACAAAACCAGCTGGTAAACATGACCCCCAAATTTAGAAAAGCCCATAGCAACTGGCACTCGTATATGGCTAACCCTCCCCAAGTTAAAACCATTCCGTATAAATTTAACCTTAGTAACGAGCTGTGTCATCAAGACATTACTAGAAACGGTGGTGAACTGCAATTCCAGCCGAATCAAAATTTTTTCGGGATACAGCCACTTGTGGTACCTCTTGCGCGACATATAGCTCAAGTCATTTCATACCACATACAGAATATAAAAGCACGCTCCTCGCACAATCTCAAACAGACAACATTCTCCCCCTTTCCCCCGGGCTAACAACCCCTCCTGTAAATTCCAGTAATTTACTTAGCATGTCCCCCCCAAACTCCTCATACCACACTCACGTAGATCATAGTAACTCCTTTACCCAAGATACCCTAAACTATTTTAGCTTAGCGGGACATCTGTTTAATATATGTCTTATTAATGCTCGTTCAATCTGTAATAAAAAGACAGATCTAGTCATGTTTGCTACTATCTGTCAACCATCACTTATTATGATAACTGAGGCATGGACCTGTAGTAATATTTCTGATCTTACTATATCTCTTGAAAACTATGATCTGTTTCGAAGTGATAGGTTACAAGGAAGAGGTGGAGGATGCCTCATATATGCCCACTCTAGCCTAAACTCGCTCTTATGTGATATATCTGAACTAAATAGATTGCCAGACTCTGTGTGGATCGTTCTGAAACCGTCAAATGCCGTTTCCTTACTGTTCGGCTGTGTCTACCGACAGCCTAATGCACCAACAGGAGATCTAGCATTATTGTCAGAAGTATTCACATTTGTTTCATCCCTACCGTTCACAAGCAAGGCTATTTGTGGGGACTTCAACATGCCTGAAATCTCTTGGTTCCCAATCAAAGCACCTAAACGATTCGAATCATTTATCGAATGCTTAGAGCTTGGAGAGTGGACTCAGCATGTCAATGGCCCAACCAGAAATCAAAATACATTGGATTTGGTTTTCACCAGCAATCTCATTCCTCACACTGTATATGTTGGAAAAAAGTTCCCAGGTAGCGATCATAATATGGTCATATGCAGCCTTGATATAGGAGCTACAACTATAAAGTATAAATCCACTACACTTCGTAGGGACTTTCGTAGGATTGATTGGTCAAACTTCCGTAACTGCCTCAGAAGCATTGACTGGACAAACTACTTTACCGCACACAATATTGACGAACTAATGAATGTATTTTATCACAACACAAATAGCATATTCAACAAATTTGCACCTTTAGAATCCTGGAGACCCAGGATTCCTAAGGACTTATTTATGCCACGTCATATACGAAAACGTCTTCGAAGACATGCTTCCAGATTTCATAACTGTAATGACTTCTCCTCATTAGTAACGATGACTGAAATATGTGTCGAGGCAGAAATAACACGTACTAAAAAGGCAATCGCACAGGAAAAGCGTGCTGTTCAGCTGAACAGGGAATCCTCTGAACTCATAAAACTCCTTCGGAATAAACTCAAATGCTCCAAAGTGAAAGGAGGGAGCATATTTATTAAGGACAATCAAGTGTATGAAGACCCTAAAAGTATCGCAGAGTTGTTTAGCGAACATTTTTGTGCCACATTAACAAACGAAAACTCAACAAATGAGTCACATCTGACCCAAACTCCTTCCTGTGAAATCGCCAGTGTTGAATTTAGTATACAGAACATTTCTAAGGCGATTAGTACACTGAAGCACTCTTACATTGAAGGACCAGATGGCATCCCAGCTAGCATGCTGAAAAATGGTAGCAATGATATGAGTGCTATTCTTCTCAAACTATTTACTATATCTCTCTCCACAGAGTGTTACCCTAATAACTGGAAGACTACACATATCATCCCCACTATAAAATCGGGGCCTACAGCGAACGTTGAAAATTACCGACCTATAAACATAACTTCGGTAGTATCTCGGGTCATGGAGAAAATAGTCAAGGCAGAGTTACTACAACATCTAGTTAGTAACAATCTGATATCGACCTCACAGCATGGGTTCTTGAGGTCCAGGTCGTGTGATACATGTCTGTTAGATTATTTCAACGATATCACGAATGAACAAGACAAAGGGCTTCTGGTATCAGTCCTTTTCTTCGATTTTAAAAAGGCTTTTGATAAAGTCCCACACAAAAGGCTTCTACTTAAACTGAAGTCATTTGGAATCATCAACCCACTACACTCATGGTTAGCTTCATTTCTAAATGGGCGACAACAAATGGTTAACTACAACGAATGTCTTTCATCACCAAGACCAATAACCAGTGGGGTTATCCAGGGAAGTGTCTTAGGTCCACTCTTGTTTCTAATGTACATAAATGACATATGTAATACTATAAAATTTGGAAGAGCATACTTATATGCTGATGATCTGAAAATAGTATACAGCTATAAGCCTGAAGATCTGGACGAAAATATAGCTAAGATTCAGAGTGATCTTGATAACTTAAGTACCTGGAGCGAGACATGGCAACTGCCGTTTAACCACAACAAATGTGGCATAATGCATTTTAGCAAGCGTCACCTTGATTCACCAGTCTACTTACAAAAATGTAGAGTTCAGACACTCATATCAGCGCGTGACCTTGGTATTAGTTACTCTAAAAGCCTAAAATTCGAAGAACATGCCTCAAATATTATCTCTAAATCTAGACGACTCATTGGGTTTATAAACAAGAACTTCTTCACAAGTGAGGCTAAGCTTACTCTCTTCAAAATCTGTATAAGGCCCACACTTGAATATTGTTCACTCATATTTTCAAACATGAATATCATGGACAAAATGAGAGTAGAAAATGTACAAAGAAGCTTCACCCGGCGACTACTCGGATTGAGCAATAACCTCGACTACACAGAAAGATGCAAGCATCTTTCCCTAGAACCTCTATGGCGCCGTCGTCTCAAAAACAACCTAATGCTCCTCTATAAACTGATAAATGGTCTTTCGTTCGTAAAATACCGCCCAACTATGAACCAAGACACTGCTTACAGACTTAGAAACAACGCATATACACTATTAACGGCAAAACACAAAAAATCATTGCGTTCTAATTTCTTTGTAATACGATACAGTCTACTGTGGAACAGGTTACCAATCGCTATTCGTATCTGTGACACAATCACTAAGTTCAAGAAACTAGTCATGTTGTTGCTAGATTCTAAAGAGATTTATCGACTATTCCCAGAACTCACACAAAGTCCCCAGGCACTCTTTTATGGTCCACCAAATATTTAGATAAACCTCAGAAACTAATTATAGACTATGACCATATTGTGTTCTCATTACCACCCATACATGCATCATGAAATGGTAGACAAATCCCCCTGCTCCTACTAACAGCAATAGGTTACGCCTTTGAGGTGTTAACCGTGACTTTTCTCTGCTTTTAAATTCCAATCATTATTTTCATATCTTCATAGCAGTTTTAGTTTTTATTTCTAGTAGACAGACAAATTGACAAGCCTGTAGATGCTGATCAACTACTGTCAATTACAAGGAACTCAAACACCATGTATAATTGTGAGTATCTTCTTATTTACGTATTAACAGTTTAACTTATTTTTATTTCCCCAATTCATTAACATCCAAACACCTTGCCTGCTTACCAACTTATCGCTTTACTCATTAATTTTTAACATTATTTCAACTCTTTTTTTTCACTTTCTCCTCGTTCCAGCTCCCTGTCCTTCCTATTTCCAAACTACCCATTAACTGACTCATCTTACAAATTATACCATTCGTTTACTTAAAATCAGTGTGATATGCTATGTGGATATATTATCTGGCAAAGTTGTCTGGATTGCTTGTAATGTTGGAGCTAGTAGAGAATGTTAATTCCGATAAGGTGTACAAAAAAAAATTGAGAGTAGACTAGAGACCATTATTTACAATTAACCATTAAACGTAAGAGAGCCTAACATCACAAAAGGAGGGAGGGTGGTGTATCTGACCAGCATTCATGACGGTGGGGCGATAACCTCAATCTACCCATGTCTGTGTGGCAGAACATTTTGTTTGCTTACGGCTCCTTACGATATAGCAGGATGTAACAAATCAGTGATATTGATGTTACTTTTCCTAGTTAACCTCGTCTACAACCCATGTCTGTAACCTTGCACTGGTTTTTACTTCCTACCGAGAAATCCTATTACAAGCTGGTCTGGACAACTATACTAAAAAAGAGCTCATTCATAACTTCTTGAGCCTCAGATTTAAAAATAAAAAGAATAAATAAAACCAAAAAATTATATCACTGATCCTCTTTATTATATTTTGTAACTCAACTTTATTACTAACAACTTGGTTCTTCTGAATTTCCTCGATTCTTTCGACTAACTTCTCATTAGTTATCTCACTACTGAATTGTCTTCATTAACCTACATAAGCGCAGATGTAAAGTGTTCTGATATTAAAAATGTTTGGGTAAACATACCTTTGTTTTATCCGTAAACGTATGTGCGAAGCCGTTGTTCGGCTTTGAACATGAATATTTTCTGTTCTGCTCCTCGTCCCGTTTTCTTTATTCCTCTTTTTTCAGAACCTTATTCCAATCCACATATATTTGTCTGGATATTTGCAGTAGACTTGGTTACCCTAGCCAAGAACATGTGAAATCATTAGCTGACGAATATCAACCAGACTTTTGTACATTTACCGCATCAATTCTTGTTATATGAAAACCTGTCTGTACCATGAATCATTTCTCAGCCCATAAGATGATTGTCGTAACGCAACCTTCGTAACTTGCGCCAATTGATCGCTTTGTACATTCCAACTTTAAGAAAACAATGAATCTTATGAAATGTTTCAGTAACATTATACCGTTTTCAGAAAAAAATATGTTGCTAATCTTAACATTTTGATCTTGCCTGTAAATTGGCATGTCTCTTGTAACATGTTTGTTATTTGAGAATAAATTATTATTATTATTATTATTATTATTATTATTATTACATGTCACAAGAGACATGCCAATTTACAGGCAAGATCAAAATGTTAAGATTAGCAACATATTTTTTTCTGAAAACGGTATAATGTTACTGAAACATTTCATAAGATTCATTGTTTTCTTAAAGTTGGAATGTACAAAGCGATCAATTGGCGCAAGTTACGAAGGTTGCGTTACGACAATCATCTTATGGGCTGAGAAATGATTTATGGTACAGACAGGTTTTCATATAACAAGAATTGATGCGGTAAATATACAAAGGTCAGGTTGATATTCATCAGCTAATGATTTCACATGTTCTTGGCTAGGGTAACCAA